TGTAAAGTGCTGGTAATGAAAAGGGACCCTACGGCCACGCAGATGCATCTCCTAAGTTTTTTTCTTTCTTGGGTAAGAGGAGTAATGATGATTGTTAAGATTTATAGCCTTCCAAGCTCAATGGGCTACCACCTTCCATAGAACGTAGACAATAGGCTCTTGGACAAAATTACAGAGAATGACAAGCGTCTCAGCTACTCCATTCCTTTGTAGTAGAAGTATTTTCTTCCAGGCTGTCTTCCTCTTTGGTTCTTATCATTTATTTCCCTTCCCTAACTCTCAAGGTCTCTGACATTTCATTCTCTTGTGAATTGTCTTTCTCTTTTTATTGACATTTCTTTTGTCTACAAACAAGGTACAAATTTTCTCAACATGAAAGAAACGTTCTCTCAACATTGCCTATTAAACTTAGCATGAAAGAGCTCTGGCAATTGTATTAGTTAGAACCTACTTAACTGTTCTTCTCTAAAGAGGTAATAACAATTGTATCAGTCACATAGCTGGCATATCTCTATCTGGAGCACATAAAGGATTTAGCATAGTCCTTGGTGTATATGAAAAGCTACATCAGGGCCTCCCCGGTGGCGCAAGCGGGTTGAGCACAGCTCTGTGAAGCCGTCTGCAGCCTCCGCAGCATTGGTTCAATTCCCGGCCAGCCGGCGAGAATCCCACATGGCGAGGCAAACCTCTCGTCTCACCCGCTGCTCCCCTCAGCAGTGCTTTCAGTCTGTCTGCCTGTTCTGCTCTCTGCTCTGTCTCTGGTGAATCCTCTCACCCTCCTGCCACTCTACTCCATCTCTTGTATAAATAAAAATAAATCTTAAAAAAAAAATACAGTCTTAAAAAAAAAAGCAACATCAGTGTTGACTTTTGCTCTTGTTGATACCGTTCATATTGTTGCTTTGTTGATATTTTTAATATTGTTTCTCCAGAGAGTATCTTATATTAGCCGTCTCTTCTGCTCTACATCCTATTTCTTGACTCTTTCTCAATCCGTTCATTCATTATCGACAAAATTACCACCCTCCTCTTTGCAGTATTAAACACACTTTCTCAGTTTTTCTTTGAAAAGTACTTTTGAAATAATGCAAACCTTTTTATTAAAGAGAGACACTTTCTTCCTTTGCTATGTGCATCCGGTGTCATGTGATCATCCTGATATGTAAATCTGTTCTTCATTCTCTGAAGTCTTTCTTCCATAGCCTGGGCTCAGATGTTTGGGAAGGTTCTTGTCTCTTTGATCTTCCCAATTCTTTGTTGCCTAGTGACCTCAAGGCTTTACAATACCTTAATAAGGGTGTTCTCTGAATTCTGAAAGCCACAATTTTTGCATTTCTAACAAGATGAAATTCCGTCACCACTTCTCAAAATCTTTGTCATATTTTAAGGACATTCCTAAAATTTCTCCTCCAGAGACCCCCACAGCCTGCTCTTGTGCCATACTTGATATCTGTTTGTAAAGTCAGTGTTTCCCATTTGGTGTTGTCTTTGGGACACGATTTTATTTATTTTTATTAGAATAAAATTATATGCTAATCAAATAATTTGTAAATGAATAAAGCTATTATTATTAGAGACATCAGTACTTTATTTTTTTTAAAGATTTATTTATTTATGTATACAAGAGCTGGGGTATAGGCCAGAGGTGTAGGGGGTGAGAGGATTCACCAGAGACAGAGTGGGGAGCAGAACAGGCAGACTGACTGAAATACACTGCTGAGGGGAGCAGCAGGCAAGACAGGAGAGGTCTGCTGCGCCATGTGGGCTGCTCCCTGGCTGGCCTGGATTTGAACTCGTTCTGCAATGGCTGCAGACAGCTTCATAGGTTGCATCTTAACCCCTTGTGCCACCAGGGAGGTCCCAAGACATCAGTATTTTAAAGGAAGAGTGAATGGACTACAGAAATTTATCTTGCTTGTGGTTTCTGAAGGACTGACCCCCTCTACCCCCAATCTTTATGCTTCACTGAAATCTTTGAGGTGGTAGATGTGATAGGTACCAAACTTGACTTTAAAGTTAAAAGTGGAATACAATAAAAGTTATCCTTCAGAAGACCTTTATGTTGCTTGTAATGTATAACACAAAGATAGGATCTCTGTTTGCTTTTTCTGTATGTTGGAACTTTCTTCAGTTGAATACCAGATGAAATAGGGGGTGTTGAGACACAACAGTGTGTTCACTGAGATGAGATGTACTAAGACATGCACGTGGGACTGGAGACCAACTGGGCAGCAACTGGGCCTGTCTCTCACTCACCCTGGTGCCTACGTATAGTCGCTTGTATGCTGTGGTGGTTCTGCACATGTGGTCCGCCAGTCCCCAGGAGCCTCTGGCATCCTTTCAAAGGTCCTTCCTCAAAGTAAAAATTATTTTTATAATACTGGTAAAACATTATTTGCCTTGTACTCATTCTCTCATGAGTGTACAGTGATGTTTTCCTAAGTTTAAATGATGCATCCACAATTAACTAAAAAGTCTGTTTTTCTTGGTATACGTATATTTTTCTATCTATTCAAATACTTCAACCAAAATAGACGTTAAAGAAATTTACACAAATATGAGACAATGTTTTCATAAATATTCAAAACATTTTTTAATGATAATATATTACGTATGTTAACATGTAATAGGTTTATTAAATCTTTTTAAAAGTCTTGTTTTAACTTTTAATACATAAAGATACACTCACATAAATGAAAGCTTTTTGGAGGACCCTGGTAATTTTTATAAATATGAAAGGGTCCTAGGCCAAATCTGCTGCTCTTGGGCATGAGAAATTTCTGAAAGTAGAATGACATTAAAATTGTCCACGTTTAATTTTTTTTCTTTCTTCTCCCCTTTTGTCTTCGTATCCTCTTATTTTTTAACAAATATTTTGAATTTGTCTAAGTTAACCATGCTCTATATGTCTTCACTGAATTTTAAGCAGTAAAATCCTATTGCAGTATTCTTTCTGCTGTGTTTCCCTGAGAAAATCAAACAAGTAATCTCCAAAGTATTTATAGACCTTATTATGCATGACATAAATAAAATTGTTTTTAACCTGTAATTTCTAATAAAGGGATTATTGTCCCAGAGGATGATGGGTTTCCCAAAAGTCAATAATTTAAGATATAAAAGAATATAACTTCATGACAAGAAAGTTTTGTTTTTTCTTTGTTAAAGTCTTTGTTCTGGGTAATTTAGCAAGATATTTAGAGAATAAATAAAGACCATATGTGTAATGGACAATGAATTTGTGGATATTTTGCTGCTTCAAAATTACAGATTACTGAGAATATCTAATTTGGAAATGTTAACTGAATAAAATGGTTAGACAACAAGCAGGCCAGCAATCAGTTACACTGTATTTACTACCCATGGACCGAGCTAAGACGACTCATAAAGGATTTTTCTGTTTTTTTTTTTCCTTCTTATCAAAATAATTTAATAATATTTGAAATTGTAAACATATTGTTTGTACGTTGTACTCCCCTGGAGACTGGTCAGGGTTGAACTCTGTGAGAAGTCTCACTGCTATTTGAAATTGTGATTTTATATTGTCATAATGGGGGTTTTCTCTAATTTGACATCACTTTAGTTTGAAGCTTTGTAAATGTTTCACTTGCGGGTGGGATCACTCTTGAATACATCTATTTTCCCATTAGGCTCTGTGGAAAATTCATAAATGTTTCATTCATATATCACATGATTTTATATGATCCTAAAATTTATCCTGAACTTCTTAGCACCTTTGCTTAACTTCTAAGCACTTCTTTGCTTAACAAAGTAGTATATGAGGGCCTCCCCAGTGGCGCAGCGGTTGAGCGCTGGGTTGCGAAGCTGCCCGCGGCCTCTGCGGCGCCGGTTCGATCCCCGGCTGCTCCCCAGCCACTGGAGGAGGGTCCCACATGGCGCGCAGACCTCTCCTGCCGCCCGCTGCTCCCCTCAGCAGTGTACTTTGGTCCTTCTGCCTGCTCTGCTCCCTGCTCTGGCTCTGGTGAATTCTCTCACCCTCCTGCGCTTCTGACTGTACCCAGTGCATGTATAAACAAAAACAAAAAAAAAAACAAACAAACAAATAAAAATAATAATAAAAAAAAAAAAAAAAAAAAAAACAAAGTAGTATATGAAAATGTTAGTAAAATTCTTCACCTGAATGGCAGAAATGGCATTTTAAGAAATTGTGAGTTTTCTAGTTAACATACCAACTTAAAAGATGTTATAAAATATAATTGCATTATCACAAAATAGTGCTCATCTTTTACTATCAAAAAAGAAAAAAAAGTAAGGTTATTTTGTGTTCTTTAGGAAGTACTCCTAATGCTGACTTCTGGAAAAATTTTCCAGTAACTAGAGCTTGGGGTTTTGGTTATTGTTGTTTGGCTATCCTTTGCCTGAGAGCATTAATTTTGGATTGAGTCCTGGGAGATGTCTCTGCAGAGTGTGCATAGAACCTGTCAGCAGACCCTGAGCTGACTCTTTGAGTGGACAGGCGGACTTTGCACTGCTGCAGTTTCCCCTCAGTGGACAGATTGTGTGTGGTGGACAGTCCATCTGCCTGGCACTCGGTTTGAAGAGGCCTTTGCTCCAAGGCAGGACTGTGTAGTAAAAGTATGGTGTTGATCTGGAGCATGAGACTATTTTCTATTTGATCAATCTGGTATTTTGCTGAGCGTTGTAGATGCCAGATACATAAGATACTGCCCTGTCTTGAAGTATTATTATAATAATGTTAAGAGAAAAACAACTGAGTGTTATGCATGTGAATACAATGATGTGCATATAAGATAGAATGGGGGAATAAAAATGGGAGTGAGTGGTCAGTTTTAGCTCAAGAAGTATTTGTTAGTAGTTAGTTTTTTGGTTTTTTTTTTGTTATTTTTTAACTACAAGAAGCTTTAAAAAAAGAAATCCGCTCTCTATATTGCAGCTTCACAACCCAGCGCTCAACCACTGCGCCACCGGGGAGGCCCAATAATACACATATTTAGAATGATTTCTTTTTATTTATTTTTTTCTGGGCAAATTGCAACTCTCAGGCATCCCAAAAGTTAGCGGATCACCTTAGGCATGACCTTCACTGGCTCAAAACTTTGTCTTCATTACTAGTGAGGATATTGGGGTTACCCTGAATCAATATTTTCCTTACTCATAATTTTATGGCATAGAATTTCTTTTTAAACTGAAAGAATGTCTCTAAGGTGAGTTTGTTATTTCTCAAAGATTTCACAGAGAGAATCTGTTATCTGAAAATGCTAAAAACCTCAATGTAGAAATACTTTCCATGAGGCAAAGGATTAGTTCATGTGTACTGCTTATTGGAGTATAAGTCTTTGGATATTTCTTTGTAATTCCCCACCCTCACCTCAGACCTGAGATTGTGTGTAAAATCTGTAAATGTTTTAGGTGAAGCCAATTGTTTATAGCCAACACTAAGCCTGAGACTAATAACATAACATATCTCATCTTTGTCTTCTCCCTGTCCCTCTATCAAATCATAACAATTAAAAACAACCAAAGTATATTAAAAGCAACCAAAGTATATCCCCAAGTATATTAAAAAAAAAACAACCCAAAAACCCAGTTCATAAAGATGGTCAAGATAGCTGCAGAAATGGCTTCATCTCCATCGTCAACTACGTCAACTACCGCCGCCAGGAAAATTTCCTTATATAGTTTGGGGTAATTGAATCAGAACCAACAAACATTTGGTTCCTAATAGTTCTTTGTTGAACTAAACATGGGGGCCTCTTCCTTGTTTGAAGCACTGGATTTTGAAAGGTTACTGTTATGAGGTAGGGAGATAAAATTCTAAATTGAGAATTGTTGAAAACACTTGTAAATTAAGTCCACTTTTCGTTTTCTCATAATTTTGAGATAAGATATGGGTGTTGCAGGACAAGTTTCCGTTTTCTTATTATGGCAAAGGTTTCCTGTTTACACCTTTGGAGAGAAAATGCATACACAAGTCCCAAAGTTCTATTTTAAATGCGTTAATTTCCTTGCTTATTCAGCAAGCAAGGCGGTAGGCCCTAGGGCTACGGAAATGATAGGTAATGGGCCTGGAGGAGGTAGTCTAGTGAGGGAAAGCAGGCCTGTAAAAGGCATTTAATTTGTAGTTTGAGAGGTGCTGGAGGGAGATTTGGAGGTCATCTTTGTATGGAAAAAAAAAAATCAAAGTAAGTTTCTAGGTCACCAACTGAAAGCTAATTTTTATCTTGGATACTACTGGTTATAATAGCTAAGCTTTGTTGTACCTTGGTAAGTCCCAGGGAGAATTCTAAGTCTTTAAATTATCAATTCCTTCCAACTGTCCAATGAGAGAGATTATTATTTCCATTTTTTATATATGATCAAATGAAGAAATTAAGTAATTTACCCAGATAGTCCTCCTCCTGGAGTTGGCTATCTACCATTCTAAAAGAAGGGAATGTTTGAAATACAGCTTGTTTAATTTGTATAGGAGTCTCTTTTGGAGCTTTTTTTTTTTTTAAAAAAAGATTTATTTATTTATAGAAGAACAGGGGTACAGTCAGAGGTGTGGGAGGATAAAAAATTCAGCAGAGACAGAGCGGGGAGCAGAACAGGCTGACGACCAAAGACACTGCTGAGGGGAGCAGCAGGAGAGGAGACAGGAGAGGTCTGCTGCGCCATGTGGGTTTCTCCCTGGCCAGCCAGGAATTGAACCCGCCGTGCAGAGGCTATGGACAGCTTCACAGTGCTGCACTCAACCCACTGCGCCACCGGGGAGGCCCTGGAGCTGTTTTTAATAGCTAATTGGCACACAATAAATTTAATGCTATCAGTTTATTGTCTATTTTTTTCCCTTTTGTATTAAGTTGCTTCAGAGCAAAAACCTTGTTTTTTTGGTAAGTACTTCCCAGCTTGCAGCATGAGGGCCTATCCTGAAATGTTTGTTGAATGAATTCAGATGTTTTGAAATTCAAATGAAGAAATATTTGAGACTCCTCCATAACATCTTTTTTAGTTTTTTTGCAAAAATTAGGTATTTAATACATACTCAGAGAATGCATAAATGAAATTATTAAGTTTCTTGAAGAGGGGCCAGGCTTACTGATTGTAAAAGATTGAGTCACTTATGTTATAATAGATTTTAAATTTAATGTTTAGTTCTAAGTTCTGAGTCTAGATTTTTCCTAGTTTTTAAAATTTTTAGTGAGTGGTTGAGTGAGTATCTTTCAACCCAAAAAAATTGCTGTCCACACAAAAGGGATAAGAGGGAAGGATGACTTAAGATGACTCTGGACTTGATCTGGGGAGTTTTTCTTGTATATAGATAAGTTTAAAATGCACAGGAACCAACTTTTCTCTGTTCCTGTGCCTCTGTCCTCCTCTCCACCACACCATTTTAAATTATTTATTTATTTATTTATTGAAAGATTTATTTATTTATTTATTTATTTATTTATTTATTTATTTATTTATACAAGCACTGGGTACAGTCAGAAGCGCAGGAGGGTGAGAGAATTCACCAGAGCCAGAGCAGGGAGCAGAGCAGGCAGAAGGACCCAAGTACACTGCTGAGGGGAGCAGCGGGCGGCAGGAGAGGTCTGCGCGCCATGTGGGACCCTCCTCTGGTGGCCGGGGAGCGGCCGGGAATCGAACCGGTGCTGCAGAGGCTGCGGGCAGCTTCCAACCCAGCGCTCAACCACTGCGCCACCGGGGAGGCCCCATTTTTAATTTTTAAACAAGATTTGTATTCTGAATATGTATTTAAAGTTGGTGCGTAAAAGAAGATCCATGAATTTAATATTCAAGTATGTAAAGGACTCCATAAATGGCCTCTTTTGCATTTATAGTGGAAGAAAAATTTCCTCTGCCCTCTTAGGTTTGATAATTGAGTCTGTGAAATAAACTGACAAACCATAGGCAGAGTAGAAGAAAAAATAGTATTTATTAATTTTTAGTATTTTGTACATGGGGGCACTACAGGTAGGTGAAATATCAAAACAGTTGAGCTTTGGGAACTAAATAGGGGAAGGAAAGAAGGCATGTAAGCACTTACAGGGAGAAAAAATATTTTTAGGAAAGATGTATGGGCCTTTTGAAGACCCATGGGAGATATGATGGTTTGTAACAAAGTTGTTTAGGTGGGGTATTAGCTTCTAATCTCCTTTCCTGTGATAAGAATCTAGCCTATCTGGTTGGTAAAACTCCCAGGAAGGGGATTTATAACAATTGAATTCCTTTTGGAAGTTCTGTCTTTAGGTAGATAAACTTTAGGGCAGTTTAGAAAAAGCTTCTCATATTTGCTGTTTTAAAGTTACTTTTAGCTCAAAATGAGCAACATACCAAAGAGGCAGATTTTGGGGTGGTATGTCCTGAACTCCTTCATAGTCATCTGGGTACCTGTTGAGTAGTAATGAGGTTTCACAGATGGCTTTGTAACATGTTTTCTGGTTCAATGCATTTCCTTCAATTGTAGACTGGGAGTAAATAGGAGTGTGAGAGGAAATGCATTAACATGGAGTTTGAAAAAAAGCGTCCCTGTAGATTTTGGTTCACTTGCCATTTCATTACTGTTCTAATACATATGTGTATATAGTTATGGCCACTTCATTTTTTATACCAGATACAGTTAAATTTTTTCATATTAGGAGAAAGCCAAGCTCATCAGTTGATTGGGTTCAACTGTGGACTCAAGAGTTCTCTGCTTCTAGACTTTTAATACAGCTTCTATAACAGCTCGGCTATGATTTGAGTTTGTAGAATGAGATAGACTATTAGGAGGACTGTGAGTATCAGTGTTCCACTTAGATTTAAAAATTGAGTTACAGGATGTGCAACATGGTGCAACATAGTTAAGGGTAGGCCATACTTATAGGTGTATCAAATCTCCCTTACACTTTTTCCAGCTTCTTGTAATCTTAAAGTAGGGAATTTATGAGTGAGAATTTTGAAGTTTGATATTCACTTTGTAGGACTATGGTACAAGATATGAAAATGACTTTTAGCAGAATTAAGAGAAAACATCAATTATATCTTCTTTGGTTGATTTGTACATTTAGGGAGCTTTTCATTTGTACATTTAGGGAGTTTCAATTTGTACATTTAGGGAGCTTAAATATTTTTGTGTTCACATTTAGTTTATTTATGTCTATTATTATCTGTTAGAGAAGCCAGTAAATGCTTAGCATGTTTGGGGTTCATCTTGGCATTTTATTAATGTATATGATATTTAATTATATCGTGCTTACCTCAACTACTGGTGGTTATACTACTTTTCCAATTAATTAGTATGTAAAAGTAACAACACTTTCTGTTCAGTCCCAGAAATCCTGGATTGAAGGAGTGTTTGACAAGAGAGAATGTAGCAAAATCATACCCAGCTCAAAAGGCCCTCACAGGTACAATTTTTAATTTTATATATATATATTTTTTAAAGATTTATTTATTTATACAAGCGCTGGGTACAGTCAGAAGTGCGGGAGTGTGAGAGAATTCACCAGAGCCAGAGGGAAAAGCAGAGCAGGCAGACTGACGAAGTACACTGCTGAGGGGAGCAGCGGGCGGCAGGAGAGGTCTGCGCGCCATGTGGGACCCTCGCCCAGTGGCCAGGGATCGAACCGGTGCTGCAGAGGCTGCGGGCAGCTTCGCACCTCAATGCTCAATTGCTGCGCCACCAGGAAGGCCCTATGTTTTTCTTTTTAAAGCAGCACTGCTTGGAAACTATTTGGGAAAACCTAGAGAATTTGGTAATATCTATGATATTAATATTTAAAATACATGTTCCTTTATTCATCTTCATAACAATAATGCATGACTTATAAGGACAGTATAAGAACAGGAACCTTGCAAATTTGTACCCCACTCCAAATCCAGCACTAGGGCAGTGACTGCCATGTATAGTAGGCTCCTAATAAACCTCTGTTCAACAACTTAATACAATAAAAAGAATAAAAAGTTCATCATAATGACATCACCCTGATGGATCCACTGTTAGTATTGGGGCAGTTTTCACACTGTTGTTGTATCTTTGATTCCCCTATTATTCTTAGTGGGAGGATAGATATTAGGGAAGTATCTACAAGCATTTCACTGGGCTTGGATATACTTACAGCTTCTAAATATTGACTATTCAAAATATTGTGAAGCTTATCTCTAACAAAGGTGTCTATTGAAAATAGTGATTGGGATATTTCAGAATGCTGTGCTCACATTACTCAAGCTGTTAGTTTTAGGTCCATTTTTGTCTCATAGGCCTTTCATTTGAGGGGATAATGCACAACAAAATGGAATGATTTGAGTTTGGTTACTCTGAGTTCTTGACAACTCCTTGGAAGCTCTACTTACAGAACAAAGTTCAAAATAACAGCCAGTGAAAGATAGGGGAAGAAAGGGCTATGGAAAATTTCCCAGCATAATTGAATCCATGAAATGAAGACTGGGTGGCATTGCCCTTGGGGAAAAGAAATTAAAAGTAAAGGAATTCACCTTCATAGAATTACCTGTGGCTTGGAAGTCCTGTGATTGGAAATTCCCATTTTACTTGCTTATAAAATGTTTACAGAATACCAAGGTAACCTTGCTTTTACCCTTCATCTTTTATGGCATCTTTTAATGGGATGTGGTTGCAGTGGAAGGCAGAATGAGCTCTGTGAAGGAAAATCATCTTCACAATCACCTTGAACTTTACGAAGAGTGATAAACTATACATCATTCACACCAGACTCAAGAAGAATATTAGTGATCATAATTTCATGAATGGTTCAAGATGATCCTAGTAAGATTATCAAAATTGTGGGTTTCATGAGGTTTTCTTCCTTATGATGCCTAGGAGAGAAGTGGTGATTTTCTATTTTAAATTTAATAAATTATCTCTTTGTAATTCCTGATAAATTAATCTGTAGGCTTCATTGAAATGTCTTTTTCTTCTTATTTTGAATTTATAGTTGAAATGAAATGTTCAAACAAAAAGGCAGGAGCAATTGAAAAGATTGATATTTGTTTCTGAAACATCTAGAATGACACAATTTTATAAGGGCTACCTTTCATTATTTTAGCTAGAGTTCTCTAATTAAAATTTCTGTACACCTAAAACATGATCATTGATGACCATATCTAACCCCCAAATCTGAAGGTTCTTTTGAATCATAAGAGAAAGATTAGTAAGGATAATATAGTCACAGTAACAGTTCCTTGATTTATTGGGGGGCTCTCTGGGCTCTCCTCCATACTGTCCTCTGCCATTCCATCCTTTGTGACACTGACCCTATCCATATTTCAGTCTCCAGGCTCAGGTACACCCACTTACTCATGCCCACACCATGCTCCAGGTGTCCACCACCAGGCATTTGTACCCTGAGCCCACGCTCCCAAGCGCCTCCTCCATTCCAGGCTGCAGGTGATAGCCACAGAGGCCAATGGCACAAAAGCCTGAACCATCTTCATTTACCCTATAGTATCTATCTATTTTCTTACTTGATACTCAGAATTCTTAAGAATTGTCTTATTTTCATAGTGTGATAACACCAGCTGCCATTATTATACACACTGCAAGGTACCAGTGTGCAAAACAACATATACATCTCAGATACATATTCATATACATCTTTTTTAAAAAAGATTTACTTATTTATGCATGCAAGAACTGGGGTACAGGCCAGAGGTGTGGGGGGTGAGAGGATTCACCAGAGACAGAGTGGGGAACAGAACAGGAAGATCGACTGAAATACACTGCTGAGGGGAGCAGTGGGCTAACCATGTGAGGTCTGCTGCCCCTTGTGGGTTGCTCCCTGGCCGGGGTTGAAAATCAAGCTGCAATGGCTGCGGATAGTTTCAGAGGCTACGTCTTAACCCTTTGCGCCACCAGGGAGGCCCGGATAATCTTTTTAAAAACCTTATAGGACACAACATTATTTTCATATGTGAGAACTGGGGCTTAGAAGAATCAATTAATGAAATTTAAAACCAGGTATTTTGACACCAAACGCAGTGTTTTGTCAATTAAGTCAAAGTTGCTGCAGCATAATTGTATTTGTTAAATGGCTATGGGGATATTTGGAAAGTGATAGATAAGTACTGAGAAAGCCCTGATTTCCAGCCCATTGAAAGTAACAGGTCCTTCCAGGAAAATGAATAACTATAAGAAAGTGAAAATCAAAATCAACAAAAACTATGAACCAGAGACACTTTTTGGGGGTGGGGGCCGGGAGGGAGGGATTGGGGTCAGAATGGGGGGATTGCAATTGTATGGGGAATATAAAAATAAAATTTATTAATTAAAAAAAAAAAGAAAGTAACAGGTCCTTGTGTTAGTATAGATATTACATATGCCTTCAAATACTAATAAAGTTTTTATTTTTTAAATTTAGATGTACTGCAGGATGCCAGGTCTGCCAGAATTTAATCAGGTAAGACTTAAATAAATAAGATTTCTTTAAACTTTTAGTTCCTGTTTAAAATTCATTGGGGTAGTTTTCTCACGTATTGAATGAACCCATTGAAAGGGCTTTGTTGGTGTATCCTATATGCCTTTTCAAGGGAAGTTTTAAGAATAAAATGACTTTTTTGAATGTAATAATTATTTTAATTACTGAAAGGTATAAATGGTTAAGGATCATGGCAAGAGTGTCTAACAGTTGAAATACTTGTAAAGCATTATATTTTCATTTTGCTTTGCTATAATGCTTTGCTAAAAATATAAAGCTTTGCTAAAAATGCTTCATGCTCATACAGCACTGTATTTGATCTATGACTTGCAAGTGATAATGTGTGTATACCAAGCTCCAATTATGACAGCAATCCCAATCTGTGTTTTATTTTAATACCATCAAATAATTAACTCAGTTCTGAGACTCTCTACCTGGAGAAAGCTCCAGTTCCCACAGGGTAAGGGCTCGATTCTACAACACTATGCTTTCACTCCTTTTTTTGGACTCCAACACAAATCCAAGTTGTCTTCCTGACTTTTGGGCCATAGTCCAGAGATTCCCATGGCCCCTTCCTCATGTTTGATTAATCTGCTAGAATGGCTCAAAAAACTCAGAAAAACATTTACTTACACTTCTCAGTTTATTGTAAGGCATATTTATGAATAGTCAGATGAAAAGATGTATAGGGCAAGATATTTGGAAGGGGCCCAGAGCTTCCATGCCCTTTCCAGGATGTCACTCTCCTAGCACCTCGGTGGTCACCAACCTGAAGCTCTCTGAACCCCATCCTTTTGGGTTTTTATGTAAACTTCATTAAATAGGTATGCTTGGCTTGATTGAATCACTGGCATTTGTAATTTGACTTCCAGCACATTCATTACTCTTACTATTCAGGAAACCCCAAGGCTTTTTGGTGCCCAGTGAAGAAACAAACAGAGATAAAGATCCAATGTATACTTGTTATAATTACAATATTATACAAACTTGTGGGCAAAATGAACTCTTTAGTGCAATATAACCTTTAATAGTGATTCAAATTTTAAACTTTGTTTAAGGCCTATCTGCAAATATAGTCACATTGGGGGTTAGGACTTTAACATAATTAATTTTTGGGTTCATGTTTCCGTGCTTAATACTGGGAGATGAGTTTCCACTTGGTTAACCTCTTTCACCTTTTCCTCGAATGCTTTTTTCTCTACAGCGATTATTTAAAATTTTGCTAAAATTCAAAACAAACATAAGACTATAATGAAAAATGTGGTCTTTATTGTATTTTATTGAACTCCTGTATATCCTTTAGAGAAATCCTTTTGGTGATGAATTTTTTAGTTTTCTTCCCACTAGAAATGATCTATACTCAAGGATATTTTCATGATATAGAATTCTGGTTTGACAGTTCTTTAAATAAATTGTTCTAGTTTTCTATCCTCCATGATTTTTGAGGAGAAATCTCTAAAAATTCAAGACTAATATCTTATAAATAGTATATCATTTTCTCCAGCTTTTCTCTAACTTTTTTTTTACCTTATCTTTTGCTTTCAGTGCCATGATTATGTTCTTTCTGCATGTGAAGTTCTTGTGTTTACCCTGGTTGGGGTACACTGATCTTCTTGGATCTGTAGATACATCTTTCTTTGAATTTGGGGAGGTTTTGATCATTATTTCTACAGATATATTTTCTTCACATATCTATACTTACCACAAATGTTAGATTTTGGATATTTTCCTGTAGGTTCCTTCCTGAGGTTCTGTTTATTTTTGTTTTATCTTTTTTTTTTTTTTCAGTCTATCTTCAGATTGAATAGTTTCTATTACTTTATCTTGAGGTTCATGAATGTTTTTCTTTATTGTCTTCATTCTAAAATTGAGATCATTCAGGATTTATTTATTTATTGGAAAAAATTTTCCTGGTTTTATTGTATCATGAGGCATTGAATCATCAGAACAATCAGTATCTGGGCGACAAGGCAGCTTCTTTCCTCTTCACTTCATTCATTGAAAGGCATGGTTTTTATTTATTTTCTTAAATCTTTGTTAATTTTTGGGTAGTTTTGATTTCACCTGTAGGTGAAGTCCCCGTAATTCTCCCACCACATCACCTGTATCCATCATCACAGTCCCTTGTGCTCTTTCCTCCCTCCTATGACCCCTCCCTCCTTTGACTCTCTTGCTGCATGCTTCGCGTTTTGTCTTTTTCCTGGCCATTGTTTCGGTTTCTCTATATTCCTCATATAAATGAAACCAGCGATATTCATCTTTTTTCTTCTGACTTATTTCACTTAGCATAATCCCTTCTGGCTCCATCTATGTGAACAGAAATGTCAAATTTTATATTTAAATGTGATGCATTTCAATGCTAAAATTTCCTCTTGACTCTTTTTTATATGCTTCTATTATTTACTGAGAATGATTTTTTAATTAATGTCAAATGTATTTACTTTTACCTCATGGAGCATAGTTATAATAGCATTTTTAAAGTCTTTGATAATTCCCATGGCTATCTCATCTCAGCTGTCTGTGTTTGTATGTTATTGATGCCTGCTGTCATTTATGGAGTTCTTTAAATCCATTCATTCTGTTTGAAACATTATCAATGTTTCTCTATCTTCGCTGTATTCTTTCTTTTGTTCATTCTTTGTTTTTCTTGTTTCCACAAGCATAGTGTCACTATCTTGAATTCCTCATCAAGCAAGTTATGCAAATCTGCTAGATTTGGATTTCTTTTGTTTGTTTGTTCCATCATTTGTGATATTTTTCTCTAGCTGTTCATTTTAGTTTTTTTTCAGTTGAAACAAAGAGCTTTATTTCTTTATCTAGGAAGTTGGCTTTAGGTGTCTTCCTTCATAGTCTGACACCTCTGCATTTGTCTAGATGCTATAATGCTTGCAAGGGGAGGGAGATAGGAGCTGGGCAGCAGGGCATTAGATAGTGCCACTAGTGAGTACCTAGAGTTCAATCCTCCTGAGGTTCTGCAGATACTTGAGATTTTTTTGGGGGGGGGTACTGTTGTTAAGATAACCACCTCCTCTAGGCCAATTCCTCAGTTAAAGCTTTTCAAATAATTTTGGGCCAGTGTCAACCTCTCTACTGTTGTTCAGTTCTGGCTTACCAGATCTGTGACCAGTTTAGCTCTAGTTTACTGGACCTATCTATGACCATGGAGCAGACAGGAGAAGAATGAACTGAGAGAACTGAGAGCTGCTGGTTCCCACTGTGAACAGGCTGCTGCCCAGGTTCTGATTACAGGCAAATGGAGACTGTGGGGGGAGTATATTTCTCAAGGTTTATGCTAGTGACTTTATACAAAAAGCAGCATCCCCTGCAGACTTCTCTCAATCATCACTCAATTATTGTAATGCCTGGAGGGGGCTCTCAATCATCACTCAATTATTGTAATGCCTGGAGGGGGTTACCGTCTTCCTGGTGTGCTTGCTCCTATTGTTAAAAGTCTACCTGCATTAAACTCTGGTTAATGTCAGTATTCACTGTATAGAGTTGCTATCTTGGCTTTAGCCCCCAGTTGGAGTGAGACTTGGAGATACAAGCTCAAGCTGACAATCATTCCTTATACAGTTATTACACTGACGATTACCAAGACTATCAGCTGCCTTCAAACTCCTCTGTTTAGGGGTGTTTAACTGTTTAACTCTGGGTGCCCGATTACTACGTGGCAATATAACATCTACCTGGTGTTCTACTTCAAGTCTCTGCTCCCCTACTCCTACTATTCTCTGGAGGTAGATCTTTGTCCTATATACTGACTATGTGTGCCTCCCCACTCCCAGGTCTGTTCCTGGCTTCTCACATCCCTGATGCAGCCATGGACACTTCATTCAACAACCACAGAGAGGCAGATTTCCGTTTTTTCCTACCCTCTCTGCTATATTGTCCCTCTATAAGGGACAATGTAAGTGTCTAGATAAGTGTTAGATAAGTGTCTAGATAAGTGTTAGATAAGTATCTAGATCTATAGTGTTAAGTATAATCACATTTTAGTGCAACTTTTTCATCTTGAAAAACTGTCTAATTAACAATAACTCCTCATTGGCCCCCTCCTTCCCAGCTCCTGTCTACCACCATTCTATTCTCAGTCTTTGCAGATTTGACTATACTAGTACAACATATTGGTGGGATTCTGTAATATTGTCTTTTACAACTATCATATTTCATTTAGCATAATGTCCTCAGGTTTCTTCCATATTTTAGCTTATCACAGAGTTTTCTAACTTTATTAAGATGGAATAATATTCCTTTGTATGTATATGCCACATTGGTTTATCCATTTGTCTTTTGAACACTTGGGTTGCTTCTGTTATTGATGATTGTAAATAATGCTGCTATGGATGTGGAAGGGATTTTTAGTGTTTTTAAAAAGCATTCCTGAAATGGTTCTAATGTACTGCCAAGGGAGAGAACTACTTGAAGGGTTTCTAAACTTAGAGGAAACCCATATTATAAATCGTAATGTGAAATTTAAAAACTTTTAGATTATGTCATCTATATACTATCATTGAAAACTGAAATGTTTTCTCTTTGAAATTGTTTTTTATCCCAAATTTAAGGTGTAGCTGTGGGCGATTTATTGGAGACCATCATGGGATAGATCATACTTGGACTACCTCAGCTGCCAATGGTAATGAAAATGAACAATGGTCTGTCGAAAAACACACAAGAAAAAGCCCTACAGATACCTTTGGCACTATTAATTTCCAAGATGGAGAACACACCTACCACTCCAAGGTTTGTCTACCACCCCATTATTTCATTGGTTTTTAAGAAAAGATGAAATGTATCTCCAAATTGTATCATGTGCAGGGCATTGTACCTTTCCTAAGTATGATGCAGATTGTTCTTTATTTGACTGACCTTTTCCCCTTAACTTTGGACCTCTGCAAAAGATAATCAATGACTTACTGAACTTTGTGAAAGTTGCTGAAGGGCTGCCTTTTCTTAAGGAATGTAAAAAAGTTATCACCTTACAGCATGCTTTAGCTGAAGCATGGCCACAGCAATAACCAGTAGATTGTGGCTGTTTGACTCTCTTGTGGGAAGAGACTCTCTTGTGGATCAGTTTTTCTTCTGTGTCTGACATGGTAATATTGGGGTGAGTTGTATTGTATTGACTGGTAAACTATTTTTGGGGTGTTTTCTTTTGAGCATGTTAGTCACCTACTGCTTTATTAGTGGCAACTTTTCCTGAGAAAATTCTGGGTACTTACCATAGGAAAGCTTAGAACCTGTTACATTCTGGAGTTTGACCATTAGTTTGATGGATTTGAAGCAACATTTCCTAGTAGTGTAATCATAACTGAAGTTCATCATACAGTGTTCTTTGTAATCTAGATTTCCTACTATTAATTCTCTCACATTGAACTTTGTGTGATGCTTTCTTTAGTTGGCAGAATAACAGTCTTCACTTCTCTTCCGTTTCTTTTGGAAACTCTTATAGAACTCTTGATGTAATTTTTCCCCTGAGGTTTTAGTCTTCTTTTGATTTTATGTTCTTCATAATCATCTTCATTTACTCACTTTCCATCTATTAAAAAAATAGTTACTGGATGCCCACACTTTGCTGTGCCCCAAAGAGTATATGTTCATGTGCTTGGATATAGACTGGTGAGGAAAATAGGACATAAATTACCACAGGAGGTAGGGGTACTTTGAAAAGGAAAAACAAGGTTCTTGGAGAGAATGAAAAGGCTAACTCCTCATGGTGGTGGTGGTGGTGTGTGTATTAAGGGAGCCATCTTCCTTTAGGTATCACTAAAAAGAGATTGGAAAGATGAATGATGTGAGGTATCTGGTGAGGAAGAAGGGAAAGTTTGCATTCTGGACATTAAGGACAGCTTGTGTGATGGTCAAAGAGAATATGGTGCATTTAGGAGAGCTGAAAATGTGGTTAGACAGATCAGATCAGTAATACATTTTATGTTCAGCATTGGGTTCCTGTTACCTCCTATGTACCTGAATGCATTTTATTTGAGTGCTGAGAAAGGAAGAGACTATCCTTTAATTTAAGACCAGAATTGTATATCAGGTTTACAGTGGAGTAGGAAGGCTTGTGGGAGCTGATTGTTCTTCTCCCTCCACTGTCTTTTCCTTCTCAGTTGTTTATCCCTCCTACCTCATTTCATAAAGAATTGGGAGATGAATCTTTGCCAGCAGGATTCTAAGGGAGTTAGTTTAAAATAAGGGGGAAGGGAAAGAATCATTAACCTTTAGCTGTGTCTGCTTTTAGCCTTTGGGAGAAAAGACTCTAGTGCCAATAATTTAGTTAATCAGGTTTGTTTATCCTAAAATCTTAAGGAGAAATGTCTTCGAGGACTAAAAGATTTGTATTTGAAAGAGGGAGATTTGGGAGAAAGATTTGGGGCAGAAAGAAGGTGAGCTAAACCATAATTGCCTCCTGTGTCCTTATTCATTATTCAGAGCAAAGCAAATCAGTTCACAGATGTCAACTTGTACTTTTTCCTGCTTCTTTAACTTGCTATAAGTCTGTGGTGGCAGCACTGTCTCCTCCCTTGTGAAGTGAATCCTCGTTATCCCTCCATTCACAGTTTTTTTTAAAAGATTTATTTATGCATACAAGAGCTGGGGTACAGGCCAGAGATGTGGGGGGTGAGAGGATTCACCAGAGACAGAGTGGGGAACAGAACAGGCGGACTGACTGAAATACACTGCTGAGGGGAGCAATGGGCAAGACAGGAGAGGTCTGCTGCGCCATGTGGGTTGCTCCCTGGATGGCTGGGGATCAAACTCGTGCTGCAGAGGCTGCAGATTGCTTCATAGTGTGGTGCTTAACCCCTTGTGCCACCAGGGAGGCCCTCCATTCGCTGTTACTTCCTTTCCCCATGGCTGCACCATACTTATGTTCAGGAATTCTATTTTAATTATGAATTAGAGTGATTATGTTTTAAGAAGTTCAAAGATAGACTGTTATTGTTTTAAAATTGTTATCAGATTCTGGAGCATACAGATCGTCCAGATAATTTCTATTTGCCTATGTTCAGAGATCGTTACCTTTAGTTATTTTTAGTCAAGTTTTACAGTTTTTGGATTCTATTGTCCTTATTTCTTCCTGTAAATTCAACTTATTTTTGCTGTTTGTTGGCTTGTGTTTGAGGAAGGCAAACTCATCTCAGTGTGATTTTCATGGTTTGTATGTGGCTGTGGTGGCAGCACTATCTCCTTCCTTGTGAATTGAATCTTGCTAGAAAAAGAAAGCAAGTCATACTGCAATTTTAGGCAAAAGGCAGAATGACTCTGAGGTTGCCTGCTGGCATGGGTCTCCCTCATCTTTCCTTTGGTCACATTAACTAGTCAAAGATGATCTGTTGTGAAAAGTATTTACTTTTAGGGAAAAAATTGCATTTTTTTTAAATGCATGTAGAGGAATCATTATATAAAGGAAGGTAAAATTTATAATAATTTAAATTATGAAACACACAACATGGTCAAGTAAGTTAAAGCCATAGTATTTGTAAAAAAACAAAAACAAAAAAAAAAAAAAACCCATTTTACCTATATATCAAAACCTTTTAAAATGGCTTTGCTGGAGTAGTGATTTTTGCCATTTTGAAGTATTTTTACCTCATGTCATACCTTCTAGAGTACATTGGGGGGCAACCTTGAAAGCCAGAGGAAGTCTTCCTGCTGTGACTTGTAATTCCCAGAAGGAACTTAAAGAGGGGTGTGGGATCCTTTTAAAGTAAATATTTCCATTATTTTGAAAAAGATTTCTGATTCTTCTTTCAAGTTTTGGTTATTGTTACTGTCCTGCTGTGTTCTCTCTGGAGTGTTTTCCCTATGTTATAAACATGTGTCAATGTGCCTGTCTTCCAGTATATTAGAACGTCTTACGATACAAAGTTGGATCATCTGTTACATTTAATGTTGAAAGAATGGAAGATGGAACTGCCAAAGCTGGTGATCTCTGTCCATGGGGGTATCCAGAACTTTAAAATGCTCTCCAAACTTAAAGAGATCTTCAGCCAAGGTTTAGTTAAAGCTGCAAAGACAACAGGAGCATGGATAATAACTGAAGGCATTAACACAGGTAAAGCACAATTCTTAATTCACTTTTTTCTTTTAAATTCCCTCTTCCTAAGTGTGAACCAGGCAGTGCAGCACCTGATCTCTGCTCTCTAGCACCCTGGGATGTGTTGGGGTGAAGCAGAAAGATGAAGAGTATCATGACTGGAAAACAAACCCAGAAGAGTCACAGGCCTTCCCTGAAATGTTTTTACCTTAATCAAAATACACTCCATCTGGCAACGGAAATAGTCTTTTATGAGCTTCTGACTGCAGGAGGTTATAAAGGGCACTGAGTCCATTTAAGTGTGCAGTTCAGGGTCATGGGCATTAACTAAACTCTTGTAGCCATGGTCCAGTGCCCTGACATTGGAAGGCAGTGACTAGTGCAACAGTTGTGTTGGGCAGATTGGCCTTGAGGAGATAATTAACTACATAATTGCCATTCCACTTACTCTATCACTGACTTTTCTTTTTCATGAACCTTAGATAGCTTCTGAATTCCTAACCCTGCTCCTTGAATCAGTGTTTATGAACTGATTACATGTTAAGAATCACTTGGGGAGCTATTAAAAAATACTTATGCATTAGGTCCACACCTGATTAAGTAGGAGTTTCTTAAGGTTGTTTAATAGCAGCTAGGGTTGAGATACAGTGGCACTACAAACCCTCCTCTTTTACCAATCTGTTATTAACCTGTAGTTTGCCATCTTCCTTTCACCACTCCCTCTTTTGATTTGGAATGTCCTAGTTAATATGTCCTATGAAATTCTGCCCATCCTTTAAGGTCTACATTCTATGCCGATACACCATGAATCACGCTCATCAGAGTAAAATTGCTCACTTTTGTTTTTCAATGTCTATAATATTTACTGTCTGTGGCACTTGTAGCATGTCTATATTTTGCCTTCCAGGTAAGGTTAGTTTGTTTATGAACTCTGTCTGTGAGCTCAGGGTGTTCACATCTGCCTCAGCATTGACCAGCACACGCAGCAGTACTTATCAAATTATTGACCAAATAATTCCTTTTGACTGAAAAGGCATAAAGGAAGCAAATGATTGAAAAAACAAAGCAAAATAAAACCTATGGTATTTGGTTTGTCACTAATAGATAACCTCAGAGTTCTCCTTGTACATTTGGTAAGATAATTATTGCTTCACATTCTTGGAAGAAAGGGAAGGTAGCAGAGTCCTAAGTCCAATGTACAGTACTTAGTTTACTTCCATTTGAAAAAGAGGCAGAAATTTTGCAGAGTTCAGAAAAAGGTAGATCTGGCCAAGGCCTTTTCTTTGAATAACTAACTATCACATGTTTTATATTACTTATTGTTTAATTAAGGAACACAAATATAATAATAATAATATAAAGACTACTGAAATAGTTTATGTGAACAAAAAAAATGAGAAATGAGACATACTTGGAACGTCCTTAAATAATAATCTGCATCTGCCTTATTCAGCCACATTTCCTTAGCATTTAACTACTCAAGAGTGGTCTCTGGACTAGCAGCATCAGTCTTCTCTGGCAGCTTATTGGGAATATAGGTTTCAGGTCCTACCCTAGACTGGTGGGATCAGAATCTGTATTTTGACAACATCCACTGATGACTCTTGTGTATACTTAAATTTGAGAAGCCCCGCTTACCAGCTTCTGCCTATTCTTGAGATGCTTCTCAACTCTAATGAAACAATTTTTGGCATGAATTTTTGACATTTCTTAAATTGAATGCCACACACCTTAAAATCTACTCTGTATAAAGCATTTGGATAGATGTTGTGGATGAAAGGGTGAGTAAGCAAAGTATATTAACTCTTGAAAATTTGTGTATATAAAGCTGTTAATTTGCCCCAGTGAAGCAAAGGACATACTACAGAATGCTGTGCTGGAACAGTAGAGAAGGTTAGAGAAAAAAAAAATACTCAGTATGATGATGATGTTAGTGCTGGGCTTGCAGGATGTTCTGGTCAGGCCAAATGTCCCAGAACTGAGGTTGTAAGCAGACATTTGGAGGAGAGAATTGTTCAGGTAGAGAGGTCAGGCGCAAGAGGAAGAGAAGTTAGCAGGGAGTAGAGGAGCCAAGTTATCAGAACTAATTCTACTGGGTCAGCAACTTTTTCTAATAATGGCCTTTTGCATACATTTGTTTACTTGCCTACTTGTGTCTTTCCGGCAGTTTTGGTGTTTTGCATGATTTGTGAGTTAAATTTGACTTCTAAATTGATCATTCATAGGAGTGTCCAAACATGTTGGGGATGCCCTGAAAGCTCACTCTTCCCAGACCTTGAGAAAAATCTCAACAGTTGGAATCCCTCCTTGGGGTGTCATTGAGAACCAGAAAGATCTTATTGGAAAAGATGTAAGTAGAAAATCCTTTCATAACAAAAGGAAATGAACAGGTATCTGATTGCCAAAACTTAGCATTTTCTGTGGCTATCTAATAGACATCTCAAAACCAGCTGCTTACTCCCTTCTACCTCCTGTACTGTGTCTTAGAGGATGACAATCCCATCCTTACAGTTGCACAAGCCCCAAACCCTGAACTAATCCTGGAGTAATCTCTGTCTCATGCCTCAAAACCAACCCATCAATAAATTATCTCAGCTTTACTTTAAAAATATGCCCAGAATCTGACCTCTACTCATGAACTCCACTATTTCTGAATAGGACTAAGCCACCACTTTCTATCACCCAAATGATTGTAATAACCTTCCATACTCCCATCCTTTATTATTATTATTATTACATATAGTCTGTTCTCACACAATAGCCAGAATGATTCTTATAAATTAAAATTTGATCATGCTACTCTCTGTGAAAATTCCTTTAGTGGTTCCAAGCTTCTTGGCATGGTTTCCAAGTAGTAAAAAAAGGGACACTTGTGGTTTGGCCCTTTCTTTCTCTCTTCCCTCATCCCTCTTTGCTTTGTTTATTCCTGTGTATTGATTCTTTGATCTGATCTTCCCGTGTTTCTAAGGAAATGGACATGTCTAAGAATGTTTATAAGAAGAATGTGTATTTTTGGGCCTCCCCTGGTGGTACAGGCTTGAGCACCATGCTGTGAAGCTGCCCGCAGCCTCTGCAGCACTGGCTCGAACCCGGCCAGTCGGCAAGGGTCCCAGATGGCATGGCAGACCTCTCCTGTCATGCCCGCTGCTCCCCTCAGCAGTGTATTTCATCAGTCTGCCTGTTCTGTTCCCTGCTCTGTCTCTGATGAATCCTCTTACCCTCCCATGCATCTGGCCTGTACCCTGGTTCTTGTATAAATAAAAGATAAATAAATCTTTAAAAAAAATTGTTTTAAAAAAAGAAGAATGTGTATTTTTTATAAAAATCTCAGCTATTACATAAAAGTATGAAAGAAGAAAGCTGCTATTAATATTTGGGTGTATATCACTCCAGAATATTTTCTATGTATAGTAAAACAGAAGTTTGTTGTGTTAAAAAAAAAAAGGTAATAACGGAAGCCCTCAGATATGAATCTGCTTCGAAGCTTACTTATTTAACATAGTTATTTCTTGATGTCAATTGATATACGCACCCTTGTGGCTTATTTTAATGTTCTTTTGGAAAATTTCAAACATAGTAGAGAATAGAGAAAGAATCATAATTACCTGTGTACCTCTTCCAGTTTCAACAGATACAAACTCAGAGCCAATTTTATTTCACCTATTCCCTTATATGTTCCCCACTCTCTGCCCCATTTGAAGCAAATTCTATGTATGTATATAGCCCAGCCACATACTAGACCACATGTTGATCCACAACAAAAGGGAAATTGAAGAAACCCAACCGATCATCACACCTAGCTTGAGAAGCGCTGCTTTAGGTAGCAAGTCAGAGGCCTTAACCCTGAGCAGAGCACTGTAGCACACAGAGTCGCCCATGGAGCAGCTGAGCTTGTGGAGGATCTTGAGGTCTGACTCTTCCTTTTCCTGGCTGTCTCGCAGGTGGTGTGCCTGTACCAGACTCTGGGCAACCCCCTGAGCAAGCTCACCACTCTCAACAGCATGCACTCCCACTTCATCTTGTCTGATGATGGAACTGTGGGCAAGTATGGAAATGAGATGAAGCTCAGGAGGAACCTGGAAAAATACCTCTCTCTGCAGAAAATACACAGCTGTGAGTACTATATGGCTCAGCCAACAGAACCTGGCTTGGGGCCTGCTATGAGGCAAGGCCCTCTGTTGCTATCTGTACAGAGTAGGGAGTTTAGCCGATCCCTGCTGTAAGTTAACACATGTGAACCCATGGGTGGAAGAAAACAGGATGTAAGGTGATGTGGAGTTGAGGGTGATAGTGGGGAAAGAGGAAGAAATCTTCAAGGGACAGTGTGGTGAGGGGAGGTTTCCTGGAGGAGTGGAGACTATAGCAGAACCTGCAGAGTCCCTAGGGTTGGATAGAGGGAGGAAGGAGGGGAAATAAGGTTGTGGGAATTTAGATGACTGAGAAGCAGCAAGGAGGCTAGCCTGAGGGCCATAGGGATATGAACATTGACAGTCAGGCAAGACATTTCAAAGGTGGTTGGGTTGGCCACAGGGGGCTTTCAGAAATAGGGGATTTGGAGGAATCGATGTTGTGTTATGCTGGGAGTGGTACCTTGAGATGGCCATGTTGGTCTTCTCTGTAGATGAAAGAGAAGAGGAGGTGCAGAATGGATGGTCATTTTTATAACATGCTAGTCATATTGATCTTTGTTTACATTTATATAAAATGTATACTTATGTATATGATTTTAAATGTCATGACTAGGAGTACAGTATGTGTATCATTCTATGACTTTTTAAACTTAATACTTTTAAAAAGAATGACTCCATGGTCTTTCTCTTTTATTTGTCTTCCTTACTTTAATAAAGTAGTATATAGTTATGATAACAAATTCAAAAAGCGAAAGGTGAAATAAATTGAAATGTAAAGTCTTTGAGGATTGGTCACCCCCTCCCCTCCCATTGGTTATAGAAATAACCACTAGAAGTTGATTGCTTTGACAAAAGTTGAGCATTTTTGGAGAATAGTGATGGCTACATTGGGAGTTGTTGTATCATTTTGTTTTCTTTGAGATGGCTTCTTGGTCTTGAGATAGCTTCTTGGGTCAGTGAGGAGAAAGGGGGCTAGTGTAAGTAACACACCCATGGTAATTAAAGTTTGTGCCTGGCAATCAAAATGGCTGATCTGCCAAGATAGGAATCTTTGTAACAATTTGATACCATTTATCATCTGAAATAGGCTCAAGACAAGGTGTGCCTGTGGTGGGGCTGGTGGTGGAAGGTGGTCCCAATGTCATCATCTCAGTGTGGGAGATCGTGAAGGACAAAGATCCAGTGGTGGTTTGTGAAGGGACAGGCAGGGCTGCTGACCTCCTGGCCTTCACCCACAAACACCTAGCTGATGAAGGGTGAGTTTTGACTTTTGATATATGAAACCATGGTGACTATTTGTTTCTCGATTTTAGTATGTTAAGCTGTGCCTTTGAATGGGCCAGCTATGCTTGGAGGACAGAGTTTGAGAATCTTTAATATACCATTAATGTATCATCAAAGATATGCAAGTTACTATTTCCTTAGCTGCCTCTATCAAGGACACTTGGCCTTGTTTGAGCTTCAGGAAAAAAACATTTCCAGGGGATAGTGAGGGAGATGTTTGTGCAATTGGCCATTATAGCTACAAGAACCCTTCAGTGAGGAAGGTTGCCAGTGTTGACCCTGGGTTACCTTCAAATTTGCTTGCCAGTGATAAAAAAAAAAGCAAAAACAGGAGTTGGGGAAATTGAAATTTACATAGTGTATGATCCCCTTTTTGAGGTTTTAATGATTTCTGCTTCTCAGATAGGAAGGTAGTTTTTTTCTTGCCATGCCTATATCCAGTGTAAATCTCCCAATTTAAATTAAAGCATGATATTTTTGGGCCTCCCCTGGTGGCGCAGCGGTTGAGCGCTGGGCTACGAAGCTGCCCGCAGCCTCTGCAGCACCAGTTCGATCCCTGGCCGCTGGTGAGGGTCCCACGTGGCATGCAGACCTCTCCTGCCGCACCCACTGCTCCCCTGGGCAGTGTATTTCTTCGGTCTGCCTGTTCTGTTCCCCGCTCTGGCTCTGGTGAATTCTCTCACCCTCCCGTGCTTCCGACTGTACCCAGTGCTTGTATAAATACATAAATACATAAATAAATAAATAAATAAATAAATAAATAAATAAATAAAATCTTAAAAAAAAATAAAGCATGATATTTTTACTGTGAGTAAATACAGTGTCTCTGGGCTAAAATGTGGACCCCTCTAGTTACTTAATAAACATTTACAAACTACTTAGTTTACACTGCTCTGTGATGTCTCCTTCCTTATAAGTTTTCTCCCCTGTAGCACTCTGCCCTCTACTTTCATGCTCTACCCTCCTTCCTTATCCTTTCAAACCCATCGATTTCCTAATATCACCCTAGGTGAGTGATTTTTAAACATTTTTGTGTTTTATATCCTTTTGATAATGTAATATCCATAATTCACAGTCCCACCCTGAAAATCTGTCAGCTCAAGAACCTGGCCCCTTGCTTTCTCTCCAGCATCATGACAGATCAGTCAAATTCAGACTTCTCTTGAGATTGCTGCTTTCCTTTGCTTTCTGCTCTTTTGCTCTCTTAGCAGAACTGCCCAAAGATAGCTTCTTACATAGGTAAAAGGGTTTTCTTATCCTGTTGTTGCTGGTTTGTTCCCTTTTCTGCATGTGTCAAGTCACAACCATTTATCTTTCTCTCAGGACCCTCCGTCCTCAGGTGAAGGAGGAGATCATATGCATGATTCAGAAAACTTTCAACTTTAGTCTTAAACAGTCCAAGCACCTTTTTCAGATTTTGATGGAATGCATGGTGCATAGGGATTCTGTGAGTATGATGAATTGATGACTCAACTAACTTAAATCCTAATTTTCAACAAGTATAATATTATTTTCATAATTTTAAAAAGAATGGCACTTTGCATTTTTTGTCTTGATTGTATTTAGCTAGCTCTGCAGAATTTTATCCTTAGTTGAATAAATTTACTTCTTATAAATAAATTTGCCTTATAAATAAATTCCCAACTGTATCTGGGAAAAAGCATTTCAATTCAGAAAAAGATTTTAGTGTTTTGAGATACTTCATCAAAAACTTTTTCCAAATTATGTTTATTGAGGTAAAGTAGGTTTATATCTTTATATCTCTTCTGGCTGATTTTTAATCAATATTGTCAATGACCACGATGATCTAAAGCTGAAAATTATAGTAAGTATGCAGATATGCCGTTGTTTACAGTGATTTTTCTAGAACTTAAAAACTGAGCTAAATCATATAAGATTTGGTACTATATAGTCATTTGCCTTCAAAAAAACCATTGGAGCAAGTTTTGGCAAAACATGGCTCAGTATGTGAAAAACCCTTTGGGAATTTTAGTTCATTTAATAACAACAATAGTAACAACAGACATATCTACAATTAACAGTGTGATTTCAAATATTTGTTTTCTTATCAAAATAGCCCCATGTGTGAGTTCAATATGGCATTGATTGGTTATTTCACTTTTGGTGAGGACAAAACTGAAACATAGAGAATTTAAGTGATTTACTAGTAGGGTCATTCCAAAATAGTAGAACTAAAACTTGAGTTCTGAAATTTTGAAATTTTGTCCATAGTCTACTCCATTTTATATTTTTACAATATTCAGTGAATTAAGAAAAGAGCATGATAAAACGATCACCCTTATATTTGCCTCCTCCTGTCCCTAAGCAGAGTAGCTGGTGAGTGATGCGATGGTCAGGCTTGAACTGGAGGCAGCAGCTAAGGGTTTGTGTATTTCAGGAATTAGCTCCTTAGCTACTGTACAATTGAAGGTTGATTTTACTCATGCACATAGGCTGTAGGGGAGGGAACAAACATGTGAAGTTGTAGAAGCATAATATTTTAAAAATCTTTATGTGAACTTAGAGATTATTTAATGGGTTCCCTTCTCTTTTGAGTGAGGAACCTGAGACTCAGTGGCCATATAATATTTACCCAAGAACGAGTTAGTGACATATCTAGGGCTAGAACTTGCTAGTCTTGGCTCTTTTGTATTGAATAGTATATTATTATTTGGAAAGACTAGAATCTATTCATTATAACAGGTGACCTTTTAAAATAATAAAGTCCTTACTTGTCTTAAAAATTAAATCTGTGTGTATTTTGATGAATATTTTTCTCAATTCACTAGCTCAAGAGTGAATTTTGTTGGTACTTTAAAACATTTCATTGCTAGTACCCAAAATGTATGGCTTTCTGTTTTGAACTGTTATAGATTACCATATTTGATGCTGATTCAGAGGAATCACAAGATCTTGATTTGGCAATCCTAACAGCTCTGCTAAAGGGTGAGTGTCAGAATAGGGTCACTATTGTGCCTCTCTTTTCACATTCCATGGCTCTTTGTGCTTTTATGTTGATGTTTTGAAAATAATATGTGGTTGTTCCTTTTGTATATCTTAGGTACAAATTTATCAGCATCGGAACAATTAAATCTGGCAATGGCTTGGGACAGAGTGGACATTGCCAAGAAACATATCCTAATTTATGGGCAACATTGGCAGGTATAAATGAAATGAAGTTATTTGGGAACAATATTTTGTGTTTCGGTTTTTTAGGAAGGATTGAAAGAGGAAGTTGGAGGAGGAATAGAGTGGCTTAGGAGGGGTATAGAGTGGCAACTATGGCTGGGTGCCCAGGGATAGCTAAGACATTTCTCTCATCTACTTTGCCTTCTTGAAAATATGTTTTTTCTTCTGACTCTGCAGCCTAATTGAAGCTGACAGAGGACATTGGAAAAAAAAAGCCAAAATGGAAGGGTTTTTTTATTTTTTGAATGGGCATATTTTTATATTGCTGTTTAAAATTTTTCTTTTTTTTTGCATTAGAATGTAATACATGCTCAAGGGCCTCCCCGGTGGCGCAGCGGTTGAGCGCTGGGTTGCGAAGCTGCCCGCGGCCTCTGCGGCGCCAGTTCGATCCCCGGCTGCTCCCCGGCCACCGGAGGAGGGTCCCGCATGGTGCGCAGACCTCTCCTGCCGCCCGCTGCTCCCCTCAGCAGTGTACTTCGGTCCTTCTGCCTGCTCTGCTCCCCGCTCTGGCTCTGGTGAGTTCTCTCACCCTCCCGCGCTTCTGACTGTACCCAGTGCATGTATAAACAAAAACAAACAAATAAAGAAAGAAAGAAAACATGCCTCTATATATAAAAAAAAAAAAACAAAAAAACAAACTATTTAAAGAATGTAATACATGCTCACAATAGAAATAAATGGAAACAGAAGAGAGATGACCCATAGTACTAAGGATAATCACACTTAAACTTTCATTAAAAAAATTTACAGTCATGACCATACTGTATGCAGATTATTTTTGAGTCAAATGAATACATTCACTTTTTTTTTTTTTTTAAAGATTTATTTACTTATACAAGCACTGGGGTACCAGCCAGAGGAGTGGGAGGGTGAGAGGATTCATCAGAGAAAGAGCAGGGAGCAGAACAGGCAGAAGGACCTAAATACACTGCTGAGGAGAGCAGGGGGCAAGACAGGAGAGGTCTGCTGCGCCATGTGGATAGCTCCTTGGCCGGCCAGGATTTGAACTGACGCTGCAGAGGCTGCGGACAGCTTCACAACGCTGTGCTCAACCCGCTGCGCCACTGGGGAGGCCCCATTCACATTGTTTAAAAGAACAAATGTGATGCTGAAAGACTACTAAAGACACAGTGGTACCCAGTCTTGTAACAGCCTAATACTTTTGATAATTTCTGGAAAGTGCTAACAATTACAAATTTCTGTATTTCTAAATAATAAGTCACATAGTTATGTGATTCACCAGTTTTGGAGACCTCTCAATACGTCTGTCTCTGGTCCTCCCTGCTGCAGTCTGGACTGGTCATAGACTATTCCTATTGCTGGAATGTCATTCCTCATCTTCTTGGGGTTCCTTCCTGTTAAGAGTGTTTTCTGTACCTCCTATCCTCCCCTTTCTTGGTTTACTCCTTTTTTTGATGACATACGTCTTTCAGTAAACTCCTAAGAAAGGGAATATGAGAGGTAAGCCATTTTGATTTATTTGTTTGGATAGATTTTAATTCAAGATTGGAGCTAATTCTCCTTAAGGGTTTTGAATGCCTCACTTCTAATGTTACTGTTGGGAAGCAAAAGTCTTTTTATTTTTGGATCCTTTGTTTGCCACTATTTTTTTTCTGGAAGTTCTAAAAATATTCTCTTTTTCGCATGTTCTGAGATTTCACAATGATGTGTGAGGTTGTGAATCTCTATACCCATTATACTGTTGACCAACTTTCCTTTTTTTTTTTAAAGGTAATTTTTTTAAAAAGATTTATTTGTTTATTTATACAAGTACTGGGTACAGTCAGAAGCTCAGGAGGGTGAGAGAATTCACCAGAGCCAGAGTGGGGAGTAGAGCAGGCAGAAAGACCGAAGTACACTGCTGAGGGGAGCAGCGGACGGCAGGAGAGGTCTGCGCGCCATGTGGGACCCTTGCCTGGTGGCCGGGGATCGAACTGGTGCTGCAGAGGCTGCAGGCAATTTTGCAGCCCAGCACTCAACCGCTGCACCACGAGGGGAGGCCCATGTTGACCAACTTTCAACTTAGCAATCATGTATTTCCATTCTGGGGAATTTCTTGCGCTGTTTTCTCTATACCTTCTCTGAAATTCCTATTATTTGATAGTTGGTCCTATGGACTACTACCCCCATCTTATCTTTGTCCTCTTATCTTCCATAACTTTACTTTGGTAGATTTTCTTGGCTTTAATCTTCATATCTTTTTTTTTTTTTTAACAAGAACCGGGGTACAGGCCAGATGTGCGGGAGGGTGAGAGGACTCACCAGAGACAGAGCAGGGAACAGAACAGGCAGACTGATGAAATACACTGCTGAGGGGAGCAGTGGGCGAGACAGGAGAGGTCTGCCTCATCATGTGGGATTCTTGCCGGGCTGGCCGGGATTGAACCTGTGCTGCAGAGGCTGAGGATAGCTTCACAGCGCAATGCTCAACAGCCTGTGCCACCAGGGAGGCCCCTAATCTTCATGTCTTTTATATAGATTTTTGTTTCTGGTAGCATCCTGGATTTCTAAGAGCAATTTCTTTGTTCCTAATCTCCCACTCCCACCTTTTAAAAAAATAGTGTCCTGAACACAATATCTTCTTTTATGTTGCTGATTATTTTAATCATCACTCTCTTGACATTTTCTACCTGCACTGATTTCTCCTAGTTGAGATTTGATCTGTTCTGGACTTTGTACTTAAGGATGGGCAATAGAGAGCTCATTAGAAACTCTGAGCCTTTCAGACTAACAGTAGGGTGATCTGGATGCCCTTTGTTTGGGGACCTAAGACATATGCATATTTCTGCCTTTTCTCCTGGATTAGACATATTAATGCAAAGTCCTTTTTGCTTTTACCAGCAAGGAAAAAGCCTTCCTGCAAGTGTTATGAAAGTCAAATGGGGAAAGATGGACGATCCTACAGGGTTTCAGCATGTATACATTTATTTCCTCCTGATACTGCCAGAATTCTAGGTCATAGATTTATTTTATTTTTTTGATTCCAGTCTTTTTCCAGGTTCATTTTCTAGGGCCTGCTCAATCAATTACCACTTGACCATCTGCTTTCCAACTTCCAAAATATTGCACTCTTGATCTCCTTGTTCTTGTGGATTCATTTCTTAAAAAAAAAAAAAAAATCCCTTTGCTACAAGTTTAGTGCAGTTTTAGATTAAAAAAGATAAGCATGATTAACTTGCTATTTATACCCATTAATCAGTTATAGTTTGAATGGAAACATGCTAAATTATTAAAACAAAGCCCAAACACCTTAGGTTTTTATTAGAATTACATTAAACCTATTGACTGATTTGAGAAGAATTGAGATTTTTATAATAGTCAGCCTTTTATCACATAACAAATTCATCCCAGATATCTTTAATGCCTTCAGGTTTACTTTTTATTTTTTCACTCAGATTCTGAGTATATATTAATAAGATTATATTTTATGGTTATTGTGTCTATAGATTTTACTTCAAATAAATGCAATCCTTTATTATTTCTACTTTGATGTTATTTCTTCTTTCTTTGTTGTCTCTGTGCTCTTATTTATTTCTACCTCTTAAAGCCTGGCTCACTGGAACAAGCAATGTTAGATGCTTTGATGATGGATCGGGTAGATTTTGTGAAGCTCTTAATAGAATATGGAGTAAACCTCCATCGCTTTCTTACTATTCCTCGACTGGAAGAGCTGTATAATACAGTGAGTATTGGAACACTTCATCAGTCACCTCCCTATTTATTAATTAGCTTAAGGTTTAGTTTAAGCTATATCTTGAATGTTGAGTTCTCTTTGAATGTTCCTGTGCAAATATCGGTTACAGAGAGACAAATTTTTAAACCAAAGAAGAACAATTCTTACTAATTTCATTTTATCGTATGGTCATTGCTGTGTTTTCCATTAATAATTACACAAAATAAAAGCACAAACCAATTTAAAATACAGTAAGTTCACCATAGTTAAAATTCTTCCATGGCACATTAAAAAAAAGCTTTTCTCTCATGTTTTCTGAGTTCTAATCTATTTTTGTTTGCTTTTTCATCTAAGAGTGCACTCTTTTCTGTTATAAGAGCTCTGCAAATAAAATTCTTTTATTCTTTATTGAATTACTTAAGGACTTGATTGAACATAGTGTTCTGTAGATATTTGTTTATGGAATCATGTGATAGATTTTATAGTTGTCTAATTTATGATAAGGATAGTTATAAATTACTTGAAATTTATTTCTGCCTCTAAACAAAATCCTTACTACTAACTTATATACATCTTTCTTTGAAAAATAATTCAAACTGTATCTTCTCTTAGGACATAGTTTCCTTAGAAGTAAGATGGCTTAAGCATCATTACTAAAGATACTAATGAAAAATTTCAATATGCTGAGTTTTTTATGCATTCTGAAAAAACATTTCTTTTCCAGCACATAGTAATTGAGATGAGTAATTCTTCCTTTTGTTCTTTACTATAGAAACAGGGGCCTACTAATATGCTCTTGCATCATCTTGTCCGAGATGTAAAACAGGTAACCTTATTACAAAGGTGTGCAATTTTCTTTGTGTATTGCCTTAGCTTTGCGCTGGAGATGTTGTCAGTTTATAAAATGTAGATTTGGGTTTTCTAGTGAATTATTCTTTATCTGCTACTCTGAATAATTTCATCACCACACCGTACTCTCAATTTTTCCTGTAATTTACTTCGTGCTTTTAAAGATTTGATCTCTCAAATAAATGGCATTAGCTAATAATTTTTTTTCTTATAAAACATGAATTGGAAATATACAAAACTTCCCAATGGAAGCTAATCTCAACATCAGACAACAGTAGGATGATGAAATAATTATACCTGCTGAAAATAGAGACATCTTATCAGTGTCTATTGGAGGATTAACATGATATCCATTGTTTTTGTTATCACTGTTTTGGATACTAGTGATAGTTTGGGGGCTTTATCACTTCTTTTGTGAATCTAAGCATTGTTCTAAGGAGTCAGATGGACCCTTGCTTTGTATCCTTGCTCATATTTGTTCATGCTGTTCCCAATGAACTTTGTTTTTTGTTTTTTTTTTAAATGTAGTATTTTTTTTTAAAAGATTTATTTATTTATTTATTTATACAAGCACTGGGTGCAGTCAGAAGCGTGGGAGGGTGAGAGAATTCACCAGAGCCAGAGTGGGGAGCAGGGCAGGCAGAAGGACCGAAGTACACTGCTGAGGGGAGCAGCGGGTGGCAGGAGAGTCTGCACGCCATGCGGGACCCTCCTCCGGTAGCTTGGGAGCATCCAGGGATCGAACCGACTCCTCAGAGGCTGCGGGCAGCTTCACAATCCAGCGCTCAACTGCTGCGCCAATGGGGAGGCCCTCCCAATGAACTTTGAACTAAGTTAGACTTAATATAAAATTAGCTCATCCCTCATTAGTTACCCAAAATTTCCAGCTTTTTCAGACTTTATGCCTTAATTTTTTCTCTTTTAATTACTGAGAAATTTTATTCAGAGCACCTAGAAAATTAAGAATGTATTTTATTTGCCAAAATAGTTAAATTCTTCCACAGTGTGTTAAAAAAAAGCTTTTCTCTCACTTTTTCCTGAGTTCTAATATCCTGATGGAGAGAGTATGACTTAATGGATATGTTGACAGAGTGTGAAAGGGTTTGGAAGGAATGCATTTAGTTGGCAAATTAGTAGTAAACAAAAGTGTCTTGTTGATGTAACTTAGTTTACATTAATTTTATGCTAGATCAAAATGATTGTCCTTAAATTATTTCTCTAAAAATTGATTCTATCATGGTGAACTGAAGAAGGAGCTAAATAGATTAAATATGCTCCTAATTGGGAACAAATACGTACTTTATTTTTGATTTTTTAAAAAAGAATAAATAAAAAATATAAAAAAGAGAAATTAAGTTTTTATATTTATTTAACTTTATTTCTTGCTTAAAGCTTTGTGAATATGTCACAATATGTTCATTTCAAAGTTGTTGGTCAATAGTCAGTATGTCTTTAAAAATTTATTATAAGTTTAGAAATGCACAGCTGTGAAAAGGTACTAAAGAGGGTTTTCAGAGGTGAAAATAGTTTTTATTTAGACTATGATACATGGACTTGGATGTTAACTGCTCATAACATTTATCTTGGCACAGACTCATATCATGATATCTCATTTGAGCCACTCCATATACCTTATTTCTGGTAGCTCTACCTCCTATTTTTTTTCCTTTGGGGGTATGATGTAGTCAACACAGTGTGAAGTGTTATAGGCATTTTAATAAAGAGAGAAGCTAAAGAGTGAACCCAATGTTAATTTTGGGTCACATACATTATTTTTATTCTTCATTGATTTTTACTTTTGTTGTAGTTATATCCAGTTAAAAATAACCTTTTATACTATATTTAAATGTATGTTATTCTAAAATGTGTGTGTGCATGAATGAGAGAAAGAGAAAGAATGAGTAGATAGAAGCAGATATTCTATGCCCATGAAATTAAAAACATATTTAAGCTGAGTATTTTTTCTAATCTGAAGAGTAGATTATATCAGTAACTGTGTATTAACTGATCAGTTTGCAAAAGTGATTGAAAAATAATGATTCTGTCTCTTTGCAGTTGATTTGGTTGTGTCCTGATGACATGACCATAGAGAAAAAGAGAACTGCAAGCTATAATTCGTTATGTGTCTTTCTTGCAGCATGCCCTTCTCTCAGGCTACAAAATAACACTAGTTGACATTGGATTGGTAATAGAATACCTCATTGGTGGAGCTTATCGAAGCAGCTATACTAGAAAAAATTTCAGAGCCCTCTACAACAACCTCTTCAGAAAACACAAGGTACCATAATTGAAAAGTACCTTGTAAAATTAAGGAAAAGTAGGAGTTATACTTTTACGTTAATGGCTTGGGAATTTCAATGGGAATAGCTCCTAAAATGGACATCCTGTTTATAGACACTTATTGAGGGTTTGTGACATGTGAATACTGTGCTTAGTGCGGACATGCTGACCTGGGATGAACATAAAGATCAAGAGTTTAGAAACTGTTAGAGGAAATATATTTGTGAATAACCAGCCATAATGCAAAAGAGGATGCAATATGTGCTATAGTGACAAAGAAGGAATGAGATGAGAAAGGTTAGTGGAGAGATGATGAGTTCTTTCTTTCTTTCTTTTTTTTTTTTTTTTGGTGGGACCCTTGCCGGTGGCCAGGGATCAAACTGGCGCTGCAGAGGCTGCCGGCAGCCTGGCAACCCAGCGCTCAACCAAAAACTTAATGGGTTCAGATCTATAAACTCATCATATTCCATATATAATCTAGAAGATATATTGGAAGATATATGCAGAATGTACTTAAAATCATACCTGATGTACACATTCTATTTTCCATCGAATTTTTGAAAGTCTAGGAATGTATAATGAGGTTACTAATGGCTAACCTAGTGGGGAACTTGCATGGAAAGTTAGAAATGGGTATGAAATTACTTATTTCTTTGATTTTTTTTTTTTTTTAGTGAAGGAGTACAGTTTATAGTTTTGTAACTATAGTTTTACAAAGTAAATTAGATTGTAGCTTGGTTTGTAGTCAGAGAGATCTGGGGCTACATCATTGGAAGCTATGTACTTTTCAATAAGAAACTTAATCAGTTTCCTCATGTATAAGATGGGTATACTAATACCATTTTCATAAATTTATAGAAAGAATTGCACAAAATAATATCTGAAAAACCCATACTGCTGGTGCAAAGAGACTGTAAAGTAACTGTTAATAATAACCATTAAGTTATCACTAATGATACCATTAATTCTATATCATAATAATAATAATGTATTTTAGTATTATCTTTATAGTCTTTTTTTTTTTTTAAAGATTTATTTATTTATTTATAGAAGCACTGGGTACAGTCAGAAGCTCGGGAGGGTGAGAGAATTCACCAGAGCCAGAGCAGGGAGCAGAGCAGGCAGAAGGACCGAAGTACACTGCTGAGGGGAGCAGCGGGCGGCAGGAGAGGTCTGCGCGCCATGTGGGACCCTCCTCCAATGGCCGGGGCGCAGCCGGGGATCGAATCGGCGCTGCAGAGGCTGTGGGCAGCTTCGTAACCCAGCGCTCGACTGCTGCGCCACCGGGGAGGCCCTATTTATAGTCTTGACCCCTACTATGTCTAATTTATATCCATAAAACACACACTAAAAATAAATATAATTCAAAACCTATGGTTTGTCTTGAAATTTTTTTTTAAAGATTTATTTATTTATACAAGAACTGGGGTACAGGCCAGATGCGCGGGAGGGTGAGAAGATTCACCAGAGACAGAGCAGGGAACAGAACTGTCAGACTGATGAAATACACTGCTGAGGGGAGCAGTGGGCAAGGCAGGAGAGGTCTACTGCACCATGTGGGTATCTCCCTGGCCAGCCTGGAATCAAATCCATGCTGTGGAGGCTGCTACTGGGGAGGCCCTTGTTTTGAAATTTTTATATCAGTCCGTTTAAGGGTGCTTTTTTTTGTTGTTTCTCATTCTCAATGATGAAACCTTCATGCAGATAAGCATTGATTTATATTGTTATTGGGCCTATTGGTATGCCAGTGGAGACACTTCGTAACACCTTGGAGAAATTCCGTAACTTTCCAATTTAACCTTGGAACTGTTTGTGAATGGGAACTTTTTCTTATCAGAGCTGTGGATCTTTATTGCCCATTCTGAACTTGTTCCAGGTATAGAACATCCATTGAATCTAATGGAATTTCCACATAGAGAAGGAATGCAGATATATAATAGGGAACAAAAGTGCGTGTTCTCTAAGATGTCAGTAAATAGCAGTGTGCTTAATAATAATAAGGAGCTCATGAGAGGCTTTTGTTGGGTGAGTGATTAATAACTTTATTACTGATCAGGTTGAAAGGCAGAACCACTGGATATTTGTAGAACCCAGCATTATATTTGGTTTTCATTATTGTCTAGAAATAAAATGTTAATCACTACCACTTTAATCTTCTTTTTCCCTTTTTGTTTTATTTAAAAAATAAAATAACATATGCCAGCGAGTTTCCACCATTGCTCAAAGCCTTTCGCAGCACCCACTTCACCAGAGACGCCCCTCAGGAAATAGAAATGAATCTGCAGAAAACACGCTGCATTCCCAGTTCATTAGAACTGCCCAGCCTTACAAATTCAAGGTACTACTTACTTATTGTTAAACTTGAAAATAAAATAGTTCTTGCAGACTGAGATTGTTTCTTCGTTAAACTTAGAGAAAGGGAGTTATGAACAGCAGGACCATTTTGACAGATGGCACAAGTCAAAAGCATAGCACAGTTGTCAGCTAACGACAATGAGAAAAAGCCCAGGACAGCTCATTGGCAACTAAATGATTGCTGTGCCTTGCACTTCAGTTTCTATTCTTTGTTCCTACCTCCCACCTTGTCCATACAAATGGTGGCTCAGGAAGGCCATTCATGGGACGGTACTAAGAAAACAAATCATTAGTCCAACTCTGCCACATTCACCCCCCTTTTCCCAAGGCTAATTCGATGTGATAATTTCCTTCCCCTTTCCCGCTTCCTCAGACAACCACTCTGCATCTTATTTTTTCCTTTCTGATGCTTTCTTGAAATAAATTGTAGCCTAGTGTTATAGTATGACAGTGATCAATGATAAGGTATTTGTGTCTGTGTGAACAATGTTATTATTAACAAAATCTCATTTTCCTCTGGTGATTAATGTTTTTGCTCAAGAATTTCCATATAAATGGTTACCATATAGGCTGAAGGAGGTTTAATTTCCAGAGCTCCTAGAATGGAAAAATATTTTATAAAATTACCCTTAGTCATATCAATACACGCCAACTCTATTTATGGAAATAGAGGAAGCTTATTACAATTTCAATGACCGCCTTTAATGGAAAGAATAACTTTTGAATCTTATTATTTGCCAGGCATTATGTTGGGTTCTTGGTGGAATTTGGGAGATAGATTGGAGATGATATGATGATGATGAAGAAATGGTTTCACCTTTCTAAAAGTCACAACTATGATAAAATATGATGAGAATTGAAACAGGCATACTATACAAAGTGATATAGAAGAACATGGTGGTGGTGGTGTTGCAGGGGAGGTTAGAGGTCAATAGTAAAGTATAAGCTTACCAGGTAGAGAATAGTATTTGTTACTTATCATCACTAGAGGAATGAAATCAGAATCAAGAAAACTTAAAGCCAGCCTATTGAGATGTATGTTGACAACATTAGTGATGTTTTTCTAATGGGAAGATAGTGAATCTATTTCTAAGGTGAAATTAGAGGGTTTTTTTTATAGTTCTCCTTTAACCAATGTTATTTAAACCCATTTCTTCAGGAAATTGCAAGTTGTCATTTATAGTTAGTGCTCTTACTCCAAAGATGTAATGTTGAATTATTTATTCTTCTTCCTTAGACTTTAAAATATTTTTTAAATTTCTTTTTCCTTCTTTTAAAAATTCCCTCCACCAAACCACTGGTGCTCATACCCCACATACATAATGTTTTCAGTTATGTTAAATGAAATTATTTCAGCTTATGGTCCCTATATTGAATAGCTACAATAAGAAATAGATTACTTTCAAAGGCCAAAAAGTTTCTGGTTTTCTATATAAAGTTTTATTTAAAAAAATATCTTTAGGATGTATAAGATATTTTTCATTAGGTAGAATATCATGCATCTGAGTATTTGAAAATTCAATTCCTATTTTATTTTTCAACAGGAAAAGTCTGTTGTCCACAAATCAAGGAAGAAGTCAAAAGAAGAACAAAAATTATCTGATGACCCTGATTCTACTGGTTTTATTTACCCTTACAATGACCTGCTGGTGTGGGCTGTACTAATGAAAAGGCAGAAGATGGCAATGTTCTTCTGGCAGCATGGAGAGGAAGCCACGGCTAAGGCGGTGATTGCTTGTATACTCTACCGAGCAATGGCCCGTGAAGCTAAGCAGAGCAACATGGTGGATGATGCCTCAGACGAATTGAAAAATTACTCAAAGTAGGAGTTCTCTCTTCACTTCATACTAAACATCGACAGTTCTTAGAATGGTTAGACACTTTTATCTCCCTCCCCTTAGACCTTGTATGATAAGTAAACATGTTGCCATGCATTTCATGCATTCCAGCGAGTCTCCTATAAAAACAATGCTCTTTAGACATTTTACAGAGCTTTGTGAAATGAAAGTAGGAGAGATGGCCTTCAAATCAAGAGACTTGGGTCTAGTCCTGTTGCTTACAAGTTGGGCAAGTCAGTTGGCCAGATTTTAGGACTTTAGTTTACTAACTATAAAATGTTTAATTAACGATTTTGAAGGTTCCTTCCAACTCTCAAGCTCTGTTACTAAGTTATGTTAAACCTTTTGTTTACTTTAAGTATCACTTAGGCAAAAAAAAAAAAATAAATAAACATATTATGTGTTAAAGAGCCAGACAGTGATAGTAGAAGATAGAAAACTTAGAAATGTTTTTGATTTTTTGATCACTAAAGTGTTATAGTGGTGAGGAAAGATGGGAAACTAGAATTAATAGTACCTAATTTATAATAATTAATTTATAATTTTGATTTAAAAATTATTCCAGAGAATGACTGAATCTACTTTGCTAAGAAAACCTTTTGGAAAATCACACAAGGGTGGCTCTAGTTGTAGCTTCTTATTTAGGAAATATACTTAATTTTTTTTTAAAAAAAGAAGATTCTTATTTTCCTTGCTAGGTTAGCTTGGAACAGTCGTCTGTCAAAACATTCTCTATTAGGGCTATCAGGGAGGCCCAAATCAAGTGATATATAGTTTGTTTTGTGGTGTGGATAGCTCATGTGCTCCTGGATAAACCAAATTCTATAAAATGCAGTCTAAATCCTCTTCTTCAGTCTCCTCAGGAGAGGGAGAACAATCCATTTTCTGAGAAGCAATCCCTTTAAAACAACTTCTGCAAGCAGATTGTGAAGTTGCTGTTAGCCTTTTGTATCAGTCTTTTCCGGATCTCCTATCTAATCTTTTTGAATGTTTCTGGGTCCCTCAGCTGCATTTGTTTTCGCCATTCACCATTGTGTTGTTACAGACAGTTTGGCCAGCTTGCCCTGGACGTGTTGGAGAAGGCATTTAAGCAGAATGAGAGAATGGCCATGAAATTGTTGACCTATGAACTCAAGAACTGGAGCAATTCTACCTGTTTAAAACTAGCTGTGTCTGGAGGAGTGCGACCTTTTGTTTCACATACTTGTACCCAAATGCTATTGACAGACATGTGGATGGGGCGCCTGAAAATGAGGAAGAACTCTTGGTTAAAGGTGAAATTTACTTGTTTTACAGAATTTCAGTTTTGTTTAGTGTAAAGGTTCGTATTCTTGAGTTAACTTTTTCACTTGTTCCAGAAGAGTATTTTCAGAAAAACTAATTAATAACTTTGATTCTCATAGTGAGCTAAATCTTCCCAGTGAAACCTCTGACAGCTACTCTATTTTCTCTACTACAGTTTCTTTTTAAATATGGGGATGATATTACCTGTTGTGTCCATCACAAAACATACTCATGTGAAGGGTTAGAAGTTAAAAACATGTACAGACTTGTTTAAGATTTCATTATTAGTTAGTCCTATTGCCTCTGAAATGAGACTTTTAAGTGAAATTTTTCTCATTTTAAGAAAGCATATATATTTATAAGACTAACAACTTCCATCGCTTTGTTCATCCATTTTGTTGTTTCAGGGAATAAGTGGCTGTTTTATAAGGCTGCCCTCAAACATTGTTCACACCACTGACTATCTCCAAATTCTATTATTCCGTTGCAGTTTAGCCTCATATTTCACCCCTAATTTTCAAGAGTAGCTTTGTTAACTACTAAAGACGTTTAACTAAGCCTAACACTTCAGGTTGTAATCAAGCCTAAGAAATATGCTGGGCCTCCCTGGTGGCCCAGGCGGTTGAGCACAGCGCCATGAAGCTGTCCGCAGCCTCTGTAGTGCTGGTTCAATCCCACTGCCGCCCACATGGCGAGGCAGACCTCTCCAGACCTCTCCTGTTTCTCCCACTGCTCCTCTCAGCAATGTATTTCATCAGGCTGCCTGTTCTGTTCCCCATTCATTCTCTGGTGAATTCTCTCACCCTCCCGCATATCTGGCCTGTACCCAGTTTTTATATAAATAAATAAATCTTTAAAAAAAAGAAAAAAAAAGAAATACATATGCTTATGAAATGAAATAAAAAGGGAGAAAGCATCAGTGATGATGTAACTATGAGTTACATAGAAAAGGATTTCTATTTTAATTTTATTCTTCATAGATTTTTTTTTTTAAGTGCAAGTTTATTGGAAAAAGGAGATACCTGCATAGACATCGGTGGACAAATAGTTGCATTTTGAAAGGGACAGATTTATTGAGACAAGGAGATGTCTCCATAGGTATAGGAAGGCAGTCTTAGAGCAAGATCTGCCCCTTTATAGATTTTTAAAGAATATGTTGTGCCCCTAGTAAATGACTATCTAAAAATATATTTTTGGTGAGCACAGTATAGAAAGCACAAATAAAGATAAATAAAGTATATAAAAGTGGTTGCCCTTTTTAATTCCCACTAATGAGGATACAGAAATGAGAAATGTCAATCAAAAATTATCTCAAGTTGGAGTTCATATTATAGATTCCTTTTTAACAAAATATCAGAGAAACATTCATTGTTTGCAGCCTCAGAAATGATGAAGTAGAGATTGAATGGGTCCATCTCTGCTTTACAAACTCTGGCAATAACTCTTTAAATGTCCATAGAGTGAGATGGGGTGTAGATAACTGGAAGTTTGAAAAATGATTTCCTCTATGGCTGTGTCTGTATATACTTTAGTTCTTTCCTAGAAATCCTTAATTAATGAGAATTTAACAACTTCTTGCTCCACATATACTTTATATTAAAAAAGAGACTTACGAAACAAGATTAAATGTTTTGCTTCCAAATATAGTGAATTGACAAAGACTGAGTTAGCTACTTATAGTCTCTATACTGCAGCAAACAACAATATTTTCTAGTGCTTAGAGCCCATGTAGGGTTATGAGGAAGGGAAAGCTCATTTAAATGTTTTAGGATAACAGGCTCCAATCTGTCCCTTGAAAATAGAATCTTGCTGTCATTAAATATTATTTCACATGTTTCTTTTTCTGCACTACATGAGAAGTGGGTTTAAAATTAATTGCTATATTATCATTGTGCCTGGTAACTGTGATATTTCTAGACCTAGGTTGATTGCATATATTTGACAAATACCCAAGCAAAAACATATGAGAACTAGGGAGAGTTCAGAAAACCTTCACAAGAGATTAAGTTTTAAAACAAAACAACAAAATTTCATTTCAGCATAAAAAATGAAATAGACAAGGGTATGACTTCAGTTTATTTAATTATGGATGATATAAATTCAGGGTTAATTTTATTTTTATCTCCTGAATCCCAGAACATTAAGACCTAGTTTTAGTTTGAAAGAGGTCGTGTTCAGTTAATTGATTTTCAGAACATTTGGTAAATCTTCAAAACATTTAACCTTGAAAACAATACAATTTAAATATTAAAATTCTTTTGAAAAGGTTATAAATAAATTAAAAATGGGAGCAATATGAAAAATTATAGCTGTCTGGATCTATAACTTTCTTGGGTTTTGCTGGCAGAGAAAATAATTGGGTAGCATGGGAGATTAATCTAATAGAAGGTGACACTTGATATGTTTTTATGGTTTTGATTTTAAAAAGATGAATAAATTTTAATGTGTTTTATTTGATAGTATCTATTTATTGGCTTTAAAGAATTATTAAAGCCATATGCTCACTAAAACATAATACCTTTCACTCTTCTGCCCCTAGGGATAAATAATAACAGTGTATTATGCATAGTTGCAAACTTTTAAATGTAAACATATATATGTATGTGTATATATTGAAAAAAATTTTATTACAAAAAATGGGATCACACTGTATATGTTGTATTATAACTTGATTTTTCTCATCTAACAATATAACTTGGATAGCTTTTCATTATATTCAAAATTACTTTTGGTTTATTTAATGATTGCATAGTGTATCATAGTATACCCTAAAATATGCACTAAAATTTTAATTATGTTATTTGAATAATACTTGTCTTGTATAACCCTTATTACTTATTTTGCTTTGTTTTCTCTTAAAGATCATCATAAGCATTCTTTTACCAACCACCATTTTGACATTGGAATTTAAAAGCAAAGCGGAGATGTCACATGTTCCCCAGGCCCAGGACTTCCAGTTTACATGGTATTATGGTGACCAGAACCCCAGCAATGCCAAAGAAAATGCTTCTACGGTTAGTGTAACATCACAGTGAAACATGTTCTTTTTTTTTTTTTTTTTAAGATTTATTTATTTATTTATATAAGCACTGGGTACAGTCAGAAGCGCATGAGGGTGAGAGAATTCACCAGAGCCAGAGCAGAGAGCCGAACAGGCAGACTAATGAAGTACACTGCTGAGGGGAGCAGCAGGCGGCAGGAGAGGTCTGCGGGCCATGTGGGACCCTTGCCCCCAGCAGCCAGGGATCAAACTGGCACTGCAGAGCTTCGCAGCCCAGCAATCAACCGCTGCGCCACCAGGGAGGCCCTGAAACATGTTCTTATGGTACTGATTGCATACTTTCATTTGTTATATCCAGTGACTAAGAATCACTAATTGAGTTCCCAGATGTATGTCTTTCATGGTAACTTCTTTTGCAACCCATTTCACTGGAAAGTCTCCCATATGTTGTCTGTGGATATATCTTTTGCTTTTTAGATTATTGCTTATAAAGTTGTCATATATTGTGAAGTGTAGTAAACATTTTCTCTGGCATTAAATATTTCAATGAGGCATCCTTAGCTAGGATCTTGTCTGATTTAATTTTGCAACCATTTTTTGTTCAACTAGGTTTAATTGTTGGAGTCTCAACTTGCATTTCAGAAATATCCTGTGGTCTTTACCCTGTCAAAAATGTATATAGAAAACTTAAATAAGGGACCAGGAAAAGGAATAACTATAAGAAAGAAAATATCAAAATCAACAAACAACTATGAACCAGAGACACTCTATGGGGGGTGGGGGGCAGGGAAAGGAGGGATTGGGGTCAAAATAAGGGGGTTGTAATTGTATGGGGAATATAAAAATAAAATTTAAATTAAAAAAATGTATATAATACATGTGATTTTCTTTTCTTTCAGAGTTAAAACTTTAATTTATCATGTGGATGCCTAATTAATTTCTAATATATCTATTATATTTATATATGTTTATTATATTTTGGAAATTTGCAAGTATAAATATTTTAGCTGAGCCCCTGACAATAATGACTGTTTTACAGAAAGACAGTGATTTGGAAAAGGGCCCTGAGGAGAAACTCGATGAAAATCAGCACTTTGATTTTAAGGCTGGGCCCAAAAGCCTTCCATGGACCAGGAAAGTCTATGAGTTCTACAATGCTCCAATTGTCAAGTTTTGGTTTTACACGGTGAGTGTGTGTGTGTGTGTGTGTGTGTGTGTGTGTGTGTGTGAAAGGCAGTGGAGGTAGGAACAAGATTGGAGAAGGTGAGGGAATGTTGGAACAGGTCTCTCCTAATGTAGGAGCAAAGAATAAGTTTTTTCTTCTTTCTCAGGTGTTTCCCATTATCACTCCTGGGATTGAACATTTGAAACTTTGTGGAACAATAAAATGAACAACAATAGTTATAGAAATAAGTGATGCAAGTAGACTCTTTTCTTACTTTGGGCCAAAAAAAAAAAAAAAAAAAAAAAGCAGTTGAATCAGTGTTTTTTTTTTTAATAAGAATATGTATAATATAGACTGAAAAAAGCAAGTGTTTGATTTTTTTTCTTTTCAATATCATAGACTTATAAATATATAGAGGACAATAGAAATTTTAGGAATTGAATTGTAGAAACAAATATTAAATCTAACTATGGATTGTAGAGATATAGAGAAGCTATACTGTAATATATTAAATGTTTTTCACATTTATTTAGTATTTTTCTAATGTTTATTTATACTTAAATCACTCATGGTCAAGATTTTCTCCATCTAAAATACGTGAGGTGAGACAACAAAAGGATGTTTATCTAAGTGTGTTACATTTCAAAATATTTACCTAACCAACCACATAGTCATTTCATGTACTTATTGAATAAGGAGTCTGATCTGTTTTTAAAAATCAAATCTCTGTGACTGGATCAAGAAGATGTGGTACATATATACCATGGAATATTACTCAGCATTCAAAAAAGATAAACACATGCAATTTGCAGCAACATGGATGGCACTGGAAGGGATCATGCTCAGCGAAATAAGCCAAAAAGAAAAAGAAAAATACCGGATGGTCTCACTCATAGCAGGAATCTAGAAAACTTAAATAAGGGACCAGGAAAATGAATATAAGAAAGTGAAAATCAAAATCAACAAAAAACTATGAACCAGAGACACTTTTTGGGGGGTGGGGGGCGGGAGGGGAAGGATTGGGGTCAGAATGGGGCATTTGCAATTGTATGGGGGAATATAAAAATAAAATTTAATATTTAAAAAAAAAAAATTATGACTTCTAACAAAAAAAAAAAAAAAATCAAATCTCTGTTCAAATGATCAGGTTTCATCATTTTTGTGAATGTGCAACAGAACATCCCAAAGAGTCTTGATAGTAAGTGTGAGAGAATTATAATCATAGCCACTCCATTGGAAAAAGAGTATTAAAATATTTCTCTTCCTAGAAATGTCCAATTTACAAACACTTAGAGATAGGAACAAAGTCAAGCAAAAGTAACAATAACAATAACAAAAATAGCTAACAAACAGAACAAATAAACCAGACAGATCTGCCCACCACAGTCAACAGTGTTAGAAGTGAAAACTAGCATAATCTTAGGTATCACATTGTTAGGTTTTGGTGTGTACTTTATTGAAGTAATGTCTTGCTATACATGTCCTGATGGAAAAATGAAAATGTAAACATTCTTGGTCTTTTATAAAAATTGGAAAAAATAAAAAAGAATCAGAAGCAACAGTATCAATATCTGTAGTATTTTACAGTGTGGTCACCATGAAACTAATAACAAAATTTTTTTAAATGATTTCTCAATAAAATGAATCTTTTTAAATTATATCCCTAATGGATCATTAAATATACCCAGACTTTGAGGCACAGACCAAGCAAAGAATTAATTTTTACTTGAGCTTTTTTTATATGCTTCTTTGCTACAACTCTGATTCATTGGCAGTAATGTCCATTATGTGCATCTGAAATACGTTATCATAACTAATATGATTATATGGTCAGAGTGTTTTACACCATATTTTATGTTATTTTTATGTAGAGTTAAACCCAGAAAAAGACTTATGAAACTTAGGTAGTGCTCAAAAATATGTGAGAAATAGAAATTAATGATAAAAAAAGTGAGTCTTTTGAACATGGAAACATAGGCGCACACACACACATTTTTCTCTTTACTGATCTGGGATTTTTTAACACAAGTGTCAGTTATTTAGTACTTATGTATTGCCCCTGAAGCTATTTAAGGAACTATGTCATCTCATGCATTGTCAATGATAATGGAAACTGATAAAACCTTGCTGGTGGCCTATTTAGTGACATCACAGCTTTAAATGTGTGTGCCCAGCTATTCTACTCCTGGTAATGTATCTTAAAAAAGATAAGAAAATTAAATAAGATTACAAATTTATCACTAAGTATAAATGTATGTGCATTAACTTTGCTTTCATTCTATGAAAAGACTGACGACTCAGTTTCATATACACAGTGATTAAGCATGCATTTATTGAATGTTAACTAAGTGACAGGCAATGTGCTGAGAGTTGGTGATGAGAACATCAACAGTCTTTTTTTTTTTTTTAATTACAAGGACTCAGAGTTAGATAATACTTTTCCATTGACCAAATGTTTCAGTCAACATAAAATAAAATTTATAGCAGTAAGTAAATGCCATGATTTGTTATAGTTGAAAATAGGCAACTACTGACATTTCTCATTTGGTATAGACAGCACACTCATCTTCCATTTTAAGTGGAGGGGAAGGTGAATGATTCACTTTGGCTTCCTGTCGCTCTTACAGTGTCCATGCTGTACTGCTCAGGGTTCTGAAAATTCTGGTCAGGAGTTCCCAAGATGAGAGTGTTCCCTTCCATTGATTTAAGAACAAATCTAAATCCAAAATTAGAAAACTGTGGATTCTTTTGCTTTGATATTAAGTCATCAATAATATTTTCATGTTATCACATTGAAGTTCATGTGTGTGTTTTGGTGTGGCTCAGTCCATGTTTCCTTGGCATGCTCCATTATGACTCTCATTCACATCCAGGGAATGTGTGTCCCCCTCACAGATGGTGTATTTGGCATTCCTCATGCTGTTCACTTACACTGTGTTGGTGGAGATGCAGCCCCAGCCCAGTGTGCAAGAGTGGCTTGTTATCATTTACATTTTCACCAATGCCATTGAGAAAATCAGGGAGGTGAGTTATCCCTTCTACCTTTGACTTCTGCACACCTCTGCTAGAGATGTTTTGAACTCTGGTGGTGAAAATGACCTGGTCAAGAGTGGGTGTGAGGCAGGCCACATTGTTTTTGATTCGCATGCTACAGAAGGGGAATATCTCTGATCTTAATCCTTTATCCTTGCCAAATACTTTCTAGTTGCTGCTCTCTGAAAGCAGTTATTTTCAAAGAAGGTATGTTAGTATGTTTAGTAATCCTAGAGTGATGCCATTTAATTATTATTAACCCCTATCCCACTATTTGATTTCCCAGGAGTGTTTTTTTTTTTTAATTAAGTTGGTTTTTACAAACTAGCATCACTTCATATTATTAGTTTTATCTCACAGATTGGCACATATATGGCCAAAGTCGTGGGATGTGTAAACAATTTACATATAGTTTTTGAAATATCCTATTTTTGCAAATTGAAGCTGAAAATCCTGTTGGGGCAAATAGTCCAAGAAACACTACAAAACATTTTATTTTTCATTTGCAATCATTAAAAAAATTAATAATCCAAGCAGACTAAACTACAACCTCATATGGCTATAACTTACATTGTTTTAGATGTCAGTGTCTGTGTATTTCTATGTCTTTGCATTTACATATATTAATTTTATCCTAGAGCTAATATGAATGACATTATATATTAAGTAAATATAGTCTTAGTAATTGTACCTGTATTTTCTGCTAGTTACTATTGTGGAGTTTATAGATTATAGAAAACAATTCAGGAGAAAAGCATTATCTGAATTTTACCAATTTTTATGTTTTGAGAAGAATAGTTTTACTATTTTGCATTTTAATTTGTCTGCTATTCTATTGCAGGGATAATTTCTTGTATTAGAGATTTCTAATACCACCTTATTAGTAATTTGCAGCAACTCAATAAATATCAGTAGTAGGACCAGATTATAAAATTCCTTGATTTCAAATCAGTCTTCTTTGCACTCAGCTGTATCTCATGAAATGGAATTGTAGTTACATAGATCCATTGAAATACTGATTTTTAAAATGTCTTAGATCAGTGGTAGTTAGAAAAACTAAACAATTCTTTTGATTGGGTTTTCAAATGGCTGGCTATCACTAGCAGTGACATTAAAATATATTTGTTGAACTGTTTAAATAATTGATTGCCCAAGGATAATTTAAGATAATTTAAGTCTCCAAAATCCTCCTGTGATCTAAGGTTTGTTAGGATACAAAGGACTCTAAATGAGCACTTGATGTATTGAAGATCATACTGATGAGACTCAGACTTTACCTTTTTTCCCTTTTTAATGTTTTGAAAGTCCCATTATTTGAATTTCTCTCCTTTTTTTCTTATTGTAGGTTTGTATTTCAGAACCTGGGAAATTTACTCAAAAGGTGAAGGTATGGATTAGTGAGTACTGGAACCTAATGGAAACTTTGGCTATTGGCCTGTTTTCAGTTGGTTTTGGCCTTCGGTTGGGTGACCCTCCTTTTCACACAGCAGGAAGACTCATATACTGCATAGACATCATATTCTGGTTTTCACGTCTCCTGGACTTCTTTGCTGTCAATCAACATGCAGGTCAATATGTGACCATGATTGCAAAAATGGCAAGTATGGTTTTTATATTCTTCTGTCCTTTTTAATGGTGCTACTATTTTAATGGTTCATATCCACAAACTCATTAAAAAAATGTCTTTGAATGGCTAATTGTGTAGTTAATTAAGATACTCAGCTTATCCTTTTGGTTAGGGTCAGTTGACATGATTGAGTCAAATTTGTCTCTGAGCACAGTAATTCCTGAAGGCCATATTTGTGTGAGATGACCAGTCATTTTTATGCTAAAATATTGATTTATCTCTATATCTTTCTCCAACCCTAGTCAACTCTTAAATAGTGCTTACAATGAGCCACACACTGTCTCAAATACTTTGTATGTATTAATCCATTTACTCTTTAAAATAACTTTATTAGATAGGAACTATTATTATTAGCCACATTTGGCATACAAGATCAGAAGATTTCCCAGAGCATAAGAAGGGAAGCTGAGATTCAAATACGGGCCACTTGGCTCTGCCTGTCATCTGAGCTCACTGTGTAGCTGTGTTAACTTTGTCCAATTGACTGTGCACAAGGACCTAAGACCTACCCTCTAGGAATTGCAGCCCCTCAAAGTCATCTTGGCTTTTCCTTATAGAATGTTCATTGGTTGTGAAGGGATAAGTTTTTGAGAAAAAAGCGTTGTGCTGAGACCAAGGAAGAGAACAGAAAATGGAGAGCATCCAGGACTCAAAAAAACATTTTTCTTATTTTTTATTTCTCTTGGGCTAGCAGTATTTTCTCTGGTCGTGATGACATTTTTCTTATTTTTTATTTCTCTTGGGCTAGCAGTATTTTCTCTGGTTTTACCTAGAAAGTTCTGCTAAGGTAACCAATTCATATTAGTTACTACTAAGTACTAACAGTTTATTTCTCCTTAATGCAACATTTGATAGGTGGTGATGTATTCGAATCTACTGTCCTTACGTCTTGTGATATAGTCATGTCAACAATGACTTTCAAAGTCTCCCATAGCAGGAACTGAAAGGATGGAGAAATTCTAACAATATTTAACTATTTTGGACAAAAAGTGAACAAGTCACTATTATTCTGTTATCTAGAGTAGTTCACATGACCCTGTCTCATGAGAGGGAGGCTAAAAAATATAGATCTGATCATGGAATATTTATGGAATAATTGCTGTGCCTCAGTGAATAAGTGGGATTGAGTTGAGATACATTTAGTAAGTGAAGTGAACCTGGATTATCAAATTCTCAGACATGAATAAATTCCTAAATATAATCCTGGAAACTAGGAATCATTTAATCAAGTAATTTCAAAACACCCCTATTTCCCCCCCCCTTTCCTAACCAATTGATGATAAGTTGGACATGAACAAATTGAAAGTTCTTCACCGTTTATTATTTCTAAAGAAAGAAGCACACATTCTCAACCTTTAGCAAATTCTATTATGAAACACATATTGTGCAGAGAAAACAATTTAGCCAAAGGAAGTCCAGGTATTCATGGACTTGTGTTGGTCAGTGACTGCCTTGGTCTTATTATTGGCATAAGGTATAGTTAATGCTCTAGTGATTGATTTGAATTAAGTTTCAAGCCTGTAGTGAACTTATTGTCCTGTGCTGTTTTGCAGACAGCAAACATGTTCTACATTGTCATCATAATGGCAATAGTCTTGCTGAGCTTTGGAGTGGCACGCAAGGCCATCCTTTCACCAGAGGAGCCTCCATCTTGGAGCCTAGCTCGAGATATTGTATTTGAACCATATTGGATGATGTATGGAGAAGTCTACGCTGGAGACATAGATGGTGTGTAGGGAATTTTGCCATCATGCAGAAATCAAACCTTTGTAGATGCTCAGAGCAAAAATAGGTTGGAAAATAACCTTAAAATGTCACAAGTTTAAGATATTCTGTTAAATTATGTGCTAATTTTTGTCGAGTCAGAGCGTTGTGATTTATCTTATCACTTACCCTTTAAAATTCTTTATTTACAGTTTGTTCAAAAATGTCACCTTGCCCTCCTGGTTCTTTTATTACTCCATTTCTCCAAGCTGTCTACCTCTTCGTGCAATATATCATCATGGTGAACCTGCTAATTGCTTTCTTCAAGTATGTATTTTAATTAAATATGGTTATTTTGTTTAAATCAAAATAGGAGCAGATATTTTAAGTGGATTCACATGTATTTTGAGTTTATAATCTTTGGTGTGTTCCATGTTTTATTACTAAGGTTTTAAAATATGGGCATGAAACTACTGATTGGAAGGAAGTAGAACATTAGAAAAGAGAAAAAACTATAAGTAGAGAGAAAGTATACTAAAAGCAGGATGACAGGGAGTCTGGTCAGTGGGGAACAAAGCAGGAAGGAAGTCCAGTTGTCTACAGCAGAGGATTATGGGTGCCTTGGTGGTGGGTGTGGTGTGGTAACCCTATATCTAAATTGGTGTGAACCTAGATCCCTAAATCATATACATTGTTGTAAACCAGTGTTACCTAAAAAAAAAAAAGCTACAAAAAAAAATGAGTGAACTTACAGTAAATAAAAGACTGAATATACTTGTTAATATACTTATCTTAGAAAAGCTAAGACCTCTTGATTTGCAATTTGTAGTTTTAAATTTTATTTCTCTATCTCTTAAGAATAACTGATCACAGAAAATAATTAGTAAGCTTCTTGTTAAATTTTATTTGTGTTTAACTTTAAAAGTTGATTTTGAGATAGTATTGAACATCATAGAACGAAATATATATTATTTGCAAAATACATATTTTTCTTCTTATTAGACTAGAACTAAAAAAAGATAAAAGCATTGTAATTAAACAGTAAGTTGGAATCATCAAAGAATAGGAGTTGATGTGTTTAACCTTTGGCTTAGGAGTTCTTAATATCCTTTCTTGAACTGTTTTCCAGTAGATCTCATTCACCTCTGCTGCCTAGCTCACTTTTTGCTTCTTTTGGTTTACTCTTTTGGATCATCTTCTTCTCTCAACTTTTTAATACTGGAATGTTCCTGAGCCCAGACCTTGTTCACATGTATTTACATTGTACTTGGTGATCTTGTTCAGTTTTCTGTACATGCTGATAAATCCCAATTTTTATCTCCAACTCCAGTCTCTTCCTTGAACTCCAGTTTTGTAGGTCCAGCTGCCCCCTTCCATCATTAGTCAGATGTATAATTTCTAAAATTTAAAACATCCAAATTCTTATCTCTCCTCTTTCCCAGCAATTACTTATTCTTAGTCTTTCCCAAATCTATGGGGAACACTGTATATTTTTGTCAAAGTTCCATCTTTCCCATTGTTCAGACCAAAACCCATTTTAACGCCTCTCACGTTCCTTTATCTCTACACTGTCAGGAACTCTTCTTGACTCTGATTTCAATCTGGTCATCAATTCAACCTCCTTTCACCATTCTACTTCTGCCATACAGCCTCCTAATTTATTTTTCTGCTTCTGTCTTTGATCGCTATCTTTGATTTTCTGTCCTCAACACAGTTGCTCTGATGATCCTTTACAAACATGTTAGATGATGTCCTCCTTTGCTTCAAACTCTGCAAGTTTCCTCATTTTTCTCTGGGTAGAAGTCAAAGCTCCTAGAGTGACCTATAGAGCCACAAGTGGTTTGGCTTTCCTGCTACTTCTCAAATCACACATCATGCTACTCTTTCCCTAACCATCCTCTCAACAAGACGGACCCTCTGCAAGTGTGTTTGCCCTTGTTTCTCTGCCTGGAATGGTCTTTCCCCATTCTTTTACCCCCTTCAAGTCTTTGCTCAAAATTCCCCCTTTTAACTTAATCTCTAGGGATGATATTTAAAAGTTGCCCCCTTTCCTTAGTCATCTCCTTTTTCTTAATATTCACTTTTATTATATATACAAATATATTTTATAATATATGCATATTTCTGTTTTCTGGCTTTTCTACTGGAAAAACTATTGGTTCTATAATGACTGTTTTTCCCCTATCATTTTGCTCATGATTTTATCTTAAATGACAAAATTTCCTAGCATTTATATGTTTAATAGATAAAAGAAATCAAGTGAGGAGAAACTAGTATATTCTGCATGTCTCTTATATGCCTCACACTGTACTATTTTACTCACTAATTATCTCACCAAAGAGAGATAGATAGGAAAAGAGAAATCAGTGGAATCTAAATAAATGGAGACAATAAGTGTTGAAGGGGAGCAAAATAAAATCAGAACACACAAAAAAATGACTTGTTGCACATCTATGGGAAGGACATGTCTTCCTGCTCATTACAGGGTATTATGATAGCTATCATTTCTATCATTTAAAATAATATTTTCCGTAATATTAAGAGAGGGTGAGATTTTTGTTTTGCAAAAATGGTGTCAGAGAGAGGTTGAGAAATCCTCTTACAGGTCAGCCTTCTCACTTTAGAGATGAACTCACTTTGGAGATGAGGACAAAGAAAGCTAAGAAACTCCAGATCTGACTGTCCAGGAGCCCTTTGTAGCTTCTTTATAGCATTAATGATAAAGGACTTAGAATACACTGTGCAGATTGCCACCTGCTGGTCACAAGCTGTAGTCCCACTTGGAGTGGCAATAGCATGTTAACTTGGTGGTTCTCAAATAGTTGTTCAGGGGCATCACCTCGAGGCTTGCTGAGAACACAGATTGTTCCAATGGCCCTGCTAGACTTTGTAATTGGTAGCTTGAAATAGGGTCCAAGATTTTGCATTTCTGACATGTTCTCAGGGGAGCAGATGCTGGTGGGTCAGAGACCACATTTTGAGAACCACTGTTAAAACCCAGTTGTCCATGTTTCCTTCGTCAGCTTTATGGACTTAGTGGAACTTCTCCCCACCCATTTTCCTAAGATAGCCTTCTCCAGAATAGTTCTGTTTCTTTATGTTTATCGTTACCCCAGTTTAAAGTTGCCTGTATTTTTATTTATTGAATTTGGCTTCTCCACTCAAGTATTGCCATCTTTTTCTACAAAACCTCAACTTTATATTAAACAATATGGTAAAATGGACATTCCATTGTGCTCTCCCCCTGTATCATGTTATAGAGGAAAAATTAAGTATTTAAAGATGATATGTTGTTTTAGAGTATCTCTACCACACATCATAACTTGCCATCGCAAGTTCTGTGATCTCAATATTTATTGTCCCACTTGCATATTGTAATTGGTGTAATTAAAGGGAAAATCCCAAATAAGCCAGTCAGGGGTTTATTTTTTTTTGAAAAATTAATGTAAATAATATATTGAGCTTCTAAATAGAAACTCCACTTATTTATTTTAGGATGAATTAGTTCTTTTTCCTCTTAATACTCTTTAGTTTGGGCATTTTAAGTAACATTGTTCTAGCATTTCTTACATTGAACATTAGGAGGATCTCTATGAGGTTAATGATACAGAGGAACGTTAAAGTTGTTTACCATAAAGAATTAGTTATGGACTGAAAGGAGCTTTTGGTTTTTTTCTGAAGATTTTTTTTTTATTTATACAGTAGCTGGTGTACAAGCCAGAGGTGTGGGGGGGTGAGAGGATTCACCAGAGACAAAGTGGGGAACAGAACAGGCAGACTGACTGAAATACATTGCTGAGGGGAGCAGCGGGTGAGACAGGAGAGGTCTGCAGCCCCAGGTGGGAATCTCTGGCCGGCCGGGAATCGAACCCGTGCTGCAGAGGCTGCGGACAGCTTCACAGCGCTGTGCTCAACCTGCTGCGCCACCAGGGAGACCCGGAAAGGAGCTTTAATGTGAGAAAGGATAGTAAACCAAAAATAGTGTTAAGTTCCAGAGGGCAGTTTCTGTTCATTACATGAAAAATATGAACATTTTCTTTGCTCTCATTGTAATTTCTAGATTTTGCTTTTTTATTCTGATTATTATATTTTATTGTAGAAGGTGATTGATGTATTTTGTTTGCTGAGAGAAGAACCGTAAATGCAATGGATATTTTTTTTATTGGTTAACTACCAGTAATGTCAGGGGAATCAATCATAGAAGCTGGAAAATAAAGAATCTATTTGCTAAGTTTCGTGATTTCTTATTAAATATTTTTCCCCCTCTTACTACAACTTACAGTAACGTTTATGTCGATATGAAATCCATTTCAAATAACCTGTGGAAATATAATCGCTATCGTTACATCATGACCTACCACGAGAAGCCTTGGTTGCCCCCACCTTTTATCCTACTGAGCCATGTGGGTCTTCTCCTTCGCCGACTATGGCATCACCGAGCTCCAAATGACCAAGAAGAGGGTGATGTTGGATTAAGTAAGTTTGATTTTTATTTTGTTTTTGGGCAGGGGCCATGGCAGGAAGAAGACAGTGAAGAGTGGAGGCATTAGTATTGTCAGTTGAATTAAGGGCACAGGAAGACTCTGGGAGTTAACTGACATTAGGGTATCCACTGCACACCTGGTTCTAAGTGAATGCATTGATCTCATTATGTGCGGTTATGGTACTTTTGGCCAAAATTAACTGATACTTTGAGAGAAAGGAATAAGTAGGGGCAAAAACCGCTGCTGGAATGTGTAAAGGCTTTAAAAAAAAAAGATTTATTTATGCATATAAGGGCTGGGGTGTAGACCAGAGGTGCCAGGGGTGAGGGGGATGGTGAGAGGATTCACCAAAGACAGAGTGGGGAGCAGATGAGGCAGATTGACTGAAATACACTGAAATACACTGCTGAGGGGAGCAGCGGGTGGGACAGGAGAGTTCTGCTGCACCATATGGGCCCACTCCCTGGCCAGGGATTGAACTCATGTCTCAGTGCCTGCCCGTAGCTTCACAGTGCTGAGACTTAACCAGAGAGGCCCTGAATGTGTAAAGACTTTATGCTACCTGGATAACCTGTGTTTTACTGTCTACCTAGGAACCAGAAGAATAACTCCTAGAGAATAGCCAGAGAGATGCATACTCAATAGTTACAGGAGGTCTGTGGACTAAAAGGAGCCAGACTTTGCTAAACTTACTAACCAGTAACACTCTTCTCTGGTTTTCTAATCTACTGAGTATGGAGGTGATTCTGTATGAATGTTTCAAATTTTCAAGAATATTAATTCAGGGTGCAGAAATGTAGATTCTATTTTTTTTTGTGTGCAAAGCTTAAGTCTGTATGTTTTGGGATTTTCCTGGTTATTTTTGCTTAGCCGTATCTTGACTGCATGATATAATTGTCATAAGAGACTGTTCCTTACTGTGGTTTTGCATATCTTTAAGTGTTCTCTTAAGCAATTCCACAGTTGGTATGTGGCACATTGCCTAGATATAAAGAAAATGGATTGTATAAATCCACAACATTTTGTCTCTTTTTTTTTGTGTGTGTGTGGGACCCTCACCAGCTGCCGGGGAATGAACCGGCGCTGCAGAGGCTGCGGGCAGCCTCGCAGCCCAGCGCTCAACCGCTGCGCCACCAGGGGAGGCCCTGTCTCAATTCTTAAATCCAAAATATTTCTGAAAATTGTAAGTGTTTTTCCTTCTTAAGTTGGGAAAGACTCATTGGACGCAAGAGGCTGATAGATCTAAGGTGAAGCCATTTACACTATCTCTCATCAATTTTGCTGCTGAAATGATGTATTTGATTAGAGTCCCCCCTAGCTCTAGCTAGGGATTTTACTTCAATTATGGTATATGCACTATATTACCTTCCTAAAACTAGAAAAGTTCTGAATCCTAGAACACACCCAGAGTCTCAGATAAGGGATTGTAGATTATATATTTTGATGAGCTACAACAGTCATTACAAGACTGACAGGGTGATATGTTTTTACTTCTTGGAAGTTAGTTCACTTTGTGTTGTGTTTTTCACCTCTTGGGTCCCTTTGAAGATTATTATTCTTTTACATTTTCTCCTTTCAAGAGATTCAGCCTTATTAAGGCTGCCAAAGCACAACTGAAATTAATTTAAAGACTTGCAACTATAATATAACTTTTAGGCTTCTAATACAGAGTCATCCCAGGCACTGTCTGTAGAACCACTGCAACTTAATAGAGTATAAACCACTTGAGAGATCCTGGAATTAATTAAGGTTTGATTAGATTTGTTAGCACCAAAGCAAACCTTTCCAGGTATCACCTTATTTTGGGCTTATAGGTGATCCTGGTATGAAACTCAAGTTGATTTTCTGATGTATAGAGATGTGTTCACCCTGAAATCAGGAAAATTCTTGAATTTTCTCTGTGTTGAGGATTAAGATGTTTGCATATGGGGCAGTAGTGCCACCTGGTGGAAAGTCTCAAGAACACCCCATATTCTGCAAGCTGCACTTAATGGGTTATTGGTGTTTCTCTTTGAGTTATTTGCTCTTTCGAATCCACAGGAGGTTCACATTGTGATCACATAAACTGTCTTGATATAAAAGATTCTTTAATGCAAACAGACATTTAAGTTGGGGGAGAGGATATTGGATTTTTTTTGAGCAGCTGAAAGATTATTATACATAATGAAATGCAAGCAGAAAACATTGTGCACTTGAATTGTAAACATATCTTGTGATTTGAATATTGTTTTCTGTTAGTCATGTTTTTGAACTTTAAAATATTTTTGTCTTTCATTTAATTATAAAATAATGGAATATTGCATTCCTAATCAATTCAGGAGAATGCTAATCTCCCCTCCTCAGTTTAAGTAAAATGATTAAAGGAAGATAATTTTCCAATTTTTACCTTTTTGTAACACCATTGATATATTTTTCAAGTATTAGACTTGAAAAAAAAACTTGATCAAGAGTTTATGTATTTTTCTGTTATGTCAGAGTGAGAGCTAAGATCAAATGTGACTGCTAAGTTTTGACATAGATATTGCATCAGCTTCATAATGTCTGGAAATTATCTCTTTAATGAGTTAGTTAAAATCATTAGATTAAATGGATAGTCTTGATTGAGTGGCAATAATGTCTTTTTTCAGTAGAAGAACCTAATATATACAAACTCTGCGTTACAAGGTAAATCTTTCTTATGCTTCCCATATGGATTCCAAAAGATTTTGATTTTGTCTAACCTTGATTTTAACCTACAGGTTACTTACTGTCATTTTGATAGATAAACCAATTGTCAGAGGGGAAAAAAGACAATTTGAGTCACCTTCAAATCCCCATCCCTGTTTATTGAAGAAATAGAAAAGATCCAAATTGTGCTTCCAGTTGTTTTCTGTACTGATTCCCCACCAATATTAGGAAGACTGTGTGACAGGCAGCAAAGTTTTATCACATGTGCTTTATCTATTTTCAACACAAGTAGAAAAGTCACTCATATACTGTATTATCTTCCTATTACAGGTAAATAAATATTCTTTTTATGTGCCTTCCTATTTCCACAGAACTCTATCTGAGTAAGGAGGATCTGAAAAAACTCCACGATTTTGAAGAGCAGTGTGTGGAAAAATATTTCCATGAGAAGATGGAGGGTCTGAATTATAGTTATGAGGAACGGATCCGAGTGACATCAGAAAGGTAGAAGACGTATATTTCTACCTTCAATCTGCTACTCAAAATGGATTCTACTAGAATGTCTGAAACAATACAACTAATTTCAAAATCCAGTGCTGCTTTGGGTTCTCTAAAACTTTCTCTAGTATCATATAATATAAATGCAATCATTGCATGTTTGTTGAGCATCTGCTATGTCTCAGGCTTTCTTGTAGTTACTAGAGATCGATGGCCAATGATATGAGAGTTCCTCCCTTTATAGGACTTACATTCTAGTGTGTGGATGTGGAGGGGTGAGAGGGCGAAGGTCAAAAATTAAATAAGGAACCATATAAAGATGGTAGATACTAAAGGAGCAATGAAGAAAAATAAAGTAGTGTACAAGAACAGAAAAAGGATGGTAGTAAGAAACCAGAGCATCTTGATGTGGGGTTGGGCTATTTGAATTGGCCAGTACAGAAAGGTTGCTCTGAAGGATTTGAGGAAGAATGGTCTGAAGGAAGTGAGAGAGATGGGTTAGGCAGAGACTTCTGGTTGGGTGGCGCACCTGGCAGAAGAAACAGCCAGCATAGACACATGAAGCAGTAAGGTATGTCCTGGAACAGCAGGTGGATCTGGAGGAGGCTGAGTGCTGCATACTAGTTACATTGGGGGTTCTTGGGCAGTGGAGTTGATGGGGCTTCACTTAAGTGGGGAAGAGTGATTAAAGGTGGAGTCAGCTATTGCAGGCAGTTTTTGTGAGAAGTTTTACTGCCTGGAAATGAGCATGAGCAAGAAAGAACTGCAGGAGCAGGAGAGAGGAGGTGATTTGCTGAAGTGAAATTCTCCAGGGGTGGGGCAGATTAATGGAGTGTCTCAGCATTCTACTCAAGCAGGGGTTACAAAAGGAATTTAACCAGTGCACAAGAAGATAAAGCTTGGATGTTGGAAGACTTGTGGTTATGCATGATATTGGCGAGTGTGGGGTAGTGCAGGGTGGACTTTCAGAGGTTTGAGGAAAGAGAAGATGTATTGGAGAAAATGAATATGTGTAGGTACATTCTGTTTGGGAAATGCTGCATTTTAGGAAACATAAAACACTTTAAACATTAAATACTTTAACATCATGTGCATGTGATTCTGGAGAGAGTTGTAGTTTAAGCAGTTTCTGTCATTATTTAGTCATGAAGCCCTGTTGAGGAATATTTGTGATCACCTCCCAAATAATTCATTTAGCACTTCAGGGGACTCTAGGACTCCCAAAAGAACTTCACCTAGATCTCTTAGGAGTTGCTGAGTGGAGCTAGAGTTCCGTGGTTCATGCCGCTGATTATGGAATCATATTGCTTGAGCCTTCAGTCTCTCACTTAGCATGTGACTGGCATGTAACCTTCTTTTTATGAAAGGCATAATAGCCTGTACCTTATAGGGTTGTTTTGTGGATGAAATAAAATAATAATGTAGAGCCTTTCTAAAATACCTGATCATAGTGAACACTTAGCAATTATGATTATCAGAGTGATTATTTTTATTATAATATTTAAAATATCTTATCCAAAGACCCACAATAAAACAATAACCATATTGGTCTCCCTTTCACCCTCAAACATTGCATAGAGGAAACTAAAACGATAAGAATTTATTCTTATGTCAGAATGACTGAAAGGCTAGATTAAATTAATGTAGCTTTTGGTTGAGGAATATAATTAAAATGTTCCGTAGGACTTTGAGTTTTAGAAATAAATGTCTATAAAATGAAGAGGACTGGATTTGCAGGTGATCAGGTTATTTATCACTATTATAGCATGCTATCTGTTGCTGTGAATAGTTGCTGGTTTCTATTGTATCCATTTGGATGTGACTGCTGCTAATGGAACTTAATGAGTCTCCATTACTGCTGTTCAGACTGTACTGTTTTCAGATTAGATGAAACAGTGCACTAGTTGAAGAGGCTCTAATTAAGCACATTTGCAAAGGGAATATATATGTATTTTGTGTTCTTTCTCTCATCATCCCTGTCAATTCTAGTTTTGTGGGCTCCAGAAGGTCAGGAAGTATTTATTAAGCCTCTGTTGAGTTACCAAAGTTGAGTTCTATAGCAGAAGCAAGAAAGAGAGGGTCCCACCCATAGAGACTGTAATAAAAATGGAAAATATCTCTTTATTCTTTATTTTTTTTATTTTTTTAAAGATTTATTTATTTATTATTTATATAAGCACTGGGTACAGTCAGAAGTGCGGGAGGGTGAGAGAATTCACCAGAGCCAGAGCGGGGAGCAGAGCAGGCAGAAGGACCGAAGTACACTGCTGAGGGGAGCAGTGGGCGGCAGGAGAGGTCTGCGTGCCATGTGGGACCCTCCTCCGGTGGCTGGGGAGCAGCCGGGGATCGAACCGGTGCTGCAGAGGCTGCGGGCAGGTTCGCAACCCGGCACTCAACTGCTGCGCCACTGGGGAGACCCTCTCTTTATTCTTTAATTCTATTTGCGAAGCTCCCTGTAAAAAGAAGTGAACGATTTCTCAAGCCTTGTGATTTGATATATATTGCAAAGAGGGGATGTCTAAATCTATTTGGGGCTTGCTTGGTACACTGAGAGCTAAACTCTTAATGGTACAATCACTACTTCTTACACCCCTAAATAAGACTGGGTATTTTTTATTTTTCATATGGTTGTGTTAGCCATGAAACTGTTTATTAATTAACTGTTTTTTCACTTTATTCCTCTTTATCAAGATTTATATTTTTGAGAAATTGAAAAATATTCCCCCTCCTCCAGTAAAAGACTAAAATAGGGGAAATAAGGAAAGAAAGCTATGACATAAGCCAGAGCCCACTAGAAAAATACTGGCCTTTTTCCTGTTAATGTTCTATATAATTTTAGTTAAAATGTTTGTATATTCTTTTCCCACCTTCACCTTTCAAATATTTTAAAAATATTTCTTCAAATGTTTACAAAACCAATCTTTGTAAATATCCTTACTTGCAAGGTTTTATCTTATTTAAAAATATATACTGTAGACATTAACAGACATCCACATGCTAGCCCCTACTACCAGAAATAGTCAAAGAAAATTACTATCAACAATATAAGCATGCTTTTTAATGGGTGTATAATATTCGATGTCATAATGTAATAAATCTTCTTTAGCATAGCGAACCAATAATTTCTTTGTATACGTTCTCTAATGGTGGTACCCATGCCACCATTGATTCATTTTAATCTTTTTAAACTTTGCTAGGTTAAAAAAATGTTATAACAATGTAGATGAACTCATTTTATAGTAATTTTAATTTCTCTGCTTACCTAGTAAGGCTGATTATTGTACTGTGCTTCCTTATCTCTTTCATCTTTTGTGACTTGTCTGTTAGTGTAATTTTTTTTCCCTCAAAAAATTTGTAAAATCTCTTGATTGATGAAGGGACAGAAAGACATTATCATATTTGTTAGAATAATTTTCAATTTATTTTTATTTTAAAATAATACAAATTTTTTCCTATAATCAAATCTGATATATTTGTAATTTATTCTATGATTGTTAAGCTTAAAGAACTGTGTTAGTTTCCTAGGGCTGATATAACAAAGTACCAAAGACTGGTATCAAAAATCTCACAACAGTGGAAATGTATTGTTTTAAGTCCAAAATCAAGATCTCAGGAGGGCCATGCTTTATCTAATGGCCCTAGGGGAGAATCTTTCTTTGCCTCTTTAAGCCTCTGATGTTGCTGGCAATCCTTAGTGATCCATCACTCCAGCACAGCAACTTTCTCCAAGTATATCTTCATATTGTTTCCCTTCTATGCCCAAATTTTCCCTTTTTATAAGGATTCCAGTATTACTGGCTTAAGACCCACCCTAATAGCCTTACTTTAACCTTATTACCTTTGTAAAGAGCCCATTTCTAAATATTCTGGGAATACTATGGATTAGGAATTCAGCATATCGCCTTTGGGAGACACAAAGCAAAACCTATCCTCACACAGAGATATTTAGAGATATATACAGATGAATATTTATCAACATAGTTCTTCATTCTTTCTCTGTAATTCTCTAAATGAAATAAATGCCTTTAATTTGACTCTACTTGTGATTTACATTTTTTCTTGCATAGTTGAAGATGTCTTGTGTTGCTTTTCTATGAATCAAGGGCTGGGCATCATAATTTTGAGTTAGATTATTGAAGATAATTAAAAAAAATTTTCTGGGGCCTCCCTGGTGGTGCAGGCAGTTGAGTGTAGCACTGTGAAGCTGTCCACAGCCTTTGCAGTGCTGGTTCGATCCCCGTCGGCCTTGGAGCAACCCACATGGCGAGGCAGACCTCTCCTATCTCGCCCGCTGTTCCCCTCAGCAGTTTATTTCATCAGTCTGCCTGTTCTGTTCCCCACTCTGTCTCTGGTGAATCCTCTCACCCCCCTGTATCTCTGGCCTGTACCCTGGTTCTTGTATAAATAAAATAAATCTTTTTTTTTAAGAAAAGAACATATACTTAAAAAAATATAAAAAAAAAATTTCCATAATGTTTTTCTGCATTAGCTTTGTTTGAAACTTGGGAGACCTGTTTGAACTTAGAATTTTTTAAAAAGGTCTGTACATTTTTTCCAGTTATATATTTGACTAGTGACTATATTTCTATCCTTTTGATTTCTTCTTCAGAACCTTCTTTCCCTACCAAAAATAGCATGGTACATGCCAATAGAAGATATTCAAATGTTTGTTATATAACTTGACGAGTACATTCATTTATGAGTCTATCAATGACTACAAATGGGCTTACTGATGAGATGGGGTATGAGGTATAATTAGCAGGAAGCTGAGATGTGGTTCTGAAAAATTAGAGAGAAATAAATTCTGGAAATTAGCTTTGTAATTTTTCCTCATTGTAGTGATATTGGGAATTATAAGAGGGGACAGAGTCACTTGATATGAGAATATATATTGGAGGGAAAAGACAGATCACAGACCCAACTTTGGGAAGCCGTTTAAGCTGAGAAGCCACCTAAATATGGAAATAGACAGGAAGAGAGTGAGCAAATCCCTGTTGACTTAATGTGTTTATTGGCTTTTCTCCTCCTCACCTCTAGGGTTACAGAGATGTACTTCCAGCTGAAAGAAATGAATGAAAAGGTGTCTTTTATCAAGGATTCCTTACTGTCTTTGGACAGTCAGGTGGGACATCTGCAGGACCTCTCTGCCCTGACAGTGGATACACTAAAAGTCCTTTCTGCTGTTGACACCTTACAAGAGGATGAGGCTCTCCTGGACAACAGAAAACATTCTATTTGCAGGAAACTTCCACACAGCTGGAGTAATGTCATGTGTGCAGAGGTTCTAGACAGCATGGAGAACTCAGGACAGAAGAAATACCAGTATTATAGCACACCCCCTTCTTTGCTTCGGAGCCTGGCTAGAGGTTGGCATTCCCCAAGAGGACAGAAGGGGACTCTGGAGATAACAACCACTCAGAGGAAGGCTTTAAACAGAAGAGATGACCATGAAGAACAAGAAACAGAAAATAGTATGGTTGCATCTGGGGTGTCCACTAACAAGCAAGCACATTCAAAGTATGGTCAATTTCTCCTGGTTCCTACTTGTCAAAAGCAATTACCTTTTCCTGGAGAATCTGATTTGCCTCTGTCCAGACCATCTGTGGACACATGTATAGATGAGCTGGCAATTAAAAAAATCACCCAGAATCAAGTCTCTGCTCATCTGACTTGGAAAATTCCAGTTGTCTCAGTCCAAGTCTCAGTGACTGAACCCAAGGAGCCATTTGAGCACCTTCCTGACATACCAGCCAGACAAGACAAGGGGGAGCAAGTTTCACCCACATTGAGTTGCAAACCTGAACCCACAAAAGTGACCTCTCTCCCTTCCCAAGTTGAGAACATGCAAACTGGTGGTGGATATGTGAACTGGGCATTTTCAGAAGGTGATGAAATTGGTGTATTTGACATTAAGAAAAAATGGCAAACCTGCTTAGCCTCCATGCATAGGAGTGAGTCCAATCACAATGGACAACGCCAGATGCAGACCCGAGGCCGGTCCCTATCTGACAACTCCACAAGATTGGCCCGAAGTAGTGGTTGCTCAGAGGTGGGGCCAGGACTCCAACCAAACACATCATTTTGGATCAATCCTCTCCGCAGAGACAGGCCCTTTATTAGGAGTCATAGTTTGAGATTCCACAAGGAGGAGAAATTGAATAACAAAAGTAAGAAGCAAATATTTTAAAAGCTTGGTACTAAATCCTTTGCATTGCTACAACTTACTGTAGCAATATAACCCATTGTCTCATGTAACCCATTTCCTTACAGATCTTTCAAGATCCTCAGAGATAGGGCAGTCAGTGTGGATCAAAGCAAAAATGCTAACCAAGGGTAGGAAATTGTCGAAGAAAAAGAAGAAAACACAAGAACTACAGGTGCCAGTAAGTGTATTTTATATATATATATATTTTTTTTTAAATATTTATTTATTTATTTATTTGTTAATATATTTATTTATTTATTTATGCAAGAGCCGGGGTACAGGCCAGATGCGCATGAGGGTGAGAGGATTCACCAGAGACAGAACAGGGAACAGAACAGGCAGACTGACGAAATACACTGCTGAGGGGAGCAGCGACAGGAGAGGTCTGCGGCACCATGTGGGACCCTTGCTGGCCGGCCGGGAATGAACCTGTGCTGCAGAGGCTGTGGACAGCTTCATAGCGCGGTATTCAACCGCCTGGCCACCAGGGGAGGCCTGAACTCTTTTTTTTTTTTTTAAAAGATTTATTTATTTATGCATACAAGAGCTGGGGCACAGGCCAGAGGTGCGGGGGTGAGAGGATTCCCCAGAGACAGAGTGGGAAACAGAACTGTCAGACTGACTGAAATACACTGCTGAGGGGAGCAGCAGGCAATGGCGAGTCAGGAGAGGTCTACTGTACCATATGGGCTGCCGGGGGATTGAACTCGTGCTGCAGTAGCTGCGGACAGCCCCACAGGTTGTGTCTCAACCCCTTGTACCACCAGGGAGGCCCAAAAGATTTACTTATTTATATGTAGAAGAACTGGGGTGTAGGCCAAAGGTACAGCGTGGGTGACAGGATTCACCAGAGACAGAGTGGGGAGCAGTGCACATGGATCTATTGAGATACACTGCGAGGGGAACAGCAGGCGAGACAGGAGAGGTCTGCTGTGCCATGGGGATTAGCTCCCAGGCTGAGGATCAAACTCATGCCACAGTGGCTAGTGATAGCTTGATAGCGCTGAGACAAACCCCTGCGCCACCAGGGAGGCCCACTATATATATATATATTTATTTATTTATTTAGATTAAAGTAACATTGCATCATAGCATCATAAGTTTCAGGAGTCAGGTATGCATCGTTATGAACCAACATATGTCTATACCACATGAAGTTTGCCAGTGAAAGGTGAAAGAACTTCTACTCTTCATCATAGTGCCTTAATTGATGTGACTCAAAATGTTTTCAGATTAATCTTATTGTGTTCCAACAAGTGTCTTTCTCTCCAGGTCATAACAGTCAACACCTGCTCTCAAAGTGGTCAGTTGAATTCAGAGTCAGAAGAAAATAACATTTCAGAAGAGGAGGGCAGCCATAACTGGCTCACGGTGTCCAAATTTAGTCAGATAAGTATGTAATAGTCTATACTCTTACATTTCTCAGAACTCTGGTGTGTAGTTGTCCTTTTTTGTGTTATCTTTGACTCTTTCTGAATCAGAGTAATGTTGGCCTCATAAAATTTGTTTGGAAGTATTCCCTCTTCCTCAGTTTTTTTGGGGGAATCTGAGGGGTATATGTATTGGTTCATCATTAAATGTTTGGTCGAATTCACTAATGAAACTGGTCCGGTCCTGGAGGTTTGCTTTTTTTGTGGGAGGGGACTTTTGATTACTGTTTCAATTTCATTGCTTTATTGGTCTGTTCAAGTTTTCTGTTTCTTCCTGATTCAGTCTCAGACAGGTGTATACTTCTTAGCATTTATCTGTTTGTTCTAGGTAATTCAATTTATTGGTATATAGATGTTTGAGGTAGTCTCTTAGGAACATCTGTATTTCCAAGATGTCTATTGTTACTGCTACTCTTTCATTTCTGATTCTATTTATTTGCGTCCGCCCCCCCCCCCTTTTTTTTTGTTTATAAGCCCAGATAGAAGATTACCTTTTTTTCTTTTTCACTTTTTTGAAGAACTAACTTTTGGTTTCATTGATCATTTGTACCCTATTTTTTTTCTTTCTATTTCATGTATTTCTGCTCTAAATTTTGTTATTTCCTTCCTTCTCCTGGCTTTTGGCTTTGTTTTTTCTTTTTCTTTTTCTATTTTTAAAGGTATAAGTTTAGTTTATTTATTTGGTACTGACATGTTTCTTGATATGGTTAGCTTAGAATTGAACTACTTTTACTTTTCATGTAAATTGTGCTGTGGTTTCATTTCATTTGATTTTATTTTTTGGTCTTTGCTGGCTTCTTGGTTTTTGCAGTTGCTGAGTCAGCATGGTGGGGGTGGTGGAACTAGAGGGGTTAAGTCACTGGTTTGATCTTGCCTGGGGAGAAGTGCTTGCTTGTCTTTGTTGTACCACCAATCTCCACGCTCTCTGTGGTTTCTGATCTCAGACTCTGCTGTCAGTGCATTTCATGAGATCAGTACCAGTCCTTAGGGGCCACGGAGGGGGTGTGCTGCGAGTGCATGCGCTCTCACTCTGAATGAGGGCCCAACCTGCGGGGATCACACCACTTCCTCCATACTTGTTTCCCTTTGGTCAAGGGTGTATACTTCCACTCTGTTTATTTCTCCCTTCTCCAGCATCTCTGACTGAATCAGCATCCCTACCATCTGTAACACCTACCCCTCCATCCCCCATAATCCCTACCCCAGGCCATAGTCTCCAGGTGTTTCTCTCCACCCACCTCCTATTTGATGAATCATGACTCTGTTCTGTATCTTCTCTGGGCTTTTTGTGTTGATTTCTAGTGCCCAGGTAGTATATAAAGTATGCCTCAAGAAAGAGGATTCTGCATGTAGTGTCCTCTGATTAACTGTTAGATACTCCTTTTGGGAACAAAGCAAGGAACTATCACCATCTTGGTCAGTCTCAGTAATTTAATTATTGACTTTGATGGAGAAATATAAATTGTTATAAATGTAAAAGTAGCTATAGAAGAATAAGAATAGAATACATAGCTTTCATTCACTTGAGAGAGAAAAAGGACAAAGGAATATTGGTAAATTTTCTAAATAGAGGAAACCAAACTTAGGCGAATCCACTGTGTTTAGACCTTTCTTTTTGGAACTGTGACTTGCACACATTTCCATGTATTCTCTAATATTTTCCTTTCCTTTTCACAAGGTCTAGAACCTTATATGTATCAGAAAATGAAAACTAAAGAAGTTGAATGGCATTCAGTACAAGTCAATGATTATCTGAAGCAGTCTCAAGAGGTAAAAGTATTTCATCTGATAGTTTTAAAAATGATAATGCACACAATACTTGTCCAACTCTTTGAAAGTGTCTGCTTTACTTTTATGTCCCTTAATTGACTTCTATTTTGTGTTGGTAATATATTTAAATTTCTATTTTAAATCTGAGCTAAGTTGAATCCCTTACCTATTTTTTCCACAACTCTCCTGCCCATTTTATTCTTTTCTTATTGTTCTTCTTTATATAATTTACTTATGTGCCCATTATTTTTTTCTGGGTATTTTTAGCTTGAGAGAGAAAGAATTCAGGAATTTTTGAAGCAGTTTTTCAGATACATGCAAATTGCCTTGTGGAAGAAATATAATTTTTTTTTAAAGATTTATTTATGCGTACAAGAACTGGGGTACAGGCCAGAGGTGCGGGGGGCAAGATAATTCACCAGAGGGCCTCCCCGGTGGCGCAGCGGTTGAGCGCTGGGTTGCGAAGCTGCCCGCGGCCTCTGCGGCGCCGGTTCGATCCCCGGCTGCTCCCCGGCCACCAGAGGAGGGTCCCACATGGCGTGCAGACCTCTCCTGCTGCCCGCTGCTCCCCTCAGCAGTGTACTTCGGTCCTTCTGCCTGCTCTGCTCCCCGCTCTGCCTCTGGTGAATTCTCTCACCCTCCCGCGCTTCTGACTGTACCCAGTGCTTGTATAAACAAAACAAACAAACCAGCAAACAAATAAATAAAGCATGCCTCTATTAAAAAAAAAAAAAAAAAAAAAAAAAAAAAAAAGTGCCTTCTCTTTAAAAAAAAAAAAAAAAAAAAAGATAATTCACCAGAGACAGAGCAGGGAACAGAGCAGGCAGACTGACTGAAATACACTGCTGAGGGGAGCAGCGGGTGAGTCAGGAGAGGTCTGCTGCACCATATGGGTTGCTCCCTGGCTGGCCAGGGATCGAACTCGTGCTGCAGAGGCTGCAGATTGCTTCATAGTGCGGTGGTGCTTAACCTTGAGCCACCAGGGAGGCCCCAGAAATATAAAATATTTTAATACGTTTTTAAGAGGTAGAACTAGAAGAAAAAGATATATCAACTACAGCCAAACAGATTTCAGTACAATTTGAGGAGGAATTGTTAGCAAGTGGAACTTTGCAAGCATGGAATGGCTTATTTCTGGAAGTAGTAAGTTCCTCAGTGTGGTTAGTCAAACAGACTGAGAAAACCTCTTTGCAGATGTGATAGAGAGGGTTTGGGCATTGCAGGGTAAAAGGACTTTTCTCCAGTGCTGAGATTCTCTGACTTTAAAACCCTTTTTTCTTAATTTCTACTAATATATGCCTGTGTAATTGCCGTTTATCATATGGGCAGTGTGGTCTAGTTAGACTAACCCAAGAAACCTAATTTTGGTGTTGGTGTGAATATTATTTGTATGAACTTGGGAACTGTATGTAAATCCCCTGTGTGAATGTATACCGTATTAAAATCCTTAGATGTTATGAGAATGTAGTATGTGAAAGGTAATGAAAGTAAAATATATGACTGCTTGAGGTTGAGGTAGGAACCTGTGTTCAAATCCTGACACTGCCGCTTCCTAGGTTTCAAAGCTATATACATCACCTAACCTGTGAACGTCATTGTCTGTGTCTCTTAAGTGGAGCTATTGCTATCCTTATGAGATAATTGATAGTGGATAGTAAAAATGACAACCAAATAGAGTAGTCCCTGGAATGTACTAGATTTCAAAAAATAATAGTTGAATATAAATAGGCAATAGAATGAGATATATTCAAGGCAATGTTATTTTAAATAATAATCAACTGATATGATAATATGTTAATGATGTAATTGTCATTTTTGTCTGTCAACTTTGACATTCATTTCTTATCATGAACTGATTTCATGTTTACTCTCATTGCTGTAAAACCTTTATATATTATATTTATTCTTTAGTGTCCCCATAAAAGTAATTTCATTCTATTAAAAGCCCAGCAGCACATGGAGTTACTCTGATATTGTGCTACGGTTATCCATCTTTCTAGCTTCAGTTTGGTATGTTTATTAAAGGAGAAATATCAAGGGAGGGGAAAAAAAGAAATATATCCTCTAAGGAGTACATACTCTGGAAATTTGGGGTGGGAGAATGTTGGGTGAAGATGTGATGACCTTCCTTTCTGTACAGGATCTGAGCAAAAACTCTCTGTGGAATCCTCAGAGCGCCAAACTCAGTAGAGACTCCCCGTGAGTATTTCTAAATGTGTATCTTTAGCATCTTTGGCTTCTTCTTCTTTTATTTTTAATATTTTATTTAATTTTGCATAGAAGAAGTGGGATGCAGGCCAGAGGTACAGGGGGTGAGAGCTTTCACCAGAGACAGTGGGGAGCAGAACAGACAGATCTACTGAAATACACTGCCGAGGGGAGCAGCAGGGAGACAGGAGAGGTCTGCTGCACTATGTAGTTTAGCTCTCTGGCTGAAGATTGAACTCAGGCCATTGTGGTGGTAGTGCTGACACTTAACCCTTAGGCCACCATGGAGCCCCTGGTTTCTATATTTTTTAACCTGATTGGAATAAAGTTTCAATTTGGTCAGAAAATGAGAAAAAAAGTGTGTGTCCAATGACGATATTTTCCTTTTCTTAGCAGTAACAAAAATAATTTATTATATAAGTTTTCCTGTAAACTTTTGGTTAACATCATAGGTATTTGTCAAAGCAGCAATTCTTTGAGTAGTATTGAGACAGAGGGACAAGGGAAGATAGGGATGAAGAGAAAGGAGATAGAGAACTCACAAGGATGTGGAGTTGCGTTTCCTCCTGCAATTTTACTTATTCAGAGAAATAAAAATTGAAAACCAAGAAAACAAAGATTATTACATTTTGCTTGTCATGTTTTCCAAACTTGCCAAGTTACATCATCAGGTTAACTGTCCATACAGCTATAGGAGTAGAAATCAGACTGCCTACACTACAGAGGGCCAGCTGATAAACAAGCAGGTAGAAGGTGACTTTCGGTTTGCAGTTCGCTCTATTTGAGATGGCCTTTTTTTTTTTTCCTGGAGCTCCCTCCCATCAAGGTCTCTCCATGCAAGCCTGCCTCTAGACTTATAGTGCACATGACTTTTTTTCTCCCAAAGGTTCAGTAGTTTGTGCTCATGCAGAGTAGTGGGTTATTGCAGCATGAAATTAAACAATAATTGTAATTGTACTTTGTTCCCCAAGGACCTTAAATACTGGAGATATTCTTTGAATGTATTTATTCAGAGATGCCTGTGGCCACTTGTGCACTTGAGCAGGGCAAGTAACAATTTAAAGAGAACTAATTTCAGCCTGTGAACATTTAGGGGCCACGTGGGCTAATGAAACTGATTTGTAGACTTGTCCGGAGACATTCATAGACTCATTTGTAGGCATCTACTTTGCATAGTTCAGGAAACCCTTTAGTTTAATTGATCCAGAACAACACAAACACAGTTAAATCTTATATATGTTGTGTGATCACATTGCTAATTGAAAACAAAAACCAACAACTGCTTTGCAGTTAGCTTAGGGCATGTATAGTAAATGGATTACATGCATATTGGGTACTATTTTTTTTTTTTATGAAAATAACTGTAAGACTGTAAACTGCTTCTGTCATGATAATGATATGGGTCAGATATAACTGATGGTTTTCTTTCAAAGAATTATATACATAGACTGCATGTTGCTGTCTTACATATTTTTTTAATCATTATAAGATTTAAAGCATTACTTTTAATTTTTCAAACAGGATGAGAAGTTCAAGTGGAGTTGACAGTAAGTTTTTATATTTAAACATTTTAATTTTTTCATCTTATTAATAGTAAGGTTCACATTCCTCCTGAGAGTTTGTAGTCCTTGAAATTCTATTTATGATTTTTGTCTACCATACAAAGTAAAGAGTTCAGTAGAAAAATAGAAAGTTGAAGATAACCAGGACTTATTTCTGGTTTAAAATTTCTTGAATCACCTGTTTTTATGATTTTCCATTTTTCTCTGTGAGTGAGGGCAAAATCACTGAACTCATTTTAGACTTTCAACAACTCTTACTGTCACTTTTTTACATGTTGCTCACTAAGTCATTCATAAGATTGTATGTAAATGCCTTTTCCTTTATGGTTTCAGTAGGACACTATGGCTCAAATGGCTAAGTTCGGCTAAGCTACGCGAGACAACTTCCTGCTAATGCCACTCTCAACTACTCTTAACCATAGCCACAATTTACTAGCTCTCACTCATATTCTTGACCCTTTGATGAAGACTGGGCACCTTCTCTTTCTTTGTTTTCTTTTTTTTTTTCATTGAGGTAACAATGATTTACATTGTTTGTGTTTTATAAGTACAGCCATCTCCCCCCTTAGGTGTGGATGCCACATTGCACTTGCCACAGGACACCTATGGTTCTCCACCATAGTCCATAGTCCTCCTTCTCCCACTTTAGTCTTGCCCCACTGACTCCCCTCTCATACAGACTCAGTTCTACAGTGAACTTTCTTGTGTTAATTCTTAGCTTGACTTTATCTGACACTTTATTTGGTTTCTCTGTATTCCACATATAAGTAATACCAGCTGGTATCTGTCTTTCTCCTTCTAATTTATTTGATTTATTTGCTTAGCAAAATCCCACCATTTTCTTTTCTTTTCTTTTCTTTTTTAAAAGATTTATTTATTTATTTATACAAGCACTGGGTACAGTCCGAGGTGCGGGAGGGTGAGAGAATTCACCAGAGCCAGAGCGGAGAGCAGAACAGGCAGACTGGAGCAGCGGGCGGCAGGAGAGGTCTGCGCGCCATGTGGGACCCTTGCCTGGCGGCTGGGGATCAAACCGGCACTGCAGAGGCTGCTGGCAGCTTCGCAAACCAGCGCTCAACTGCTGTGCCACCAGGGAGCCCCAAATCCCCCCCATTTTCATCCATGTTGCCACATTTGGCAGGAGTTTATCTTTTTGATAGCAAAGTAGTATTAGACTTTGAGAGCAAAGTAGAATTCCATGAGTCCTGATTGACTCATCCATATTTGGGCACTTAGGCTGTTTCCCTAGCATGGCTATTGTAAAAAGTGCTGCAGTTAACAAAGAAGTGCATGTTTTCATTAGAATTAGTATTTTTGTATTCTTTAAGTAAATACCTAGGAGTGGGACTGCTGAGTCATATGGCAGATCCATTTTTAATCTTTTGATAAATCTCCATCCTGTTTTCCACAAGGAGTGGACCGGTCTACATTTCTATCAACAGTGTATGAGGGCTTCTTTTAGGCTTTGTTGTTTTTTGATCTTTTTGATATGGGTCATTCTTACAGCTATAAGGTAGTATCTCACTGTGGTTTTGATTTGCATCTCCCTGACCGTCAGTGATGATGAACATTTTTTTATGTCTGTTGGCCATCTGTATATCTTCTTTGGAGAAGTGCCTGTTTATCTCTCCTGTTCATCTTTTGGTTGGGTTATTTGTTTTCTTTTTGTTGAGTTGTGTGAGCTTTTGGTAGGTCTTCGCTATCAGTCCCTTATCAGAGGTATGGTATGCAAATATTTTCTCCCATTCAGTCCTTTTATCTCAACAACAGTTACTTTCCCTGGCATCTTCCTTTTCTGTGGTCTTATGCAATACCGTGTTCATAGCTTTTCAGTTCCTTTGTAGTTCTTCTCTTTCAACTACAAACTTGTCATTTTGTATAAAAACGAAAAATAGTATTTTTCTACTTTATAAACAGCTGTTCTTAGACCTTACCTCTAATTTAATTGAAAAAATATTCGTATTTGCTCTTTGGCTCATGGCGTCTGTCCCCACGACGCTACTGAAATGCCAATAAAACTGCTAAATCACATGATCTCTTCCTAGTTCTCATTGAACTTGTTTTGATGTTGATCTGTTTTCTAGGTTTCCATGCAGCCTTTCTTTTCTGGCACTCTTGTATTTCTGTTTTGACTGCTCTTGTTCCCACAAGCCTCCTCTTCCTTCACCCAAACTGGAAATTTTAGTTGTTGACAATCTTTCATTCTTATCTATCAATTTTGCCTCTTAACTCCACATTACCTTGAGCCTCATCTTTAAATAACAGTGCTTTAAAAAAAAAAAAGACTAATTTTATTTTGTGATCTGTGTCAAGTTGTCTCATTCTCAGTGCAGGGGGTCCTTCCTCCCCAGGAAAACAGAATGGGAGGAAGGGGCTTTGTGACTTTAGTGCCTCCACAAAGCCCCTAAAAACTGTGTTTTTCTCTATCCTGCTTCTCCTGCCTTAAAGCCTTCATTTGTTTTCCTAAAATAAATGTATACTTTCTTTTGTCCTTGATTTTGTGTCAGCATTGTGGTTGGTTTCTCTCTTTTTAATCTTTCCTATGTTCCTATCGGAATTATCTTTCTGAACAGTAAATTTTCACTTACATATATTGAAATCTTCAATGGTTTTCCATTTCCTACTGGATAGACTAAAATTCCAAGTCTTTTCTCAATGCTTTTGACAGTCCAGCCTCAATCCAAATTTCCAGAATCATTCTCATGAGATTTTTCATTTGATACCTCTGTCATGCAGAACACAGCCACTTACCTATTAACAACATATGGGTGTTTAGAGGCATTTAAAACAAAATGTTCCATCTCCCTCTCACCCATGTCAGCAAATGGCAACTCCTCCCCTCTGGTTGCTGAAGCCAAAGTCTTGCGATCATACTTAACTACCATTTTCTCACACTCCTTCATCCAACAAACCAGTAAATCCTTTGAAATAGATCTAGAATCTGATTATTTTTCTACCTCCACATACCAGTCTTCATCTCTTTGCTGACCTCCAAACTATTGCCCTCTAAAAGCCTGTTTCCAGAGAGCAGCCAGAATAATGCTTTTAAACTGAAAGCCAAATAGCCTCTCTTCTGTTCAAATGATCTTTCATCGCACTCTGTAACAGTGAAGTTCAAACACAGTCTACAAGATCCTGTTGATTTGCTCGCCCTCCTCCAGCTCTTTAACCTCATTTCTTCTCAGCGTGATCCACACCGTCCACATCCTCCTCCTTAGCACAGCGACCTGCCTCAGGGTGTTTGCATTTGCTGTTGCTTCTGCCTGGCATAGTCATTTATCCACACTGCTCACCTGTCTCTTCCCTCCGGTGTATGCTCAAATTTTACTTTATCAAAGAGGCCTTGGCTAGTCATGCTACAGAAGGTCATAACCTCCCTGCTCCCCATACATCATAACCTCTTAGCTTGATATATATGTAATCTATATGCATCACACCCGCTAAGTATGGATAGGTAATGTTCCATTTCATTTTAGTAGCATGTAGCCAGAGAATGTTTCATTACTGTTCTTTCTCTCCAGCATAGACCAGTGTGTAACACATAGGTATGTTCAATGAGTATATGTTGAGTGAATATGAACAAGATTTTACTGTCTCCTTCAATGATGATGCCAGGATAGAAATTCAGCTTTATCGGATTGAAATACCGCATTCTTGAAGTATTTCATATTATTTGTTTATGAAGGTTTTTATATGCATCTCTGTATATCACCAGTATAGTAGATCGCAGCATCACAAAAGGAATTGTGATTATGTTTACATGTCTTTTTTTTTTTTAAAGATTTATTTATTATGTATACAAGAGCTGGGGTACAGGCCAGAGGTGTGGGGAGGGGTGAGAGGATTCACCAGAGACAGAGTGGGGAACCGAACTGGCAGATTGACCAAAGTACACTGCTGAGGGGAGCAGCGGGCGCGACAGGAGAGGTCTGCGGTGCCATCTGGTTTGCTCCCTGGCCGGCTGGGGATCAAACTCGTGCTGCAGAGGCTGTGGACAGCTTCACAGGCTGTGTCTTAACCCTTGTGCCACCAGGGAGACGCTTACATATCTTTCTTTTTTTTTTTTTAAAGATTTTTATTTATTTATGCATACAAGAGCTGGGGTGCAGGCCAGCGATGAGGGGGGTGAGAGGATTCACCAGAGACAGAGTAGGGAACAGAACAGGCAGATTGGGTGAAGTACACTGCTGAGGGGAGCAGCGGATGAGGCAGGAGATGTCTGCCTCTCCATGTGGGTTGCTCCCTGGCCAGCTCGGGATCGAACTCATGCTGCCGAGGCTGTGTATTGCTTCATAACGTGGTGCTTTAACCCCTTGCACCACCAGGGAGGCCCCTTACATATCTTTCTTTGCCAGTATTTCATATTTACTTTTTTAGAATGTAAGTCACATCATATTCATATCCGTCACACCTTGCCTGACCTATAACAGGAACTGAAAACTTTATTTTTTGTTATTGAATGAATTTATAAAGGAAGAGTCTTTTTTGCTGGTTTTACTATGAACCAAGCACCCCCAAAGGAAGGGATTTTTGTTCCTTTCCTTATTCAGCATCAAGAAGCTGGAGAGATCTGTGAAAACGGGCTCATTATGCTGCTTACTCTACTAGGCATCAAGCAGTAACCATCATGAGACTAAACTTCTCCACTTTAATTTTGATTTTATGAAATGGCATAACTGTTGCAAGGATTTCTCTGGAGCCTTGTAATTTAGGACTTGAGAAGATAGAAGAGAACCAGTTAAACTTGCAGAATGTGTTCCCAACACACAGTCCTTCTGTAACCAACCAAACTCCTTGGCGTCCTATTCTCCTCCTACTCCTTTGTTTTGGGTACATAGATCTTAATGTGTTTTCATCATTTTGTTGTCATTTTAGGTCAGTGAAGTAGTCTGCTAATAACTTGGTATTAATAATATGTTTATATATGTGCCGCATCTTGGTAGGGAAGTCAGAGAATTGTGCTTCTGGGATGTTGTGAAATGTGATGGGCAGCTGAGTGCCTTCTGCAGCCCAGAGGTATAATTGGTTCAGAGGAAATACATCTTTGAGGCTAATATTACCTGTCTTTCTTCAATTCCCTATATAAATATGTTTGGAGATATTACATTGATGATTGGAAGCTGTCAGGATACGATGCACAATAATGTGGTTAAAGGATATTAGGCAATCTTTTTCAAATACCGAGGAGCCAATCTGATTAACCTGTTCAATAATAACTTTGAAGGCAATATATTCACAAGCATGTATTTATCTCTAGCCAAGTAATTAAAATGCCAATCTTCTCTATAATTTCAGAAATCTCAGCCTCTTTAAAAAGCCCTCAAGAGCCTCACCATCACTATTCAGGTAGGATGCACGTGCACATGGACATGTCAGCTGAGCTGAGCATCTGTGATTCTGCATTTGTGAAGAGAAACATTGATGAATTCTATAGTATCAACATGACCCCCACCTTGAAAAGTTTTCATTCAATCTGATAAGAACATTCAGATGTCTTACCTTGCTATCAGTTTGAGAAAATAAGTTTGTTAGGATGTAAGAGAATCTGGATTAAAACATGTTTGTTTGTTTGTTTGTTTGTTTTGGCAAGTTCCAAATTGTAAAGGAAAACTATGACTGTGAGATCTAAAAATTCCTTGCAAGTTCAAAATAGGCCCAAAGCCAGAGGTCTCAGATTTTTTGGAAAGGGAAAGAGACAGGCCTGACTCCAGCTCTTTAAGGAAGGATTTTGTACCCTCATCGGACCCTCTGAACATATAGTTGCTTAATGAATGCCAACCCCACTGAGAAAGTTCAACAAAGACACTTTACAAGGATGTTATTAAACAAAGATGTCAAGGGTCTTTCTCTTAAGCAGCATCACTTCAGAGTGCTTCAGTTGTTTTTCTTTCAATGTGGGAATAATTGTACTTACCCTTCCTGAGGAACAATTTGCCAAAGGGCTAGTGGAGAATTGAGAGGAAAACACTTTGAAATGCAAAGTAAGATAGCAACCCCTGGACTCATGCCATTGGGTGGTCTTTTGGGTGTCATTGCTCTCAGCATTGGGTGAGATATACACGGGCAAGCTTTTTACACAGTCTAAATCTTGGCACATCAGTCAGTGTTTATTGGCAAGTGATTACCATTATTATTATATCAAGGTCATGTGTTCAGGGTCCAGTAACAGACTGCCTTACCCTGAATTTTCCTCTGTAGTGAATAGTGTTTCAGTGGCTTCCAGACTCCGCATTCCAGATTCTTATAAACTGGGTATTTCAGCTCGGCAGTAATCTATTATTTTGACTCCAGCTGTCAACTTAAGAAAGTCTCTGGTGAGGAATACTGTAACTCATATTGACTCTCATCTGTTTGGATCCGGCTCTTAACAGGAAAATGCAGATCACTTGCTTCTAATTAAAATTGGTCTTCAACTCTCTCTGGGAAAAGGTGAACTGTGCAAAGTCAACAGTAGATGTCCCCACAGTCCACCGTGCATTAGATTTGCTCTGGGAAAGAAAAACCAGAGATGGAAGATCACAGATTAAAATGCCTTTTGAAAGGAAAGTCCACATATGTATGGATTAGTATGTGATTTGATATTCAGGAGAGTGGAGGTGAAAGTCAGACCTCAGACCATGTTACTCATGTAATCTGTTACTAAGACTGGGATATCCTCCCTGCTTAAGACATAAGTTATTTAAAAAACTGTATTGTAGATAATACTTTTGGTAAAGGCAAATATAAGAGGTCTTTGAATTGAAATATTTTAGCATTATATAAATATATTGTTGTTGGGGAGGTTTTCTGTAAATTCAACTCACTGATGCATAATTAAAAGAGTAAATCTGTTTGTGTTTGCAGCCATTGAAAGGAACAATTTAATGAGGCTTTCTCAGACCATACCATTTACACCAGTCCAGCTGTTTGGTGAGTGCTGTCCCCACCTCTGTTGAGGCTGTGCCAGGAAGGAGGCAAAACATGAGAGTAAATCACAGGAGAAAATATTTTAGTTGAACTTTTTGTTTTGCTAATGGTTGCACTTTAATGAGATAATTTTCTAAAATGGAAACTCTTGAAACTTCCCATCCAAAATCTAGGGTCAAAATTTATTTCTTTGGGAATGGGATCTATAATGAGCAGCAGTTAGGAAGAAAGCAATACCGTTGCACCTGACTTTCACTGACTTAGGCTGGAAGTAAATAGGAAAGTAAAAAAATCAACCAGCCATATGTAATGAACACAGAAGAAAGTGATAAATGTCAACATGATGAAAGCTAACTGGTCTCTGAAGAGAAACACTTTGTATATTGTTTTTTGTTTGTTTTGTTTTGTGTAAACTACTTGTATAGTGCAGACAGCAGATGCCTTTTAAAAGAGTCAGTAGTGAACTAAAGAAGATTGTATTAGCTAAGGCTACCAGGGTTTCTTTGATCTGTGAGATTATAACAAGGGTCCCCACGATGTCTTAGGCTGTGATTCTTCTCACACTCCTCACGTGGGGAGATCGGGTGGCTTCTGACAGTTGCAAATGTCTTCTGTTTCTGCTGGGCTCTGTGGCTGGTTTTGTTACTCAGTAGTTCCACTCAGTAAATCCTCTAGGTATTTAGAACTCTACAGATATCTTCAGTGTCATTTATCTGGGTATAGAAAAGAATTTTTTTTAAAGGAATTTACTTATTTATGCATACAAGAGCTGGGGTGTAGATCAGCGGTGCTGGGGTGGGGGTGAGAGGATTCACCAGAGACAGAGTGGGGAGCAGGTCAGGCAGACAGACTGAAATACACTGCTGAGGGGAGCAGTGGGCAAGACAGGAAAGGTCTGCTGCACCATGTGGGTTAACTCCCTGGCCAGGATCCAGCTTATGCTGCAGTGGCTGGGATAGCTTCATAGTGCTGAGACTTAATTAACCCTTTGTGCCATCAGGGAGGCCCAAAAAGAAATTTTTGAAAATATTTCACCTAGCATAACTGATAATGTTTGTGAGTAAAAATTAAATGCGTGACTGAGTGAATAGATTCCTCGGTAAACTAGTACATGTGAAACAGTGCTCATATAAAAAGCTATTTGAAGCAGAGGTAAAAGAAGAAAATTAAATGCAATCTCAACAGAAGTTGTGTGTAGGATTTATTTGTTATGAAGCATTAAATACTGAATTAGGTGCAGGCTAAGCTAAATAAGAATCGTTCCCTGCAATCCTTTAATGGGGAGGCTTTCTAGTAGTTTAAGAACATTTTGTGTCTAAAGTAGTTTAAGTGGGATTGAGTTTGTATCCAAGGTTCTAGTTTCCTATAGCTAAGTTAACATATTTAATCTTTACAAAAACTCAGTGAAATGAGTGTTATTTTTATCCCCAAATGCTGATGAGGGCAGTGAGGCTTTAAGTAACTTGTCCAAAGAATAAGGAAGGAGAAGGTATGATCCTGCTTCCATCTAATCCCATCTGTTAAACCATGGATTTAACCATGCATTCTGCATGAGAGTGATATCACCCCCATAGGAGCAAAAATTTGTGTGTGTGTGTATATATACACAAATACACACCTAGAATAAGCGAGTACATAACAGATATATAGTATGTCTTGGCTTATTGAAAAATAATGGGAGGGACTATTAGGGACAAAAGTTTCCTTAGGGACATAAATAGCATTATGCAAAACATAGGGGTAAACTGTCTCTTTAGAAGTATTTGTCCTTAACAAAAGAAGCACATCCTTACTGCTTTCATTTTGTTGTCCAGTTATAGTCTATAAGAAGAGCAACTTAATTCTTGTATAGCATCTGATGTTTTGTTCCTCTTCCCCTCTCTTTACTGGACAAAAAATAGCCTGAAAACTTTCCTTCTCACTGTCTGATTCTAAACTGATGTTTAGGATGCGGTCCATGTCCCAGGCACAGGAGCTCACTGAGTTCCTTACCTGCACTTCTCTTTCAGCAGGAGAAGAGGTAACTGTCTACAGACTAGAAGAGAGTTCCCCTTTGAACCTTGACAAAAGCATGTCTTCTTGGTCCCAGCATGGGAGATCTGCAATGATTCAGGTGTTGTCCCGAGAGGAGATGGATGGCGGCCTCCGCAAAGCCATGAAAGTCATCAGCACCTGGTCAGAGGATGACCTTCTCAAGCCGGGGCAGGTTTTCATTGTGAAGTCCTTTCTTCCTGAGGTTGTGCAGGCATGGCATAAAATCTTCCAGGAGAATACTGTGCTTCATCTTTGCCTCAGGGTAAGTCAGAGACCTAGAGCCCAGATGGACAGATCTAAGAAAACAGATCTGACTACATCTTGATCGAAGGCCATTATCTTCAACCCTAAGGGAAACCTGTTCTTTTTTGGAGGTGGCAGTATTATGTTATTTTTGTTTTGTAGAGATTTGGTCTTGAGTGTGAAGTGGTGGAATTTAAATAGGATAAAATATCACATCTGGGAAGCTTCTAGTAATTTTATGTTTATTAATTAGTAGCTAGCAAACCAATATTTTCCCCAATGTTCCCTATTTTGTAGGAAATTCAACAACAAAGAGCTGCTCAGAAACTGATTTATACCTTCAACCAAGTGAAACCACAAACCATTCCCTATATGCCCAGGTGAGGAAATACTGGCATCCTGGCCCTTCATTTTAAGTAGGAATTTCTATCAATCTCTTCTCAGCCCCAGTAGTCAGAAGAAATACTTGACCCATGAGGAATTTATCCATGATCTTATTTCTTACCTCAGTTTTGGGTTCTTACTCCCACAGTTCTGGAGGTTGGTAAAAAGAAAATAAGATATCCCAGAGGTATCATAGCTTAAATCACTGAGTTTATGTAACTAGAGAAGGGAAGGTCAAGCAGAGACCATGACTAAATCTTAATTATGTTAAACAAGCAGATAAATCCTGACTGTAGTTGCTAATGTCCAGGAACATGATGGTAGAAAAACATTTCTATTTTAAGCACAGTTTCTTCCCTCAATATCTTATAGAAATTAGAGCTTTATAAGATCAAAATCTTGTTACTTTCACTTGAGTGTTTCCCCTTACTTGCATTCATTCATTCATTCACTCAATAAGACTGAACATAATTTGGTGCTGAGGACTTACAGTAAGGTTTTATTGTTTCCTTTACAAGGAACTTTATAGAGCATGGTAAGAAGAGTTGGGAGTGGTATGCAAAGACTTAGAAAATTTCCCCAAAGTTAAGAGAGGCAGGTTAGCATGAGAAAAACTCCCAATTTTTGCTTCTGGTAGAAGCCAAAGGACAAGGGCATCAAGGCTGTGTAAGATGAGAGTTAGGTAATCTCACCTGTGACTCTTCAGTAAGGTGAGTCCCAATTTTGCTGCCTTGTGAGAGATCAATGACCAATTGTTTCCCTCATAGGTTCCTGGAAGTTTTCTTAATATACTATCATTCAGCCAACCAATGGCTGACCATTGAGAAGTATATGACAGGAGAGTTCCAGAAGTACAACAACAACAATGGTGATGAAATTGCCCCCAGCAACACCCTGGAGGAGCTAATGTTGGCTTTCTCTCACTGGACCTATGAGTATACTCGGGGAGAGCTGCTGGTTTTGGATTTGCAAGGTGATTGATAGCCAGAACTTGACTTTAACAACTGTGAGGCAAAGCTCAGGAAACTGACTGGGGTTGCTTTTCTCTTTGCCATTGTCACCTACATTTGACCCCAGTTCTTTCTTCATCCAATGCTGTAGTTAGGACCTTTAGTGGAGACAGCCCTTGACAGTGCATGCTTTTTTTTTTTTAAAGATTTATTTATTTAAGGCCTCCCCAGTGGCGCAGCGGTTGAGCGCTGGGCTGCGAAACTGCCCGCAGCCTCTGCAGCACCAGTTCGATCCCTGGCCGCTGGCGAGGGTCCCACATGGCGTGCAGACCTCTCCTGCCGTGCCCTCTGCTTCCCTCAGCAGTGTACTTCGTCACTCTGCCTGTTCTGCTCCCTTCTCTGGCTCTGGTGAATTCTCTCATCCTCCCATGCTTCTCATTGTACCCAGTATAAATAAATAAATCTTAAAAAAAATTAAAAAAATAAAGATAGATTTATTTATTTATACAAGAACTGGAGTACAGGCCAGATGCGTGAGAGAGTGAGAAGATTCATCAGAGACAGAGCAGGGAACAGAACAGGCAGGCTGACGAAATACACTGCTGAGGGGAGCAGTGGGAGCAACAGGAGAGGTCTGTCACGCCACTGGGACCCTTGCTGGCTGGCCAGGATTGAACTGGCGCTGCAGAGGCTGCAGACAGCTTCACAGCGCAGCGCTCAACCACCTGCGCCACCAGGGGAGGCCTGACAGTGTATGCTTTTAAAATTTTAAATCTGAAACCTGAAAGATGGTATCTGTTTTCTAAACTTATTATTTGTGAAACTGTCTTTAGTGGGAGTAACCAGACAGGTCTCCTGAGAGATCTTGTAGGACTCAGAAGGGGCAATGTGTAGAGTTATGCTCTAGCTTTCAGGAAAGGTGGGTTATTGATTTCAGATACCTGGTACAGTGGTGATCACACCACCTCTCTGTTTGCTGTTGAGATGAAGGGGAAAATATAGACAAGTGATTAACTGCTTAAAATGTAAAGGCATGTATAACTTTGACCCAAATGGGAAATAATTTTTCCAGTTTTACCTTGAACTTAAGTCCACAATAACAGGTAAACACTTACACATATAAGAAAGTTTAAACTCTGTGTATTTTTTCCCATGACTTTGAGTTCATTTCTTTAGCAATTTATATTTTAGTTTGCTCTTTGCTATGTACCTTGATATGACAGTTCATGAAAGTACAAACTCAGTCTGAGAGAGGAGACATGGTGCATTCTTATTTAATAGAAGCCTTTGATCAGTGCATCTCCCCACTATCAACACCTCACATGTGATTTATAATCCTGTAGCACAAAACAGAGCATCTCTAGCAGGCTTTCCTTGCAGGAACTGAACGTAATGTGTATTAAGGTCAAAGTTTAGTCCCTGGGCTCACTGACTGTGGCTTTGGTTTTAAATAAGGGATTTAGCCCAGGAACTTTCATAGAAGTTATCTCATTTAATCCCAGGAGCAGCACCTCTAGGTAGATTTTATGGGGAATTTAGGCCCAGAAAGCTTAAATAACTTGCCCAAGGTTGCACAGCTACTTAATGGGGAACCAGGAAGCAGACTTAAGCTATTTTGACCATCCATGGTCTTTCCTTCTCACTGTGCTGTCCTTTATTCTTTATACATTCCATACCCGAAGGACATAACCATGTTCTTGTTCATTTAAAAAGATCGAGACTTTTCCTCGTTCTCTCTTAATTTCCCATCTCTCCAGTCCTGGGATTTTGTGCTGAAAGTCAGGCATAGAGGCTGGGGACAGTACATACAGGGATCCTGGGGTTTCATGATCAGTGTCCAGTAAGAGTATAAAGCCATTTTGATTGAAATTTGTGCCACGTGCTGAAGGATGTACATGTATGTTATAACTACACATGAGGACTTGTGTCCTTTCAAATCTGTGCTGTTCACAATGTTGAATTACATTTCAAGCCCTCAAACAGAATGTTTTAGGATGCAATATGAAGTTAAAACAGTTGGGATGATTCAGCTTTTAAACCAGCAAGTACTTGATCCATGTAAATCCAGCCTGCTGCTGCCCAAGGCATCTGCTTTTGTAGCTCATGTTGTGGAGAGGTTGATTGTTTTCATCTGTACTTGAGTGTGTGCTTTGAATTTTGGGTGGAGTTGTTTAAAAAGCAAAATCAGAAACAAACAAACAACACACATACAAAAAAAAAAAAAAAAAAACCAAAGAAAAACTTTAAGGAATTAATGACGACTCTTCAGTGTGTTTTGTATTCTACTTGAATAGGTTTTTGTTTAATGATGTTTATGTTTGGGGATTTTTATGTCTCTTAGTGATCCAAAGTGACATTAAACAGAACAAATGCTGCATTGATAGTCTTGGGGGGGAAAGGGAATTAACTTTATTCTTTTACTGGGTAATTATGTGAATTGCAGAAATAGGCCACTCTAAGTAAACTCTGTCAAAACATTGGCCTTCAAAGAAGGCAAGAATGGACATCATAGAATGAGCTTGAAGAAGTTGAGATAGTCATTGGAGAATTTTGACCAGTTGGTTAGACACGAGTTTATGGAAGGACATGAACCATATAATAGCAATTATAAGCAGTTATGTGTTATTATTACTACTAGCTAATATTTATTAGGTACTTAATCTATGCCAGGCACTTGGTTAAAGGCTTATGTGCATTATCATATTTAATCCAAACCAGATTGGCAAAGAAAAATGGGAGAATATAATATATTCTTAAAGGTTCAGTTATATTATATTTAAATGATTATTATTTCTAGTCTTTGGGGAGATGACATACATCATCTGGGTGGTAGGAGTGCAGATTTAGAAGCCAGTTAACCATATTTAGGAGGAATACTCCGGAATTACAAGCTGGAGTCTGACTCCTGGCTCCACTATGAAATTAGCTTGTCACCAGGGGGTGACCACTTTAGTCCCACCCCTCATTTGTAAGTGGAGAAAATAATATTATGCCCTTAACTCATAGAGTTGTGAAAGGGCTAAAATGAGTCAAGTTCCTGATACGGAATAAGCCCTTAATAAATATTCGTTAATATTAAACCTCTGATGATTCTTTAAAGTGGAGGTTAACCTTGAGTTGTGGGGAGTCTCCTCTTAACTGTGTGGTCCTGGTGGTAACTTCAGGGAAACCTCAGTTTTGGCATCACTAGAATGAGTGCCTGATCAACTTGCTGTCACTCCCTATTACTAGGGAAAGAAGGAATGAGAAATGAGGTAGTTTTGTTCTTTCTGTTTCTTCTTTTCTCCTCCTCTTTACTTTCTTCCTAGGGAGTACCAATTATTATACCCGGATCTGCCACACCAGGCCAGGAGGCTAAACTCTAAGGAGAGATTTGACCAATTTTGCTCACTTATAATTATTCTGTAGTTTTCCAGTCTCTTTCCTTTTAAGAATGTGAGAGCCTGAATCATCGTCATTACACTTGAAATCCAACATTCAATTCCCAGCAATGGGAATTAAAAACAAATGCATTTCAAATTACAGTGGTCTGTAGCATTTAAAAAGAGGTCATAATTTTTCAAAGAACTTTTGGAGATATTAATTTTTTATTCAACTAAACAATTTTTAAAATAAGTCAGCATTTGCATCAGTATCATCATCATGATGAATTCTACTGCTACAAAGAAATAACTTTTTTCCATAGATGTAGGAGTTCATTGATGTACCCCACAGTGATTGGGATCAAATGTAAGTCTCTGGGTTTCTCATGGGGGCATGCTACTTATTGTCTGTTGGTGAGCACTTACTCCTTTAAAGCAGGTAAAGAGATGTCACTGGGATTTTTAGAAGTTAAAATGCCTTATTTCCTTCCATATTTTCTAAATATCTGGTAGAACATATGGGTAGGATGGGCTCCAAGGCTGAAATTTGCTTGTGAAGCTGGGAGGGGTTGGGGTGTATGAATGATTGGGTCTCTAGGCTGCTTTCTATTTTTCACATATTAGAATGCCCCTCTGCCAGTAGAGGACCCCTACATATATATTTAGTAGTTAGTCTCTGCACTGTCGGATTGGATTTAGGGATACCCTCATTTTTATGGGGAGGGGTCTACTCATTAGGAATCACAGGGAATGACATTATCAGAATATGACTTCAACAGTGGTAAGAGAATAGAATTTTATTTCACAAGAGATCTTGACTGATCAAAGTTAATAAAAATGGCAGTTGACATTTTTTAGCTTCTGCTAGGTCAGCCACTTTGCTAAGCAGTTTGCATATAATAGTTCATTTAGCACTCACAGTAACTCCTTAAGATAAAGTCCCATATTATTTATATTTTCAGATGACAACACTGAGATTTGGAGAGGTCAAATAATTAGAAGGTGAAGGGACATGAAAGGACCCTTGAATTCAGCCTATGTAATAAGCAATAAGATTTAAAGTAAATGGGAGCTAATATGATTTTGGTCAACTTCCCCCCTCTAATAAAACTTCCTTTTCTCAATTGACATGATCTGTTTAGGTGCTGTCACATCCCTGATTTTACAATTTACTCAGGCATTAGCCTCAAGCTTTCATCATTGCTGGACACTTGACGCTCAAATTTGGGTCTGAGCTTAAACATATGGAGGATTGTTCAGCCTCTTTATTGAAAGCACGTGGCTGTCTTTTGGTTTGCTGTTCTGCTTATATAGTGCATAGTTAGAAAAGTATTGCCTCTCTAGGATTTTCCTTCTTGTATCTGTAAGGAAAATAACACAGACAAGCTTCTTCTTCTTTTGACTTTTTCTTTAAAACAAGTAAAGTTTGAGTAGTGCTCATCTATCTGCACCCTTCTCCCTGAGACTGTGTTTCTGTCTTACTTTCCTCTTCCCTGTTCAAGTCAGTGTGCAAAGAGATTCTAAGTGAGGGGTTCTTTTTTTTTTTTTAAGATTTTATTTTTTTTAAAAGATTATTTAAACAAGAACAGGGTACAGTCCAGATGCGCGGGAGGGTGAGAGGATTCTCCAGAGACAGAGCGGGGAACAGAACAGGCAGACTGATGAAATACACTGCTGAGGGGAGCAGCGGGAGAGGCAGGAGAGGTCTGCCCCGCCATGTGGGATTCTTGCTGGCCGGCTGTGATGGAACCCACGCTGCAGAGGCTGCGGACAGCTTCACAGTACAGTGCTCAACCACCTGCGCCACCGGGGAGGCCCCTAAGTGAGGGGTTCTTAAATAGAATTCAGAGCATCTGTGTCTGTGTACTTTTGATCAGAAAAAAACATACCTGTACTTTCACTAACCCGTAACTGAAATTCATCATTCCTTTCAATTATGATGGAGACTGCAAACCATAGGGGTATTAGCAATACCTGTGACTTTTCATAACAGCAATACAGGTGTTGACATATACTTTACAGGGTTGAAAGATAGGTCAAAATATTGTTTATAATTATTGCTGGATGTTAATGTAGTTATTAGAGCATGTTTTAAAGCCTGTTATATAACATATTAGTAAAGAAGCACATATATTGCAATATAATATTAAACATGTTTTTTATCACTCTATTTTAGTTTTGTTGGTTTCTTCTGTGTTTAAATTGTGCATTTTAAACTTCTGAGAAGTCTCACCAGACTGACAAAAAGGATCATGACATTTTATGAAATGGTTGAAAATCCCTACTCTAAACAATTATTTTCCTTAGAAAGTCAGTTTCTTAGGGGAAAGATCTATACATGATCAGGATTACACTTAGCATGTAGATTTGGCATACAGTAAAATATACAGAAAAAAGCAAATTAAATTTTAATATTGGTTAGAAAACAATTTTTTTTTTTACCAAATAGAAATATAAACCAATGGTATAAATTGTGTATGGCTTTTAAATAGTGTTCCCCACAAGGTTGGTCTCTTCCAAGCAAAGAGAACCATTGCTGAATAGAAAGTGATTTCAGAAATTGTTGGGTTATACTCTGATAGCATGTTCTCTTGCCTAACAGGCTGGCCTGGGAAAAGTTATTGCCAGGGGAGGTCAGTCTCTTTGCCACCAGTGTTTCATAACAGAGATTCACTTTGGTGTAAATCCCTATTTTGATACATGTTCACTTGAGATTGTATTTATCCTTTTGTGCTTTGGTGTCATTTTTTTAAAAGTCCATTTTATTGAAGAAGAGCATACATTCAAGAAAGTGCACTAAGCACACATCTCAAAAAAAAAAAATTCACAACTGATTATCTCTGTGTAACCAGCACTCAGATGAAGACTTTGGGGGACATTTGTATTCTACTGCAGAATCTATTACAGAGTCACACAGCGCGCAGTGCCTTGCTCAGTACTCATGGACTCCATTCAAGGAAACTGTGGACTAATGGGAGGGAGTTTTGACTCTGCTTGAATTCTGTTATCATCACTTGTGATACAGAGGACTGTGCATCCTCTGAAAAATTGCTTTATCTCTTTGAACATCAATATACTCATCAGTAAAATGAGGATTTGAGGATGTTAATACTTTTTTATGATCATTCAGAATTAGAGAAAATAAAATCAGACTGTCTAATATATGTGAGTGGCAAATGAATGATGAATGACACTATCAGTAAGTGTGAACATGCAACTAAACATTCATTTGTAGCCTGGAAGTTTATTATAGCATACTAGAAGGGTTTTGGGAAGCAGTTCATTAACTAAAATTGTCAAACACATCTGGACAATTTTTATAGCACACTTATTTCTTATGATGTTTAATTTACTATAGGGTGGATGTAGGTTTAAAATTTGATTTTTATTTTCTTGAATTTCTGAGAAAATTCAATCCCCATTTGCTAAATGCATTTTCTTTTTTCTTTGGAGGTGTTGGAGAAAATTTGACAGATCCATCTGTTATAAAACCTGAAGACAAACAGTAAGTTAATGTATGATGTTATCATTTAGAAAATTGAATTTAACACATTGTACATGGTTCTTCCAAAATAATTTTTAAACATTTACATTTCTTATCTAGATTCTAGAAAGGTTTGAGGCAACTTTTATTTATATCCAAATAAAAGACAATAAGATTTAAAATACAATAAAATGTTAAAGAACACATGGATTTGGAAATAGGGGGGCAAATATGAAAATAAAAGAAGATTAAATCTCGAATTAAGTTAGTACATATGGGTGGAGATTATAAAGAGCAATGTAATAGCCCAACCTGTGTGGTAAGTTAGACTCTGCATTTTTTAAAAAAGATTTATTTATTTATGCATACAAGAACTGGGGTACAGGTGAGAGGTGGGGGGGGGGCGGTGAGAGGATTCACCAGAGACAGAGTGGAGAACAGAACAGGCAGAATGACTGAAATACACTGCTGAGGGGAGCAGCGGGTGAGACAGGAGAAGTCGGTTGCACCATGTGGGTTCCCCCATGGCTAGTGGGATCGAACCGGCACTGCAGAGGCTGCGGACAGCTTCACAGCGCTGTGCTCAACTGCCTGCGCCACGAGGGAGGCCCAGACTCTGCATTTTTTAGTGACCCAAACAAAAGGAAATATGGGTAAGTTCAGTATCTATAGGTTTTGGCATGAAAACAGTGTCACAGGGAAGCCCAGTTTCCTTTGATGTCTTCACGATAGGGTCATTACATCTTCTTACATGCAGTATCTTCCATTACACCCCTATAAAATGATAGCTGAGGGCATTAAGTGTGCTATTCAATAATATCAAATCCATGTGCAGCCAAAACAATGGGGCATATATATGAAACATCAGATGGTCTGTCTTAATTAAGAAATGAGGTTTCAAGATATGGAGGGATGAATCATTTGCCTGTCCTTTGAATCCACATTGTAATTTTATAAACAGATGTTTGGCAAGTCTTTGGGGATTAGAGATCTGAGGTTGTATGCTGTTAAATGTCAAGTAGAAGGAAAGAAGTGATGGGCTCATTTAGGACTAACCAGTAAGTAGAAGATAGTGGTTCTCAAACATGAGCTTTCATCATAATCTCTAATAATATAACAAATTTCCAGGTGGTTCTGATGCTACTGGTCCAGAGACCACACTTGTGAGAACTTCTGGCATACATCTTTATTTCTTAGTTGTCCTAAATGTTAATACTTGACACCTAGTTTGTAGCAAAAATATATTAATTACCTAAGAGAGTAACTCCTAGTCAATAAAATCTGAGATTTTTACATTTCCTTTCATGGAACTCAAATTGTAAATATTGACTGCTTTAGTGTTTTGTTCTTTTACTGGAAGACTTACTTTAAGTATGGTCTCATCTGTAGGTTTCTGTGCAAAGAGTTCCATCCAAAAATGTCATAGCCATTTTTTTTTGGACTAGGTAAGCTGCAGAAGATATAGGAGATCTTTATGGCTCCTATGCATCTAATTCCTATGACATTAGACCATGGAGTTCATGTTCTAACCATTCAGGTACAGATAGCCTTTATCATTTTTGAGAGCTAAAATGTTTTTAGCTAGGAATATTATTTCTTTAGTTTCTCTGTGTACCCAAGAATCTGTAGTAAGAAGTTTGTACTTCAATTATCTCCTTTATAATTTTGAAGTGAAAATTTTTTGCATATATAATAAACTAAGTTTATTTATACTCTATCATCTATTAAATTTTGATCTTGGCATACATCATTTAATATGACCTGAATATTTCCAACTTTTGGGATTCTGAGTTATATTATTCCATTTGACAGTAGAGTATTTAATTACAATCTGTAGGTCAGTATGTCTCAATTTCTATTAAGCTCACCTAGGGAAATAAATGCTCACAATAGGCATCACTTCAGAATCTCTGCCCTCAGGTTCTTGGTGAAAAGTTCTTCATGTGATTCTAATGGGCAACCAAAGATAGGAACTTCTATCTTATAGGTATTTTTTATGACTTAAAAATAGGAACTCTGGAAACACTGCTTTTGTGAGATCACTTAATTTTGGGTGCTGCTGGTTTCACGATGAAGGTAATAGGATGTACTCTTTTCTCACAACGGTGATGAATTATATCTAATTCATCAGTGCAGCTCACATTTTTGTGTTAAACCTTTGCTCCACAAAGCCTGGGCATGGCTCATGCACATTGCATGGGAGAGTGTCAGAAATGCAGAATCTCCAGAATCTCCCTATCCCTGCTGAATCAGAACCCAAATTTTCACCAGCTCCTCAGGTAATTTGATGTAAATGAAAGTTAGAGAAATACCAGTCTGGTTAAGTGGTTTTACATGTTTATTTTACCCTTAGTGTTGGAAGCAAGTATCTCACAAATGAGCAAATGAAAACTCAGTTAAGATGGCAACTTGCCTACAAGAAGAAGGGGACAGTGAAGGGGAATTAGCCTCTACCCAAAGAGAAGATGGTTTGGGGATGCAAATTCTGATACTATCTCTTGTGCCTGTGGCCTCTTAAATTCCCCAAACCTTGTACATGTGAAGACTAAGTCCCAGGCCTTTTCCTCCAAGTCCTCTCTGGCCACTGAGTTCCTCAGGCCATTGGCCTCAGTGGAGGCTGTCTCCATTCATGGTAGTTTGGTGTTGTATCTTTTCACTTGCTACCTTGGTGAATTTGGGCATTTGACAAGTATCAAATGATGATGACGATAATGGCAGTGATGACGATGATGATATGTTCTTTAGCAAATCTCTGTTTACAAGGCAATAATTAGTATTTCCTCAAATGTAGAGCCAGGCTACCACCTGCATACCCTGTGCTGTAAAATATCTGGAAAACAGTTGCATCTTTGTTTCTTGAATGTGGTTCTCCGAGATTGCAAGACTGTAGGTGAGCTGTAGGGGTAGACGCCTGTGACTGTCCCTTTCACCCTCCTCTACTCCCCTCTGAACAGACCCCTTCTATATACATGTTATACTAATTTTGATTCTCTTGTTTTAACTTTCATAACTCATAGAGGCAAATGATTTAGCTTACAACTTTTATCTAAAATCAATGTTATATCTAAGTTGAGGGTTTTCATGCAGTAGTAGGAGGAAGAAATAGGGATGGAATGCAAGAGTGAAATATTCCAACAGGGTCATGCTATAGAGACTATAAAAGGAATCCTTCAGTTTTAATAATTGAAATAACACTTTTCATTTTCCACTTTATCGGCATCATAGAGTTCTGGTAGTAAATATTGAGTGTTTCTTCTTTTTTTTTTTGCCACATTTGGTTTCACCTTATTGAAGTGGTTACTTACCAGCTGGACGGAAAGAGAGGAATAGTTAACAAGAAGCAGCTTAAGCAGCCGGGTAAATACCACCAGAGCCGTACTTTGTAAGGGCGATTGAGTGACCAGGAAAGTTAATCCTGGGTGTCTGTTCACTTTGTCTTCCCAAGAGATTTATTCTACCTACTTTCCTTGGAGCAAAGAGGCAATCTGAGATCAAACTGACATCAGCCCTCATTCCAAGCTTGGCACATCTTCAGAGCAGCTACTGTTATTCAGCCAAAAGGAAGTGGAAATTGAGATAAATGTTTCAATACTCAGATGGAAAAAAGTCCATTTTTACACCACGTCCCTTTTGAAAAACCGCATTCCTTAGAAGCAAAGTTTATTGTTTCCTTTTGTGATAGTTTGCTTTTCTTTTCTTAAGACGTGGTATTTAAGAGCAGTAATTGAGTTCAGATTTTAAACTGTGCTGTTTCCACTCTGCATGTCATTAAAATAAAATATTAGCTTTCATAGTTTCTGGTGTGCTGTGTTCCATGATGTGTGGAGTGTCAGTCTGAAGAGTAATGGTTGTGGGTGATCTGATAATGGATAAACATTGATCCTAGTTCTTCTAAGGATCTTTTATAATTGCAGCCTACCCCAAATGTGCCTAGTGTAGACTGACTCTAATTGTGACTATCTCACCTACTTTTGGCATATGTAGTTTGCTTTGTAAAAACAGTGTCTAATGGTAGTCTTGACTTTGGCAAAAAGTTCAGTTATAGGACTTTACAGAGAAGAAAGAGTTGCGAGTGGTACATTGGGGTTTTTTTTTTTTTTACTTTTGTGTCTGAGGATATGTTGATATTTAGAAAAGTATTTGGGTTTGAAACAATGTATGCACATTTTTTTAAGAAAATGTGTTCCAATAGCACATTAATTTTACTTTGTACCTTATCTTCTGGGTATTCTAGTAGAACATTTGGTAATGAATGTCATTCTCTCACCCCATATGCATTAAAAAGGGTCTCACTGTATTTTGTTTTAATGTGGTACATAGAAAATTCCCTCTTCTATTAGATTAGTGTTGAAATGAGTTTCACAGTAGGTCTTGGAGTTGGGTACAAAGATTTAAGTGCATTTGAATTTTAAATTTGCAAACCTAACATTGTTGCTTCCCCAGAGTGCTCTGTTCTTTGTTGGCTCCTTCAAGTTTACTGGGTTACTATGGGATACTGTTCGGTATCTCAGAGAATCCTAGTTGAGCTCCTTTTTCTTAACTGTGATCTAATTGATATTCTGATATTTCCTCTAGATCAAGAGGAATGGTGTTTGGACCAGCCAATTTAGGGGAAGATGCAATTAGAAACTTCATTGCTAAGCATCATTGCAACTCCTGCTGCCGGAAGCTCAAACTGCTGGGTATGCCCCAAACAATTCCATTTTTCTCTAAGTAAATCTTTTCTAGAACAACATCCATTGTAACCTGGGATAGAGTAGAAAATCTTAATCACATTTTTATCTCATTCGAAGTCGAGGCTTGACTTTCTGACTGCAAATTTTTCAAGTCTCTAAAGGGATTAAAAGGACAGGGATTTACTTCAGGTTCTGCCAAAATGTGATAAAACAACATTGGACCTAAAACGCGTCGCAGTCTCTCCAAGGGAAAAGTTCCACTGACTTAATTGGGGTTAAATTGGACAGAAGCAGGTCCCTTCCCCCAGTCCCCTTTTGGTCTTGCGTGGTACCTACAGAATTTCTATTCTTACTCATTCGACACTTGGGAGAGTGGGGTGGGGTGTGGAAAGAAACAACAGCTGTCATTTAAAGCAGTGCTTTTCACTGCAAAAACATGCCACTTTAAACTTTGCTTTGCAATATATTAATTTGATAATATGCTATACTTTCTCTGAAACTAGTATAATCACTGCAGAATATATTCCTTTCAATAAAAGCAAACAGGTGGAGGTCTGTGCCCCCAAATTGGCAGTCCCAGCTCAGTCAAATTTTTTTTTCATCTCAGAAGGAATGCCTGGTTTCTAAGCTTGCTTGCTGCTTTTCTTAGGTCATACCAAATTGCCTGTAGAATGGAATTCCACATGTTTTATAACAGAGTAGCCCTTTCTGCTTTATAAATCAGTGACCACACCCTGAATTGGAAGTCAGTGCAACATCATTATCTGTTGTAACTTGGCATGGACTAGGTGTAAGTTTAAAACAGAGGCAGACAATTTCTATTCTTGCTTAAGTTAGAGGTAAGAAGAACTTTTGTGGGCACTTGGTAAAAGACTGGGATTTGGAGCAGGCTTCCAGTTCTATCAGGAATGGCCTATTAGCCGAGGTGTTAGTGGTGGTAGGTATGTGGGTTAGGGATGTCAGGCTGGAGTCACCAGAAGAGGAGGCTGTCTCTCACATGTAGGTGCCCAGGACTCACTCTCAGAGACCATGCGGCAGACTTGGGTGTAGACATCAGTCCACAACACATTGGCTGAGTCACCACTGGCCTTTTGTCTGGTCAGAAGGATCCCAGGAAGGAGCATGGACTGGATTGAGAGGCAGTGGGTCTTCCAGATAGGGTGCTATGGAGGGCAGGAACTGATGCCTATTTGAGTCGGGCCTTGATTACAAACTGGAGTTCATTGCATTAACTCATGTCCTCAGGCACCATCCTCTTCCCAGGCTGAGTCATCTACCTTGGAAAAGGCAACTTTCCATTCTTGAAGACACAGGGACTGCAGCTCATCAGCCAGGAGAAAGGGAATGTTGAGGTATAACTCACTGCCTCCATCCTTGATGCCAGTTGGCAGTCAGTTCTATGTGATTAAAGTCGAGTTTATTATTTTGTTTAACACACACTGGTGGATTTTGAGTCAGTAATTCAGTACTTCCTCCATCTCTAGACCCAATCCATGTTTCCTTTCAAAACCTTAACACATGGAAATAAGAAATACCCTTAGTCATCTGGTAATCTGGATTAAAAAGTAGTTTAGTCTGGAATGTAGAATTAGTGATTTTTCTTTTTCTGTTTGATTGTATTTTATTTTATTATTTTTATTTAAGAGGGGAAGTTTAGGATTGCATATAGATCGAGAAGCGGAGTGATTGAGCTCTCATTTCAGTTCTGCTTTTCACTGCCTAAGTGACCTTGGGGCTGAGGTTTTCTCATCAGTGAACTGGAGACAAGTGTACCTATTTCATAAATTAGGTGTGAAGATTGAAGAAATATTTGGATATGTGCAATAAATATTTGTTATTATTAAACTATAACCTGTATTAGTTTAGTCCAAATAATTTCCATTTAATATTAAAAAAGATAACATAAGGAACATATGTAAGGTTAACAAATTTAGCAAGAGAATATAAAATGTACACAAATATTTAAAAAACACCCTCCTCTGTTTGTTTCTTCCTGAAGGTTACCCCTATTAATATTTTCTTTTGATAACTTCCTTTTAAATGTAAGAAGGAGATTTTAGGAACCAATATTTGGATGAAACTCTCATAGGTGGGGCCAACCCTGAGGTACAACTTAATTTGAGAAAACTGACTACCAGCTCCTCAAGTCCACCATTTTGGTGAACTCACTGGTCCTGTCCATGATTCAACAGAGAAAATACCTTGTTTCCAGTTTGACCTCACCAAACTCTGGCCTCGTCCTGCCTGATAGGGCACTGCATATTGGACCAAGCACCCCACTCTTTTCTCTCGCTCCAGTGAATACACTTAAAGCAGTGCAAGGGTGTTATAGTCACACATGGGCAGGGGGAGGCTGGAGGTTCAGACGTAGTTGAGGGTTTGAGTTTTATATGTAAGTGTCTTGGGGGAACAGAGACCTCTCTGAGCACTTGGAGAAAACCCAAAGTCCTACTATCTGTGTGAATAATATGTTCTTAAGGATCCCCTGTAACCATCTTAATTGGTCTTTCTTGCAGACCTAAAAAGAAATGACTATTCCCCTGGAAGAATAAATTCTACTTTTGGACTTGAAATCAATATAGAACCAGTGGAGGGACCTGAAGCTAGAGAAAGGAGTAGTAATTCTCCAGAAGATCTCACACGATTGTAAGAAGGGGAGGAGTAAGAAGATGGCAGCCTGCGCTCCGCGAACCCTATGGTAACGTAGATTGATGGACACGCTGATTATGTCAGAGCCTCTGTCAGGGTGGCCTCATTCTTTGAGCCTCCTTGGGACACGGCTTCTATGTAGCATGTCTCCCCCTACCATAGACTTCACTGGTATATAAAGGACAGGTGCTTTGCATGCGTTCTTCATCCTCAAGTTCCACAGGAAGCCACTGGCGGGGGGCAGCTGGGAATCCTTCGTACCTCATTGCTTTAGCTGGGCTTGTAGACCCATGGAGCAGAATGCCAAGAGCTAAAGAACCGGGGAGATGAAATTATTTCTCACTATTTTTGTGCAGACTCTAGTCCCCCCCTGCTATTCATCACCTCACCCACATTTTGTATTTATGTATAGGTGTACATAGAAATATTTTTGACTTCCTCTGCTCTCCTTTCCAGCAGCACATGATTTCAAATAGCAACAATAAGGAAAATAATGCAAGGAGGGTGTTTTTACACAGACTGAAGCACACTCCTGTACAGGCTCTCCATTAAACAGTTAGTATCCTGGTGAAATCTAGATGGGTTTGAGGTTTTGTCAGTGAATCATGACACCCGGGCATTTCAGGTTTCTCGAAAGAAAGGAACAGGGAGATCTAAAACAAATGTTCTTGCTTCTTTTTTTTTTAAAAAAGGTAACAAGGATAGGTAAAACTAGAAATTATTAAGAAATGTTTTTCCTTCTCCTAAGCTCAGTTATCAATTAGAGAGCTAACTTTAAAACAGCAGTTCTCTTTCCAAAGCTACATAAATAAAATTACGGGCTAAATTATTCTATGTCAGGTCCTGTGGGGAAAGATGAGTTTCTGGCTGAAAACATGGTTCAAAGGTGTTTGCTTCATTTTAATGCCAGTTCTGGTAGCTTCAAGAGTGCTGGAGTATATAGTTTCAGCACAGCCTGAGAATGTGTGATCAGTTTTGGGGGCTTCAAGGAAGGCTTCCTGGAAGCCACACTATACAGCCCCTTGGGGACTGGACATCCCCTTCTGCACTTGTTGGGGCCTCTCTACCTCAGAACCAGCATAACTTTTCACATATGGTGGAAATGGAGATCAGGGAATCCTCTCCCTTTGTCCTTTCCATCACCTTTCCTTATTATCAGGTGTTCCAATCTACCAGCAACAAATGTCCTCAGTTGGAAAAATTTCCACTCTTCTGTATCTTTATTTTTATTTTTCTCTATCTTTAGCCCTTACATTAGGTGACTTTTTTTTAAAGTCAGCACTCTGCAATATTACATTGCAGGAGTAACCCAGATATAGGGGGACAGAAAACTAAGGATTTAGAATGCCAAGGAAGATGTCTGGTTACTGAATGTATTGCATAAGTGTGAATTTATACCCCTTTTACTTTGGACTTGGGGGTGGTGGGAGGTAGGAAATGTGGGTGATTTCTTGATTGACAATGAAGATAAAATGCGCATGCATTTCTGGGTCTTAACTGCTTTATCTGAGTCTATAAATCAATAAAGGATCTGTCAGTACCTACTTCAGTGCTGTGATCAACTATGGAAAAAGCAGTTTGCTTGTCCAAGGACCAAACAAAGGACATTAATTCACTGGCTATATATTTGTTACTTGGAATGGAACTTGAAAACAAATACATTTGATTTCACATTTTTGTGTCATGCCTTTTTCTTTCTTAAAAAACAAAAAACAAAAACAAATCACCAGAACATTTTAAAAAGATGAACTGCTAGGCCAAGTTCGCTGTGGGGTTGCCGGCATGCAAATACCCATGAAACAGTCTTGACTTTGAGTGATTCATTACCTTAAAATGGTACTGTGTTCATACTTTCATTGATTAGTTTTATTCAACAGCTATTTAATGCCTTCTGGGAACCATATAAATGATGGAGGATCCAGATAAAAAAATCTCATTTTTTTTCCTTTTTTTTTTTTTGCTTCCAAATTTGGATTTCAGATTATTGCTGAAACATTTATATTCTGGGCAAATGTTGAATCTGGAGAAGAGTCCCTTACCTTATCTGCCTGCAGGCAGTAGGTTCAGACTGATTAAGAGAATTAGGGAAATAAGAATATATAGCCAGAAATGTATTTCAGAACCCCTGAGGAAAAACTGGCTGCATAATCCTTGCATGAGTATATTCTGAATCTCACAGGTGGAATCCGAACTTGGGGTCCAGACAAGCAACCAGGTTCCCAGAAGTTCTTCCCTAAGGCATGTTTTGCACAAACATTGCTTTCCAGATGTTATTTATTAGAGCTATGTTCCCCACCCCACTGACAAGCAGTTGCCTTGGACTAGCTGCTGGCTGTGAGGGGCAGAGCTGAGTAGTCAGGTGACACTGTTTAACACAGCTCTGGGCTCTAGGAGACACCTCTTGCTTCTGCAACCCATCTTACATCCTGGTATTTCTGGGAAGGAGACGTGGAAGTTGATGAACGGAGAGATCTGTAGAAAAAATTGAAAGGGACAATGGCCGCCGTTACCTCGTTACGGTATCCTCTTGTCCTGCCTTTCTGAGACCTGCCTCAGAACCCTTTTTTTTTCCTATAGTTCCTGCCCAGAAGGAACCTTTGACCTGTGGCAAGCTTTCAGGTCCCACTTTAGGTTGAATCTGATTGGCTGGGCATTTGCCCATGAGGGGATGGGTAGTTTTGGGTGTTTTATTGGGAAATTCTTTTTGGGAATATTCTCTCTTCTCTCTATGAACACAATTTTATTAAAGTTCTTAACCCCTAAGAGCATTCTTTGCCTTTGTATGCACAAATGTCTGGACTCTTTTAGAGCATGCAAGTTTGGAGGTGGGGGGGGTCTCAGGGTATCCCTCGGTCTTGCACTAACACAGAGGCCGTGTTTCCTGGAGTGATTTCTGCCCTGTTGATACCTGAAGCTTTTGACAACCATGAGGAATGAGAGCAGATAGGATTTGGGGGATTTCTCACCCTGTTGTTATTTTCTGTGACTGCAAAATAAGTAATGTGTGACTTAGAGTCACCAAATAACCAAATTCCATGTTACAGTAACTGGTTTTGATTACTGTTGTTTATTACTGTCTTAGATGACTGCTCAGTTTCTATAAGTCATGACACAAAGTTCCCTGTCATGACTTTTCTGTCTCCATCAGTCACCAGCCTCCAGCACAAAGCGTGGCACATACTGTGCTTTCAACATTATTTGTTGCATGAAATAATAAAACCTTCAAATGATAATGGATTTAATTCACTAAATAATAAATCAGATGTTCATTTTTAATCTAGAAGGGAATGATTACCAATTCCTTAAGAACCAACACAATTCTTTTGATCTGTCTGTTTTAATTTTCCAGGAAATAGCTTTTAACAACTTACACCTTGTCTGTTGAATTCTCAACCAGTTCTTGCCCTTGTCATTGTCATGATAATACCAGTGTATGGTCCTTCTTACACTTGACTACTGAAATGAGATAACTTCTCAGAAACCGCCTAGAAATAATCATCACTTTATTACCCTTTGAAAAGAAGATTGAGAGAAAAGTCATTTGAAGGATGGTTCATTACCATGCCCTAGTATGATTTCCTTACTCACATCTCTCCAAAGCACGAAAAAGGGAGGATTATTCTCTGAGGTCAGAGTTTGAAGGCTGTGTGTTTGCCTCTTTGAAGTCTTGGTATTTAATTTTCTGTAGTCATTTGTTGGGCAATTTTCTAAGAAACTAGTTGAAGCTAATTTATCATAAGTTAAAGTCAAATGACAGAAAGACTTTTTCCCCCTTAACAGCATTTTATTCCACAGAGGTTAGCTTCTGAAGGGAAATGAGACTTAAATAGCATTTCAAATATCCAGCCACATGGGTGGGTATACAGAATAGAAAAGGTTCTGGAAGTCATACTGATTTTTTATTTAGCACATTTATTATTTTGTGACTTTTCTTTCTAGACCAAGATATGCACACATAAAATAATTTTGTGAAATACCCTCCTAAAAATAGTTAAGTTGCTTAAGTTTTCAAAGAGAAGCTTTTTGTCCTGAAGGTATAATAAACCTTGGTCTGGTCTCTATTGTTGAGAGACTTTGTTACAACTTTATATAATTCATTTAACCTTTCTCTTAACTCTCAATGCTGAAATGGAGATGAGATACTTACCTTTTAAAATGAAGGCGAACAATAATGAGAGATCATTTATATAGTCCTTTGAGAGTCTCACTTAAAAGACTTCTTGTGAGCGCAGGCTCCAGTTAAATAATAAGGAGTTTTATTTTTGATATTATGTGATCATTATTTAATGTTTACAGAGGACACTCAGTGGACCTGCTTCAATATAAACACAAAAGTGTTTTTGCTATTTCTCCCTTCCCAAAGGGAAAAGCTCATTGCTCCCTTTTTATTTTGAAGTTTAATTAAATAGTTCAAAAATCAGGAAGTTCATCATTTCATAGTGTCTTCTAATATTTTGCTTCTTGATGGATTTGGGTTTTCCCAGCTAATTTCTTTTGCCATCTTTTGTTCAAAGAAAATCTCCCAGAAAAATTAAAGACCAAAACTGGTATACTCGGTAATATTTTTGTGTATGGAAAGAAAGCAGGTTTAGAATCTTTATGCTTGTCAAAGCTGGTGGTTCACAAAACTTATAATTAATTGTGATTTACATCTTGTTGGTATAGGACTCTTTAGTAATAAGAAAATTCTGGGCTGCAACTTGTTAATGTCTCCTTTAAGTGATTAACTTCCTTAGCATTCTCATGTTCTGGCGATTTATTTATTTTTTCTTTTTTTTTAAAAAAAAATTATTTATTTATGCACACAAGAGCTGGGGCATAGACCAGAGGTGTGAGGATGACAAGATTCACCAGAGACAGGGTGGGGAACAGAACAGGTGGATCCACTGAAATGCACTGCTGAGGGGAGCGTCAGGAGAGACAGGAGAAGGTCTGCTGTGCCATGTGGGTCAGTTCCCTGGCCAGGGGACTGCTGATAGCTTGATAATGCTAAGACTTAACCCCTTGTGCCAAAAGGGAGGCCTCTGGCGATTTTTTTCATGTGAACCTTTAGAAATTCCATCTGCTCAATTAGTCACAAAGTCCTTGCAAATAGAATCTTTTGATTAATGATTGATCAAATGTAGATGTAACAGTTGCCTTTTATTGGCCAAATTTGGAAGTCATGTCATTGTGCTTTGGCTTCTAATCAGTCTTTTACTTGGTTCTATTAGTCAGCAAGTAAGAGATCACAGAGCCTCAAGATGCTTTGATAACCTATTATGTTGTGGGTTGAACTGTATTTCTCCCCGCTCCTCCCAATTAACATATTGAAATTCTAATTCCCTACCTCAGTATATTTGGACACAAGGTCTTTAGATAGGTAGTTAAGGTTAAAAGAGGTCATTACTGTGGACCCTGATTCAATGTGACTGGTGTCCTTATCAGATCCTTGGGGATCATTCAGAACACACAACTCTTAGGTCCCTCAATAAAACAGATCTCCATTTTGCCATCATCATGGAACTTTGTCCTCACCTGCAGCAAGTTGAAAATGCTGCTCATAAGAAATTTGGTTAAGTTAGATACCCAAGGAGGAATCAAGATTTAAAATGAGGTCAAATCAATGACATGGAAGGTTAGCCAGTACTAACCAGCACACTTAAAATTAGAAAAACATGAAATGTTATAATAGTTTGAAACACAGATTTGAAAGTCAAGACCTAATTTAGGTCACTGGAAGAGAAAATCCCACTGGCATCTGTAGCATGTTACCCTTTGTCCTCTCTGCATCTGTCAATGTCTAGGAAATATTTCCTGAATAGTTAATGGCCATTTATAGACTCCGAGTCCATGGTAAATCTACTCCCTCTTGAGGTTATCACAAGGTTAGTGCAAAGACAATGAATGGGTTCTTTCGTATCTGGCTCTGGGTCTGCCAGGGACCATTTCTGCCCCTACCTTCATTTCCCCCCCCCCCCCAAACCCTTCTTTCTGCCTTCTTAGGCATTTGGATATTTGCTGGTCAAATAACAACTATTTGGTAATGTCTAGTGATGTTCCAGCTTATCAATTTATAGTGAAAAATAGAATCTATGCAAGCTACAAAACATTTATTAGCCTGACCATCACACTGTGTCCCTGCAGGTCTTAGAAAATGGATTACAATCAGAGTGCATGGAGTCAGAACAAAGAGAATTAGATGAATCAAATATTTAATGATGTTAAGCTAAGACATCCTGTTTCATCCCATCTCCTCCAGAGGGATGAGCCTGCCAGTGGGAGTGGATACCCAAAGTCAACTGTACTCCAGATTGATTCCAAAGGCTGCACAGAATTTCAGGTGACTTAGATGAGCCTTGAAAAATATGGATCATAATAAGAAAATACTTCTTTTCTCCTATTTCATTTTTCATCCTCACACCCCTCTGTCTCACCCTGCTTCCTTACTCCCATCTTTTCTTTCTCTGATTCCTTATTTCTGTTACACCTTTTTATACTACACTGGCTGCAGATATGGAGCAAATAGCATCATTAATTTTACAAGATACTAGAGCTGTAGAGTTAGAAAATATAAAGATAAAAGAATAAAAGAAAATATAAAGATAAAAGAATGGGAGAATGTAATGAGATCCAAAGAGATTGTGCTTCATTCACAGTTTATATAACTATTGCTGGAGGAAGGAATAGAACT